TATCCAATATAATCTCCAACAATGCGGTATAGGGTGCATCGTGTCTCTTCAATTCTCGTTTCAACTCTTTGTTGTATGAATCCATTCTTATTCCCGCCAGTTCGTCCGCACGTACGCGTAGCTTCAGCAGTTCTAGCAAACAACGCAGAACGGAACCTTCACGGGCTTTCCTTTGGTAATTTACAAAATCAGCAGATGAAAGCAATGCCTCAAATGCCTCCGTATGTTCTCTCAAAGGATCATCGTGTTCCAGCGGTGCAGCAGTTTCGCCTCTTGTTTCTTCTCTCAAACGAGATAACAAATGTAACATAAGCTGTGCTGTCACGACCAGATGAGTATAAACGAATCTATATTTGGACTTAACCAATATCGGTCTATAAAAATCAACTTTTTGGTTAACTAACCAGTTGCAACTTTCAACATAAATAGTATTTTTTAGATAATCTATAAATTCAAGCACAGGACCCTTCATTAGTGACATTTGCATTTCGACTGCCTGCCTCTTCGTGGCAGACCACATGTGGTTGCTCACAATGTGTTGTATGACCAGGGTACCGATTCTGTATACCTTTAGGATTCTTGGTTCTAGCTCTGCTACATCCAAGCCTCTAGATATCGATTCAGTTATGCCAGAAGCGTGACGTAGGAAACTCTTGTAGTTATCAAGTTCATGATATGCTCTATATAACGACAAAATTGAAGTGAGATGATATAGTTGTAATCCATGTAACACGAGAACATATGATCTAACATAGTGTGTCGGATCCAGAGGACATATGCTATCTGATAGATTTCGTAATTCTCTTTCTTGTATTCGTAACCATGCTTTAGCATCTCTTAAACTATATTTTATATCCAGTAGGGCCTTTCGCAATTCAGGCAAAGTGGATAACAGGTCCCCGGATACGAACTCCTTTCCATAATCGTTGGTTAAGGCGTCCAATAGATTAGTCGTTTGTATCGAATGCAGCTGGGATATCTCGGTTACTCTCAACAACTGTATTTTGTAATCATTGTCACGCATCGACACGATTTTGTTCATGGAAGCGGGAAGCGTCACATTCATCAATTCTTCAAACATTTCCTTTATAATTTCGTCGGGGTATTGCTTTGTGTCAGAGTTATCCCGAGCATCGTTAGCTATCAGCATTGTCATCATACTTTTTACAGCATCTACTGACTTTTGTATAGATTCCGCTGTGATTCGAGTATCATGTAGCAGTTTGTACAATGCTCTCTCCTCCTTCCTAGGTTCCAAACTCCCATACGAAGTACCCATACCTTCGAGTATCTGCAGGTCACTAGAATTCTCGGTATAACCCAAGATACTATTCATACCGTCCAACATCGTTTTGATTGATATTAGGTGTCGAAATAACGATTCGGAACTTATCACTTGATTATCCACTGAGTTTGTATTTTGTAGCAATCTATCCGCAGGATCCATACCCATAACCGACGAACCAATGGGTACTGATAAATTCCACAACACCGTTGCGATGGAACCCATTGCAATTGCAATAAGCATTCGACCTCGACAGACAGTAACCATTATTACAACTCTTCGTGTACACAAATTATAACATTTATGGACTTCTCAGATCAAATATAATAGTAACTCAAATATTCAACTTGGTACCGATGAACCCACCTGGTGTAGTTAGCTCATGTAAAAAAACAGACCGCCCTTGATTTAAATATTTCCAAGATTACACTAATATTTAATCCTTGGAGATACAAAGATAATGTAAATATTATCTTGAAGTAACAGCGATCCACTGGAGCCTTGGCTTGCTGTCCTTTTGCTGTTATAGTTTTAATCAGCTAGATGCTGCTTCCGTCCTAGATTATTAATTATTTAAAATTGCAATTTCGTTATGAAAAGAATGACGAATATGCGTTATCGTTACACGTTTGCAGACTCTGTTGTTGCAGCGACGAATTGCAGCAGAAACAAATTTCTTGCTGCCCTAGCTACATTATAACATGTCAACATGGTGTCATCTTTTACGATTTTTTCAACAAAAACGGACACACCTCGGTATTTACAATTGCTATAGCATTTTCAATTCAATAAAAATTTTTTGCATTTTTCTGACGACCATAAACATATAAGGGTAATATGACCGCTACAATATATATTTCTTTGAATATCACCAACGGTATCACCTGACGTTTTACATGTATTATGTATTAGCAACGTCATTATATATAGATAATCGTGTTTGGCGAATCGGTCCCATAGGTACCGTTGCCATGGCACCGCATTAAGGTATAATGGGCCGACCTAGTTCGTCACACATGTAAAAAGCGACTTTATAATATCAAAATGGTTTACGTATCGTCGTAGTGAGTCAAAACAAAAAAAATCAACACGGATTCTTTAGCAACTCCAAGGTGTAACAATTGTTCTTGGTTAGAGCTTCACATAATCTCGTAATCATACCACACGTTCAAGATTACGAAATGTGTAGTATTAACGTGAAACTAACGTAGATGAGTCACTGTAACCTCTGAAGTCAGCTCTCTAGAGCAGGATGGTAGTCTGATAATCTTCTTATTGGCAGTGGAGTTAAGAGCTCCAGTTCGTTTATTTCGACGACCATTCAGATTACAATCTTTTGTCAAAAACCCCTATCTTAGTAATGTCTAACTAATCTCTGCAACGTGATTTAACGTTCTTACATCAATGAAGTTAGTTGTCAGGGCTCTGTGTTGTGGAGAGGCAATACAACTAAGGAGAGCACTTAAATTGGTTCATGGATTTCCCCAAGTGCACATACCCTATGTTATAGCCATATGGTTGAATTTAGTCATAGAGCACAAATCATACAACATAAGCGACGTTGCGTCTAACAAATCAGTTACCATTACTAGGAAATTTATTGTATGCTTCACCTCAGATTTTGTCCAGACATAGGAACAATGCTTCCATTTGTGGAAGTGTTAATCCGAAGCACATTCGAATATATCTCCCTATCAATAGCGTGTCTGCGTCGGTTGTGCCGCGAATCCACACTCTGATCGGTATTTTTTCAACATCCTGCAAAAATACTTACCTGCCATTCAAACCAACAGCGATTTCATACTTAAATCTCTCAGCGCACTTTTCCAGTACAAAGCATCTTTGTCCGGAGAGACTGCGTTTAATGACTTACGTAAGCTTGACGCAATTACCAGTAGCTGTAGGGGATAGGTACGGTGAACATGAATCCACCCTCCAATTGACCAAAATACGTTTCTTTTGTTGTCCATTGTTTCATATCGTCCACATTTAAACACGATAGCTCTGTAGGTAGCTCTCGGTGCGGGTATTCCCGTGTCACCTGGCAGAAAACGAGATCACCCTCCTTCAGATTTGGACGGTTGCGTTTCGTTGCCCCTCTAAATCCGTCTACAGTGGGCAATACTGCTTCACATAACCCTCCAATATCAAGCTTCGCACAATGTCGGTACCGTGAAGCATAACTTACGGTATAATAGTCGAAATTTTTGGCTACGATTACGCCCAGCACATGGTCCCCTACTTTCGGGCGATACTACTACTTTTAAAATACTATATAACAGACATACCACTTGCGAGAGGTCAAATTTAACGGTTGTATCTACGTCGCTTACTAATGGCGGTGGAGAGAAGTATACTTCATCCGCCGTTGTATCGAGTTCCATGGTCATACACACCCGCGGCTATATGAACAGGAACGCCAAAAATACGCTATACGAGCACAATATTGTTTGGTAGTTGCTTTGTGCAACTAGATATTGTGCGGCGTTTGAACATCGCGCTACTTCGAAGGGCGAGCCCACGTCGGCAATGTCTACTGTAGGTGATAGTGGGCCGTAGAATGCAGCCCTACTGGCACAATACGGATTATTCGCCGCATCGAATTTGTAGAATGCGTTGAGTCGGCTAGCCTTTTCCTGGAAGCACTCCTCGTCCAAGGAACTGACTACCTGCTCTTCGCGATGCGTGCCCTGATCCGACGGCGGATAGAACAAACTAACGAAAAGATTTCTTATACGTGGATACAATGTATCGTTGACACCTAGTATGTTCCCTGCCGTGGAAACGACAGCCACTATTTTTCGGACTACCTTTTTGACTACGGTTCCACCGACATCTCCGAGGCGTTTTTTAACAGATGATTCGGCGGTATCTAAATCTTTATAATCACCAAATATATAATATTTAACCGAGCGGAATGCCTCATTTATCCATAACAATATAGTGACCCCTGTGTTCAGGCCGTTGTCTGGTTCTGCATTGCCCCCGCTACCAGTTTTCTCATCCACGATCACAGTTTTATCAGTGTGTCTTTGAGATAGCTCCCCTTTCTCGTCTTCTTGCTTATCATGAGATAATATTTCCTTATACCGCATTGAATTCCGCTGTTGCTCGGTCTTCATTTCATCCCTAATGCTGAACCATTTTTTCATGCAACAAATTGTACGATCCCCAAACGATAGATGGGTATTGATCATTTTCATGACAAATTCCAAAGCGGTTTGATCGTTCAGGGTTCCTACCACGCCATCTTGCTGCGACACCGGCGAATGCGTGTCCTCAGCAACTGTGATACTATCGGCGGTGTCGCTGCTATTCAGTTCCAGGGGCCCATTTTCTCGATGAAGATCCACTTCAGTATCTTGGTTTAAAACCGTACATCCAGAATCAAGCTCATTTTCTGCCATAATTGGATGTATTGAAGACAGCGGCTGTTGCGGTTTGCCGACCTCCGAGGCGGTGGCGTCAGGCATCCCAACACATTCTACGTTTTCGAATCCACAGAAGCCGCAATACGCAAGCGCTGCGAATACCAATCTTCTAGTATACGTAGAACGGAACAGAATGGAACAAACCATCCTTCCTTACGGGTGATGGCACCGCCGTAACCTTCCGCAAAACAAGACTGACTGTTAGAATTAGATACACCTATGTTAAATTTTACTCAAATAATCGCATGGAGATCGTGTCTAAGGATAGTCGGGTACTGTGTAGGTCAATGTATCTGAATCAGGATGCACATCTCTTATAGTGCTGGTGATGCTGCAGTTTATCGTCGCTAGTTCTTTGCATCCCGCGTCAATCGATAACATTTCCCAATTGATGTGTCGTGTTGTATGTTCATCCCTGGTCATAACATACTTGATACCTCTAAAAATGCTTTACCAAAATAAATGATGGTTGAGCTGTTTGGCACGGAGACCATATCCGCACCTTTACTATTACTACTATCTAATTAAACATACAAATATTGTTATTCGCGATAGATTATTATTTAAGGCACAATTGATTTACTTATATGGCAAAGAGCCACTTCCTTTGTCCATAATATGATTTAGCTTCTTTCTATAACTTAAGAAGTGTGAATTTGTTAAAATGAATCTCTATTGCACTGTTGCTATGGTTTGATGTTAATGAATGGGTTGAGAAAATTATCAACACCTGTTGGCGGCCCAAAGAGTTCGCTGTCAGTTTTCCGGATTTTTATTAGAAACTATTTTGCTCGGTCTGGTCGCAACACCCTCACTTGACGTATTTCTAATTATTGACACGATAGGAGTCTCAAGCTTCCTCGGGGTGATTAGTATAGTACGGTAATAGATATAAAAAGGGTACGGTAACCCGGAAGGGGTAAATTCGGACGAAGGGAAGACAACAGTTCCGTATCTCACAATGATGTGGCTCTACTACACCAAATGTTGCAAAACAAAACCATACAATCTTAGCTGACGTTTTCTTCGTAAACAATACGTCAATACATCAACTCGTTCACAAAATGTTAGTGAAAGATGCGTTTATGAAAAAAACAAAGTAGACGTAAATATAGATTGTGGTAGAAAACGGTGTGCTCAGCCGTGGCGTTACAAACAAGTAACGCATAGCATATGTCAATATGTGGATAACAAAGGTTAAAATCGAAAAATACCGAAAAAGGCGATTAACACGTCAGGGTAATATGACCGCTACAATATATATTTCTTTGAATATCACCAACGGTATCACCTGACGTTTTACATGTATTATGTATTAGCAACGTCATTATATATAGATAATCGTGTTTGGCGAATCGGTCCCATAGGTACCGTTGCCATGGCACCGCATTAAGGTATAATGGGCCGACCTAGTTCGTCACACATGTAAAAAGCGACTTTATAATATCAAAATGGTTTACGTATCGTCGTAGTGAGTCAAAACAAAAAAAATCAACACGGATTCTTTAGCAACTCCAAGGTGTAACAATTGTTCTTGGTTAGAGCTTCACATAATCTCGTAATCATACCACACGTTCAAGATTACGAAATGTGTAGTATTAACGTGAAACTAACGTAGATGAGTCACTGTAACCTCTGAAGTCAGCTCTCTAGAGTGTACCTTTGGTAGTTGTGTTTTTCGATATGGTGATAGGCCCTAGTCTTCTTATGATATACAACAATCTATACGTTACTCATCTTCGACATCTGCAATATGCCTCGAAAGCGTTTGGCAGTTCTGTATACGGTCAACAAGCTCTGGAAGCCTGTCTCCGATAGTATTAACAGCGTTCTCCAATTCCTCTACCATGCGGGCCATGCGTGGCAAGGATAGAGCTAGCATCATCATTCTGTGCATTTGAGCTTTTGTAGCGAGGAAGTCCTTGATAGTCCTGGTCCATACTGGCGAATCAAATGATCCGGTAAAGTTCACAATACGTTCGTGAAATCGATGTAAATGAGTTCTGCCCGCCTCAGTAATTTCAAAAGTGTCACATATCGTTTTCAGATCATTCCAACGACTCAACACATGTCCGTATTCAGCGTCAATTTGACGCAAACATCTCGATCTAAGGAACGAAGGAGACGACAATCGATCGGCTGATAAACGTATCGTAACACTTTCGACAGCCTTGACAACATCGAAGTATCCAAACGTGGACTCCTCCAAAGATCGAGCAGCAATAAAAGACATGTTGGTCATTACAGATTTAACGAATGCTAACCCATAATTGGACTCAACCACCGGCGGGTTTATTCCCATTATATATAGCTGCTTATTCATATCCAATATAATCTCCAACAATGCGGTATAGGGTGCATCGTGTCTCTTCAATTCTCGTTTCAACTCTTTGTTGTATGAATCCATTCTTATTCGCGCCAGTTCGCCCGCACCCTCCTGTAGATCGAGCAGTTGTATCGAGTATTGATGAACGGAATTTTCACGGGTCCAACATTGGCCATTTATGGAACGAACAGAAGCAAGCAATGCCTCAAATGCCTCCGTATGTTCTCTCAAAGGATCATCGTATGCCAGCGATGCAGCATTATCTCTTCTTGTTTCTTCTCTCAAGCGACCGAACATTTCACACAAAAGGTGTTTTGCGTCGTCCAGGTGATTATAAAAAAGCCTATATTTGGACTTAGCCAATATCGGTCTATAAAAATCAACTTTTTGGTTAACTAACCAGTCGCCATTTACATCGTAGATATCGTTTTTTAGATGATCTATAAATTCCAGTACTGGAATCTTCATTCGTGATATTTGTAATTCCACTGTCTGCCTTTTCCTATCAGTCCAGATATGGTTGCTCATAATGTGTTGTATGACCAGGGTACCGATTCTGTATACCTTTAGGATTCTTGGTTCTAGCTCTGCTACGTCCAAGCCTCTAGATATCGATTCAGTTATGCCAGAAGCGTGACGTAGGAAACTCTTGTAATTATCAAGTTCACGATGCACTCTATATAACGACAAAATTGAAGCGAGATGATGTTTTGACCAACATAACACGTTACCATATGATCTAACATGATAAATTGGATCTAGAGGACATATGCTATCTGATAGATTTCGTAATTCTCTTTCTTGTATTCGTAACCATGCTTTAGCATCTCTTAAACTATATTTTATATCCAGTAGGGCCTTTCGCAATTCAGGCAAAGTGGATAACAGGTCCCCGGATACGAACTCCTTTCCATAATCGTTGGTTAAGGCGTCCAATAGATTAGTCGTTTGTATCGAATGCAGCTGGGATATCTCGGTTACTCTCAACAACTGTATTTTGTAATCATTGTCACGCATCGACACGATTTTGTTCATGGAAGCGGGAAGCGTCACATTCATCAATTCTTCAAACATTTCCTTTATAATTTCGTCGGGGTATTGCTTTGTGTCAGAGTTATCCCGAGCATCGTTAGCTATCAGCATTGTCATCATACTTTTTACAGCATCTACTGACTTTTGTATAGATTCCGCTGTGATTCGAGTATCATGTAGCAGTTTGTACAATGCTCTCTCCTCCTTCCTAGGTTCCAAACTCCCATACGAAGTACCCATACCTTCGAGTATCTGCAGGTCACTAGAATTCTCGGTATAACCCAAGATACTATTCATACCGTCCAACATCGTTTTGATTGATATTAGGTGTCGAAATAACGATTCGGAACTTATCACTTGATTATCCACTGAGTTTGTATTTTGTAGCAATCTATCCGCAGGATCCATACCCATAACCGACGAACCAATGGGTACTGATAAATTCCACAACACCGTTGCGATGGAACCCATTGCAATTGCAATAAGCATTCGACCTCGACAGACAGTAACCATTATTACAACTCTTCGTGTACACAAATTATAACATTTATGGACTTCTCAGATCAAATATAATAGTAACTCAAATATTCAACTTGGTACCGATGAACCCACCTGGTGTAGTTAGCTCATGTAAAAAAACAGACCGCCCTTGATTTAAATATTTCCAAGATTACACTAATATTTAATCCTTGGAGATACAAAGATAATGTAAATATTATCTTGAAGTAACAGCGATCCACTGGAGCCTTGGCTTGCTGTCCTTTTGCTGTTATAGTTTTAATCAGCTAGATGCTGCTTCCGTCCTAGATTATTAATTATTTAAAATTGCAATTTCGTTATGAAAAGAATGACGAATATGCGTTATCGTTACACGTTTGCAGACTCTGTTGTTGCAGCGACGAATTGCAGCAGAAACAAATTTCTTGCTGCCCTAGCTACATTATAACATGTCAACATGGTGTCATCTTTTACGATTTTTTCAACAAAAACGGACACACCTCGGTATTTACAATTGCTATAGCATTTTCAATTCAATAAAAATTTTTTGCATTTTTCTGACGACCATAAACATATAAGGGTAATATGACCGCTACAATATATATTTCTTTGAATATCACCAACGGTATCACCTGACGTTTTACATGTATTATGTATTAGCAACGTCATTATATATAGATAATCGTGTTTGGCGAATCGGTCCCATAGGTACCGTTGCCATGGCACCGCATTAAGGTATAATGGGCCGACCTAGTTCGTCACACATGTAAAAAGCGGTTAAATGGGGAACACTACACGCCTTAAAGATAATTTTGATTCGTGCAGAAACAATATACGGCGAGTGTTAATATGTTAGGGCGCCTCGACGCTAGGCCACAGTCACGGTCAAGAGATCGGAAGGTAGTGATATTCCGAAGATACGAAGGCTGGCACTTAGCCTGCGCAAAGTGCTGCTTAACAAAAACGGTATAACTAATCGGTTTAGCAGCGCCGTACACCATGCTATCATAATCACAGCCACGCCCGAGCGGTAGGCTAGATTATGAACTCGGTTCCAATAACTTCTTGATATTTCGTGCGTTGTACAATCGTATTCAACTGGAGAAGCATCTGAAGTTAATCCCAAATTTTTCACGAAGTTCAAAAGAGCGTCGTGCATCAATGCAACGGCACGAATTTTTTCTGTATGTTGAGCACTAAGTCGCGGAGAAGCGTGCAGCACGGCAGCGTGATTCCGTGCCATATACTCGTGTGTTATGTTTTGTATGGCTTGGTAAAAGTTGGTTGCAAAATGACTCACCTCTGAGAAAAGTAAGAGGTATATCAGTGTCGACTTCCTAAATGGGTACAACGCCACTTGAATCTGCTCTATAGAAGAATGTACCAATGAAATGAGGTCATTTATAGTACGAGCTTCTTTACATCTTGTCAGACACGTAGCAAAACGCTGGCAGAGGGCCGGCCACGATGTTGAGCGCCAAGCGCTCAATCGCGTTTTACAGGTAACATCCGGAGGCACATAAGTTCCGATGTTGTTCCCAATATGTTTTAATCGCCCATTAGCTTTATAACCGTTCAGTTTCGGAGCCACAGCTATCAACTGTAGCGATGGAGACACCGGGCGCGACCTGAGGGAATAAGCAGCTATATTTCTACAAACGAAAAAATAAATAAACGCCGTCAGATACATAGAACCTTATTCGTGTCTAATGTAATCTATTTGTGCTTCAGGGCGTTGGTCAACCAGTCCATACCCTCGTAGAGCCCTGTGCCTTGGGTGGCGCAAGCAGCTTGGATATACCTAGTTGGTATTACTAATATGATACATATGACTTACCAAGTGCGGTTACCGAACTGGTTAAGTCCAAGTTCGTTGGAGAGCTCAGTCGCTGGAATAGCGTTGGGTAAGTCTTGCTTGTTAGCATAAATCAATAAGAAAGCATCGCGTAGTTCATCTTCGTTCATCATTTTGTGTAGCTCTTCACGTGCATCTTTGATGCGAGCGCGGTCATTGCTATCTACAACAAAGATGACGGCTTGAGTGTTAGTGTAGTAGTGCTTCCACAGTGGTCGGATCTGCGATCAATATGTTTGTTGATAATTAATTAGAGACACTGAGTGCGCTGTATTTGCAAGGCCACAGCATACCGAAGTGAAAACACACCTTGTCCTGCCCTCCCACGTCCCACACAGTGAAGGAAATGTTTTTGTACTCTACCGTCTCAACGTTAAAACCGATGGTAGGGATAGTGGTAACAACCTCTCCTAGCTTCAGCTTGTAGAGTATCGTGGTCTTACCGGAAGCGTCCAGACCCACCATTAGGATCCGTACGTCCTGCTTGGACATAATGCGGTTGTACAGCTTTGTAATAGTAGCCCCCATTTTGCTACTAAACAAAAAAATATTTACGCAAAAACAAAGAGACTACGGCCAAAAGGCACTGAGGGAGGCTACGTCGGTCCAACGCCCACCACTCCGACACCACACAAAACAGCAAAACCGTTGAAACACAACACACAAAAGCTAACAGAGTCAATATCTGATTAACCACATTACACACACCGTAAATCGGCGGTGAAAATGTTAAAGTGGACAAGAACGCGCTCAGTCGACCTCCTCCATCTTAGGGTCTACTACGACCTCATCCAACGAGGGAATCTCGACATCCTCGGCCACAGGCTCGTCGTCTAGTGACAAACCGAGCTTGATCATGCGGTAAATACGTCCACCGAACTGGGTAGGGTCCTCCAGGTTGAAGCCAGATGTCAACATGGCTGTGTCGTAAAGAAGCCATACCAAATCCTTAAGGGTCTTGTCACTCTTGTCAGCTTCAGCACGTTGCTTCAACTCCTTCATGATGCTGTGGTGTGGGTTCAACTCCATGGTCTTCTTGCTCACCATGAAATTCTGAGAAATTGTTAAATCATAATAAATGGCGCAAGTCAGGCAATAAAAGTGCACTTTCGTCACATGGAATAACCCATTGGAGTGGTGCATAACACTATAGTCATCATACTAAGCGCACACATATAGTTCGGTCAAACTTACCCCAAAGCTGTTGTCACGCAGAGCCTGGGCCTTCATGATACGCTCCATGTTGGCGGACCATCCAAATTCGCTTGTGACCAAAGCACATGGGCTCTCGGTGAAACGTTTGCCACAAATGACCTTCTCGACCTTGTCGTGAAGGATCTCCTTGATCAAATGGCAAAGAGGCTCCATTTCCTTTTCCAATTCCTCGAAGCTCTTACGCTCTTCCTCGGTGTCCTCAAGATCAAGGTTTTCCTTGGTACAACACTTAAGCTTCTTGCCTTCAAATTCCTTAATCTGCTGAACAGCGTACTCATCAATGGGGTCGGTCATGTAGATAACCTCGATGCCCTTGGTACGCAAGCCTTCCAGGAATGGCGAGTTGGCTACAGTTTGCTTGGACTCCCCGGTAATGTAGTAGATGTACTTCTGTTCGGGCTTCATGCGATCTACGTACTCCTTTAGGCTGATAAGTTCGTCACCACTCTTGGAAGTTTCGTAACGAAGCAACTCGGCAATCTGTAATATTATGAGCGTATGCATGTAAAAGCGCATAATATCAAAAAAACAAAACGGTGGTGTTACGGGAATGATACAGTGTGTCACCGTTGATTCGGACACGGGTTAGGCATCCTTAAGGACGATGAATTGATATACCAGCCTGAAATGCCTCGAACGTGTCAACGTTAAAGGCACTGCTCCACGGCCGGATTCACCGAGCGTTTGTGTGTGTAACTAAATATAATGTAACCTACCTTCATACGGTTTGCGTTGTCTTCGTGGATACCCAACTTGAGGTTTTTGCTGAATTGGTCGTAGAATTTCCTGAAGTCCTCCTTCTTTTCTGTAAGTTCGGAGAATAGCTCTAGGCATTTCTTGACAAGGTTCTTGCGGATAACCTTAAGGATCTTGTTTTGTTGTAGAACCTCTCTGCTGATGTTCAATGGTAGATCTTCGGAATCGACAACACCCTTGATGAAGCTAAGCCACTCTGGTATGAGTTCTTCACAGTCGTCCATAATGAACACACGTCTCACGTAAAGTTTGATGTTGTTTTTCTTCTTGCGGCTTTCGAACATGTCGAATGGTGCACGCTTTGGTACGAAAAGAAGAGCCTTGAATTCCAATTGACCTTCTACACTAAAGTGTTTGACAGCCAAATGGTCTTCCCAATCGTTGCACAAGTTTTTGTAGAAGCTTGCGTACTCTTCGTTAGTAACCTCACTTGGAAGTCTCATCCAAATTGGTTTCTGCTTGTTTAGCATTTCCCATTCACGTGTGACAGAAGTAACCTTGCGTTTCTTCTTCTTATCGGCCTTTTCGTTGTCATCTTGTTTTTCGTCATCCTTGTCCTCCCCCTCTTCTTTGTCTACTTCGTCGGTGACGTCGGTTATCTTTTCCTCAGGTTTTTCTCCAGTTTCCGAAGCCTCGGCCTCATCGTCTGTCACTTCTGTTTCCGTCGTCTTTTCTACTGAAAGGCGTATTGGGAACGAGATGAATTCACTGTGTTTCTTAACAAGTTCCTTCAAACGGCGTTCTTCCAGGTATTCGCTCTGATCTTCTTTAAGGTGAAGTACGAGGCGCGTTCCACGTTTAAGTTGTTCTCCGGACTCGTCTTTGGTGATAGTGAAATGTCCACTGGCATTTGATTCCCATACATATTGGTCGTCATCGTTGTGTTTGGAGATAACTGTTACCTTGTCCGCTACAAGGTATGCGGAGTAGAAACCAACACCGAATTGACCAATCATAGACATGTCAGCTCCAGCTTGGATAGCTTCCATGAATGCTTTGGTTCCTGACTTGGCGATTGTACCCAAGTTGTTGATTAATTCGGTTTTGGTCATACCGATACCAGTGTCTTCAATAGTCAAGGTGTGATTGGTCTTGTCAGCAGAAAGGCTGATTTGGTATTCGGGGAAATCCTCGACCTGCTTTGGGTCCTTGATAGCCTCATATCTAATCTTTTCCAAGGCGTCACTAGCATTACTGATAAGTTCACGAAGGAAGATTTCCTTGTTGCTGTAGAAGGCGTTGATAATAAGACCTGAGCACTTATGACACCGGGATACACATAAACACTGCGACGATTATGCAACTGTGTTACGGGCATTATATATAGATTCCACGAAGTTGCACTACGACAAATCTAACATTAGCTCTCCGTTAGGGTGAAACCACTAACGGTTAGCACGTTGTGAGGTGACTTACTCAACAATTGAGAGATGTCCGCGTTGAACGCGTATGTCTCTTGTCCAGAAGTTGCCATTTTGTGAAATCGAAGTTGAATGAGAATCTCGCACAAATAACGCTGAACCAGTGCTATTATATTCTGTGACTAAGTGGGCACACGTACTAACCCTATATCTCCAGAGGTGACAAATAAGCACTATAGGGAGGTGACAAATAAGAACAACTAACGCAAAGGTGATACACCCCGGAGACACGAAATTTTACTAATGTGTTTGGTGTTACCATTCTGTTTCAATCCATAAGGGTTTTATTGCCACCTTCTCATGACGCGCGAGCGTGGAAGCGACCCTCGGGGCAGCGCGGCGCTAGGCTACCGTTGTTAACCGTACGTACTATCACTAAACAATAATGTAGTGACTAAATGATAGAATACTCGGCTATTCCGCTACTGCTGAACTACAATATAAAATGTCTAGGGCGAGAGTATGTCGAGCTTCGCCGACATACGACCTGATGCGGCGCGCCACACCTTGCTCTCTTAATAGTTGTGTCCATAAAGCTACATTCATGTACAACATGCGTTGCTCTGCAACGGAATCTTTGAGTTGATACGCTGTAGTTGATTGTCTGTAAAAGTCGCGATTCTGCAGAAATTGAGTTCAAATTGTTACTATATGATGTTACAGTCGTGTGCACAGTTGCGCTGGTTAGGGAATCTTGCCTCGAGTTGCCGCAAACGAAAGAGCCGATATCAAATTCTGACGCTTCAAAGTCGCGCAGCTTACATACTCTTTTGGCACGAATGCAAATTTGATAAATAAAATAAGTAGTGCCGTATCGGAAGGTAGTAGCAAAATGTGTCTCCGGTGATAGTTGACACTAGGTGGACCAAATTATGTGTCCACCCCCACTGGTGCGCGTAACTTATATTGTACCCAGGTTCATAAACATTAAGCGTACACCCATAAATAAGTTGCGGAGCTACTGCCAACTATTAGCTCAATAAATACGGGGAGAACGGGCAAGCAGTGACCCTGATCGTCACTTGAGCTACGACTTAACCGACCAGACAACAGGCAGACACCAAAGCCATTACCAACCGACATAAGATGCCGGTCCTCGGTATTGACATTGGTGACGGCAACGCCACGGTTGCCACCATCTCTAAGGGCGCTATTGACGTCGTTCTTAACGAGGTGTCACAGCGATACACTCCGTAAGTTTTATACACATTTGTATGGCAGTTACACCAGTGGGATTACCTTAAGCTGGCGCCTACATAGTTTGCGAATATTGTGATCACTGTACATAGCACCGTGGAGGTTTGTATGTCCCATTTCGTGCACTTTTATTCCATTATTTTCTGAGCGTAGTACGCTGGCTAACATTTTTACAGAGTATGTGCGAGCTTTACACAGAAGAGGAGGCTCTTTGGCGACCAGGCCACGCCTCAGATGATCTCTAATTATCGTAATTCATGCCGAAACATGATGAGCCTACTAGGAAGAACCATAGGTGGTCACCACGACCTCGCCGTGGACCCTATGGACGATTTTTTCAGCCCTAACGGCATATCCCAGTGCTCGAATGGCTATGTTGGATATAATTGCGCTATTACACCAGAACCTTACGATGTCACGAAGGTACTCGCTGGATACCTTGGCTTCCTGTCATCGATGGCGGAAAAGTACACCATGCTACCTTGCAAAGAGGTGGTGCTAGCATGCCCAGGGTGGTACACTGATGTCCAGAAGGAGATGCTTAGAATCGCCGCAACAGCAGCAGGGCTCTCATGTCTAAATGTAATTGACGAATGCACCGCCATGGCTCTTGACTACGGTGTATACAGAGTGAAACAGCTCTCAGATGATAAACCAACTACTGTAGCGCTAGTCATGGTAGGGCATTCCCACGCATCAGCTGCTGTTTGTGACTTCTACCAGAACCGTGTGGAGGTACTTTCTCATGTATCAAGACGTGATATAGGAGGCCGCAACCTAGACCACATGCTAATGGCCCACATGGCAAAAGAATTTGAAAAATATGGCTGCAACCCTCTGGAGAGTAGGAAAGTGCGTCTGAAGCTTGAGGCGGTAGCAATTAAGACGAAACGCGTGTTATCTGCGAACTCAGAGAGCGGTTACTCGGCAGAATGCCTAATGGAGGAGAACGACCTCCATGGAAGCATCACGCGTGAAGAGTTTGAGGCTATGTGCAAGGAAGAATTTTTGCCCAATTTGACTGAAATGCTCATGGAATGTGTGAATTTGTCTGGTAAACCCGTTGGCGAGATTTCTTGCGTGGAGATTGCAGGTGGTGTAACCCGTATCCCCTGTGTCCAGCAGACGATCCACAGTATCTTCGGTTTACAACTGTCGCGTACACTTAACTCGGACGAATGTATTGCCCGTGGGTGTGTACTTGATGCAGCGATGAGGAGCATTAGCTATCGCGTTAGGAAATATTTGGCCGTTGAGCGCCTTACCCGTCCGTTGACCTATGCCTGCATCCAAGGTGGTGACATTTCGCAGCTACCAAGTGCTGAAACTGTTGAAGTATTGCCGGCGAACAGTACCAAAGGTGCTCCCATCGTCACTAAAATGGCTATTTCAGGGCCCATGGTTATCGTTGCCTCACGTGGTAACCCGAGAGATACTAATGATCCACATTTCCTGCAGGCCATAGAGGTTGTTAAGCAAATATCACCTACAGAAGCTGAAGGTGTAGCTACCATTTCTGCTTGTTTCGATGAGAATGGTGACTTTTGCTTCACTGGTGTCGAGGGTCACGAATTCGTTGTTATCCAGAAGAAGCCTGTTTTAGACGTTGAGGAATATGCTAAATTTGAGGCAGAAGCGAGGTCTCAAGATGCTATTGAAAATGAGAGATTACATACTTTGAACGATTTTGAAACTTTGATATACAGTGTTAAGGAAAAAATGCAAGGTTCACACCGTGAATTTGTTGCACCAGATAATGTTGTCGCCATGGACCAGGAGCTGAACAAATGGAGTGATTGGCTTTACGACAACTATGAAGCTACCCTTGATGTATTAAAGGAATCTTTGAATAGTCTATTGTCTCATTGGTCTCCTGTCGAGCATTTGTACAGGGTTCATAAAGCCAAGCAAGACGAGCTTGGTAATTTCCTATCCAATTTACGTGCTAAATACAATCTGTGTCGTGAAGATTCTCCAATGTGGTATGGCGCTCCTGAGGAAGATCGTCTTGATTTTGCTCGAAGGATATTGGCGTTTGAAGAGAAAATCCGCGTGCAGTTAGAAGAGGAGAATTCTATCCCGCGTCACGAGAAGCCTCTGTTCACTATGGACCAGCTGAACACCGAATTGCGTCAGATAACATCTGATATTGATGAATTCTGCCGTCGTATGCGTGTTCAAAGTGAGCGTCGTAAGGAGGAGGAGATGGCTGCTCAAGCTCAGTCAGAGCCCGCGGAACCCGCTGAGCCTGCGGAGCCTGATGTGTCTGTGGAGGAGCCCGCCGAGGAAGTACCACAATAAACTCGTTAATATACTTTAACGTGAACAGATGATAGGTAGATATCGATCTTTGTTTTTTCGCTGTGTTGCGCGTCGTCGCGCTTTTTCTACCGGGCGCAACGCTCCGACCTCCGGCGTAAGCCCTCGTTATTGAGAGACTTATATGTACAGGGTGTGTTGAGAAATGCAGTTCGAACGGTGTTTATATGCGGGTGTGTCACTGCCGGTGTCTACGCGTTGCACGAGGCTCGGCAGATGCAGCAGAAAGGTGTGTCTTCTACAGGAGTTTTTCATGACAGTGTAGCTATTGTTCAAGAGGAACGTTATGGCAAACCTCAGTTAGGAGGCCCCTTTACCCTTGTTGATCAAACAGGGCGTGAACGTTCTTTGTCGGACTTCCGCGGGAAATTGGTACTAATATACTTTGGTAAGTGGTTATGTATCATGATATTGTTGTATGATTTGTCTTTAATCGCGATTTTAAAGAGACTGGTTATATGTGCTGCAGGTTTCGCCAACTGCCCAGACATCTGTCCTGTTGAAATGGAGAAACAAAATATGGTGACAGAGCTACTCGGTAATGCGCAAAGAATTAGATGATGTCATTTGCTGCAGAAAAACGTTTTGGTCCAGTGTTGCAACCACTTTTCATCACGGGTAGGATAGATGTATTTTAGAATTCATAGCACTTAGTGGACCCCAAACGTGATAGTGTCGAGAAGTTGGCTTCATATGCAAAGGCATACCATCCGAGGCTCATAGCGCTTACTGGCAACAATGTATGTCCCCCTGTAACTTAATTAATATAACTACAGGATCGCATTAGGGATGTTGCTAAGAAGTTCAGGGTCTATTACAACCAGGGTATCACGGCAACCGATGAAGACTACCTAATAGATCACTCAATAATCCATTATTTGCTTGATGAGAATGGTGAATTTTTGGAATTTTATAGCAAAAATGCAAGTGCTAAGGAAATAGCTGACGATATCGCAAAAATAGTGCAAAAAAGAAACATAAAACCATAATGTCATGTAGATGACTACATAACATGTTAATGTTGAGGTTTTTCTAGTATCAACCGGCAAGGTCTCTCTTACGACCGCGCAAGCGTACTTCTGCCAATTTTGCAATAGTTTGTGCGGCGGATTTGCTATGTTTCTTATAAGCATCCAAGAGTAGTTCGAACTACATGAGATGGTGAGAGGTGTTACCGTGGCGACGTACCTGTTCAGCACTGCAGCATCGCTCTAGGACATATAGGTCTACACCTTTATCCTGTATCGAGTCACTAGGGCAAGATGAAAACTTACCTCTGCTAGTGTGGACACATAACTAAGCCCGAAATCTATGAGACATATCTCTCCGCTTTCTGTGCGTAGCATGTTACGAGTGGTAAGGTCACCATGTACAACATTAACATCATGCATCATAGCCAGGATTTCCCCAACACGTTGTAACACGTCATTCCTTAGATCATCTGATGCGTTTGACAATACTTCTAGTACTGTCTCTCCTTCTATAAACTCGTGAATGATATACCGGTTCTTCAGATCTGCTAGGTAGATTAGTGGCACATAGACTCCATGACGCCGTAACCGAGCTACTGCCCGGCATTCAGCCATCATACGTTTGTTGGTGAGGGTCGTATCAAGTTCTTCATGTCGGTATCGTTTTCTCAAGCGTCTCTTGAGCACCGCGTTTCGACCCAAGTAGCGTACGAGGCTCACGCGCTGCACATTGTGGAATAAAATGGAGTAAAACATACAGCTTCGGCTCCTTGCGAAATTAAAGTATCTTTATTAGAGGATTCCATTGAATGGAGTTCATTATAGCTTCTGGTGTTGTGTAGCGCTTGGTCTTGTACCTTACCATATTGAAGCTGCACAGTTTCAATAAATCGCCACCGTAGGGCGGAATGCGTTGTATACATTAAATTTGACTTGATATGCGAGTATCGAAAGGTTTAGATAAGGTTGCGATTGAAGTACGCAACCTAAGCAACGCTCTATTACAAGGAGAAAGGAATCCAGACCTGTTTCCAGCCCATATACGGCGACTACGCGCAATAGGTAAGTCAAGTCAAGCTATTGGTGTTATCCCATGGTTACTTAATAGTGATAACGTTGTACAGCGTCGGCAGTAAGGCAAGAGAGGGCCCATTTAGGCGTTAACCAGGATGCGCTTAACCCTGAGGAGTTCCCATTAGAGCGCGCAACAAGGGTTGTTTATGCTATTTATGATATTCGAACACCCGAATTATTCTACTTAGCCTCGAGGGACCCTGCAGGAATCGATACCCATCGTCTTTTTTTGGCATCCCGTAGACAACGTGGTAACGCATTGTTGGACTACTTGTCAAAGTATGGTTGCATGGTTGTGTGACCTTTAAGTGGAATATAGGACCGACTTTAGTCTCCTGGGAGTGTACCCATTGGAATCGATAGATGCTCGTGGCGTGCCATTTCGAGTAATCTCTCGAGCTCGTCTGGCATTTTGGCGCTCTCTAGCTTTATAATGCGAATTTAAATGTTTAGCCACACATATTAAGACCAGATCACTGTCTTATACCATGATTAGGCTCTGTCGATTGCTGAGAGGTCCTGGCCATGCCAGTTGCAAGGAACTTTCAGTGATCACTCAGGACGGTCCCGCTCGGCGTTTTCGATTTCGGCTAAAACCGATCAAGCACGATTTTGGACGAGTATTATGCATGGCTGATGCACGAACACTGAGGGCCACCAGTGACGAGGTTTTAGGTCTGGTGGGTCGTGGCAAACATCGCAGGGCCCTGCCAGAGGATTGGGCAGGGCCTTCAAGTAAGGTGACAAGTGTAACTAAAACAAATGCGTTCTGGACTGTGTTCAGCAAACGTTTCAAAGCTTGTCTTCCTATACTGTCGGTAAATGACACTGTGCATGTTCTCAAGGCATTTCATGCCGCAAACAAGGACACAGGTAAAGCTGTATATGTTTGATAAAGCATAGATTCAGGTGTATATGTGGCTGCAGCTCCTTTGATGCGGTACAATATACGACACCTTGACAAGGACTTACTTATCGATGCTCTTCACATCCTGTCGACGAGGCTGAAAAGGAATACACAACAGGACCTTTTTCGAGCTATGGCAGACCACGTGCCTAACGTGCTATGGGCAATGAAAGGTAAGAGCTATTACGGGAATGTAATATATATGAGACACGCAGCTTCTGATATCGCCGCTACCCTGTGGCATCTGAGCCGCGCGCGTTGCACCGATAGAAAGTTAGCTGCCCACATGCAAGCTAAATTTTGCGATACTATGGACGCACTGAACGACCTAGGTGTGTGTTTGATTTTGGCAAGCACATCATACGCAGAGCGCGGTACGGCAGTCCTCGCCTTCGCGCGACACGGGCACTCCGACAAGAGTCTATTCACATCCATCACTTCACAGCTTAGCAAGCGTTGTTCGGTACGTCCTACGTATGTAAAATATAATTTGTTTAAAGGGAGAATCTCTTTTTCGGGCGGCCTGGGGTATGCACATGGTGGGCTTGGATGTCCAAGACCTATTACGTGATCGTCTCGTCACATGTGTAGAACACGTAAAAAACGCAGATAGGTATATTGTCGATTAGTGTCCGCAATTTTTGCAGCCGATCGGTTGAAATCTGGCGCCGCATCCTAGGGCATAGCGACTGTTACGATAAGGTCTTCGGTAGTCGAGAATAGCGCTTGAATTAGAGTGTTATAGGTAACCGACGGCCTATCTACAAAAGTAGCCTCGAAGATATCATCATGAGCCAAGGTAGCGCGCACTAATATAAGCTAGGATCAACATGAACGTGTTCGGGATAATCGCGGTATTAACGACATTAACCATTAGGCATGTCGCTTCAACATGTCTTACGTTTGTGCCTGTCGACATTTCAGTAGAGAAATCTCAGGCTTACACACGACACAATGAGTCTGAAAACAGTTACTCTATAAGTGTATTTTACGGCAAATGTATCGGCAATGTTCTTAACGGTATGACCGTCATCTCGTATACGCCGGAAGGCGATGTCAGCTCAAGGAATGTAATGGTTCACAGATTCGAGAAACGAGATGTTGCACCGGGATCGATAGAACCTGCAGTTGATGAATCTGGGCAGTTTGAAGTGATTGAAATTGAAACCGTGCATAACGAAATACCCATGAGACAGAGATTAGTATTGAGCAAAGATGGAACGTATAGTGATTTTCAATATGCGTTTGTGGAACTGGATATATGCGGTGATAGCTTCGACGACTTCACCCACGAAGTTGCACAAACGCAGACATCCGCCACAGCCGAATTGCTCCGTCCGAAATCATACCAACGTATAGGAACGGTCAAATGCGGTGATCGCGTGTTATTAGAGGCTGATGACGCCATTTTCACGAGATACGCAATGAGGAACAATAACGCCTGGGAGATAATTACGACGCCCTATGTTGGACGCAAATTTCAAACCACATTTTTACCTGTAGCATGGGATGATTGCAGTTATAGGATTGCTGACCCTGGCTCAACCTATGTCGATCTTTCACTTGATTATGAAGCCGAATATGGCGATGTGTTAGTGGACTGTGGAGAAAACTGTATCTTTTTCGATGGTTGCACTAACCCAGAACGCAGAGTTGTAGATGTACTGGACCGTAATGGTGTTATATATATGGGTGTGAACACACGCTGCATAAATTTGAAGCTGCAAACTTTCGGACAAGACAAATACCTCACCATTTTCGCAAAGCTTATCAACGGCATGTTCGAAGCAAAGAGACTGGTGTCTACTAACGGGAGGACCTATGTACCATACAAACCGCAAATTATAAACCTCGAATTGACAGATGACCATGTTGATGAGCATATCAATGTAGCTGTTGAAGGCAACACGAAAACATACACTATACCAACACCAGACAACCTTAAATACTCCATCGGTGCTGTGACATACAACAAGCATGTTTTGGCTGGCCGTGCATTTATCGATACACCTGATAATGTACCATATATCGTGTTGTCAAGGAAAGTTACAGTCAATGACGGTATGACAACAATTTACACCGAGAAGGATAATGCAGAGCCAACCGTGTTTACCTATGTGACTAGCAAGGATATGGTCACTTTGTATACACCAAAATCGCTAGATTTTGATTTGGCAGAGATACACAAAAATAATAGCGCCTTCAAAGTTACACGTGTGGAAGATGACAGGTACCACGTAATAACCAAAGACCCTCACATGAAGATTGGTACTGTCAAATACAAAAACCAAGTTGTGCACCGTAACCAATATGGTGTTGTATCGTCTCAACTGATTTACAGGTTTGGAGAGTTGTCAGTGATTTCCGAACTAAGCGAATCACAAGTGTTCTATAATAGGTACATTATGACCAAGGGTTTCGTTGCTGACGACATTGTCATGTTTGTAGAACAATACAAGGACCCTGTGACTTTACATTTGGAGCTTCTGTACACAGGTAATTTACCACAATACTTCTGTGTAGAGCCTTTTGGTGCATTCGTGAAGGTCTACCTGTGCAAGCATTTATTTGGCCACACTCTAGGTTCCGTCATGTTTAACAAAGGCACAGTTGTGCCACACAACAGGTACTACAAGACAAGGGAAGTTTATGTTTCATGGGACTTTTTCCTCTCGAGTTTGGTTGTGAAGTCATACACGGAGAATGGCGATGTTGTGGTTGAGTCCTTCAACCACCGTATTAAAGACCGTGGAATTCATTTTGCACAGCATACCAAGAAGGCTGTAACTGTTGACTTATCACCGAAAGTGAACTTAGATCGTGCTGTTACGAGGCTTCAGGATGGTAATGTATACCACTACAGTATCAAGACCGAGTATGCCAAGGAATACCGTATCGGAGACATTAAAAACCAAGGTATCCATGTGACGTCGGATAATGCCCTTAATATCAGCCGATCTGTGACCGTTACTGTCGACAGGCATGCAAACCCAAGCAAGAGCGTCACATTGCGTATTGCAGACATCACTCTGTCCGGACCTCGTGCGAGATTACTCACGGGTGATACTGATCTTCATCTTACTTATGAAGCTCCTAAGAAGCCATTGACGGTTGATGTTACTTTTAGGGGTAAACGGGACGAACCTGTCTCAATTGGATACTCCCATGACACCATTTCTTTCTATGTGCCCTGGACCCATGCGTGCGAATACAAGCTCGCAAAAGTTGTCGCCACTGATGCCAACAAAAAGGTTAGCGTGTTGTTCGGTGAGCTCGGACTACAAGAGATGCCTGAAGTTAGACTTCGTAAGGTAGGGGAAGAGTCTAAGGCTCTCATCTCTATCACTCCAAAGGTCGGGAAACCTGTATATGGAGACGTCAAATGTGATGCTAATGGCTCAATTAGCGTCTCCAAAATAGAATCCAACAATTCTGATGTTATGTACACCTCACACTATGGTGAATTGTGAAAACGTAGAAATAATGTTTAAACAAAGATTTACATGTACTCACAAGGGTTTGACCGTGTTTCAACCATCATGTAGGCATTATGGTGTCTGTAGAATGTATAGAGGCATAAGTTATGAGTTCATAGCGATTAGAATGTGTTGTTTGACCTTTACATGTGGTCTTGGTTGCGTTTGTCGTATACTGTGTAGCGTTAAGGTTAGGACATTGGGACTTACTGTTGTATACCAATAGTTTTTCTATAAGGTCAACATGTGTTAATATCATACGACGGCAGCAGTATCTGGTCAGGTCTAGGCGATCTAGCGCATCCCTACGTTGTATTTTTCCAAATACATATATACTCACCCTTCGTTCACGTTCTGCTTGAGCAGATCAAGCCAGCGCTCCCATAAATGGCCAATGACCTTGCCACAGGTGAAACACCTAATTGGTACAATCATCCTGTGGAAGATTGTAACTGTCGGTGGGCAATGGGCTCTAGAATCCATGGGGGCGCGCGGCAACTATGGAGCAGCTGCAGCCAGTTTCAATAATGGTACATAAATCGCAACACCAAAGTGCCGACTATGAGTTAAAGGCATGTGTATTGCCGCCAGGAGCGGCATTCTTCGCCGATGGCGGAGGGGCTTACTTTTTCGTTTCGGATAAGTGCCACTATGCCTTCGACGTAAGTAGAACCTGTGTAATCGCACATATGCATAGGACCACCTGGAATGTATACTTAAAGTCAACCTGAAGCATATATGCCATGTTGGCTCGAGATTTGGCCATGCTTTGGCCTTGGCGGCAAGCAACAGTCTATATTACGTTGACACTGCAGATACGGTCCAAGTGAAGAAATCGAAGAAACGTATACTACATGTACATATGCTAAGTGTCAGTGATGTTTTACAAGTGTCAATCTGTCGAACTCGTAAAATGCTACAATTGGTCCTTGGTGGCCATACGCTGGGATTGGAGTCATACTCAGGCCGATGTAATTACCGTATAATATTCGCGTCATTGGTGTACAACAACGTGTTTTGTTTGTCTTATGTTGATGAGGGAGGAAACGTTAAAATCGCATTAATCGCAATAGGAAAAGACCGAATGACACTCATCAGAAAGGACTGCTTCCGGCAGGCGCAAAATGCCAAGATGTCACGGGCACTGGGGACTGAAAACTTGTTCCTTATAGAATGTGACGGAGAACGAAGTGTCCTGAGTTACGACCAATCACACTGTTCTATGGTGCTTATGAAACAGCTGTCACTGAAGACTGAGGCCAGTGTCCGGCTTGTGGACGAAGAGCGCATCCTCCAGTTTGTGTTGGTTCCAAGAGCGTTACGCATTATCTGCGATGGTGCCACCGCGGATGACCATGTGGAGTATACGATACCACTGGATGGTGATCATTGCGAAATTTTATCGGTGGGTATTATGACTTGTTTTTGGTCATGCCTTGCAGGTCAAACGTCTAGACCAAGCTATAGCTGTACTTATAAATGTCGATGGAAAGGGTGTGGTACTATGCCGATTCAGATTACCTTGTTCAACTAGTCATTCCATCCTTGACAATGATATGTTAACTAAAACGGAAGGTAAGATCTACGTTACCTTGATTATATCGTTAGTGTTGAATCTAATATGTGGTTTAAGAGTGCAGTTGAAATATCCTGATGACGTTATCTAACCGTGACTCAGAGGAACTGTCTACCCTTATCCGTAGCGGCAAGATTCCTATCAACAGTCAACTTGTTGATCATATTATGGCCAATAATCTGGAGTCTTGTGCTGTAGAATGTCTCAAATCTCTATATATTCCGGTTAGTTGCCCCAAAACGTTAGACCCACATTACTCATTAGGAAGAGCAGGCTGTTCGAATAATAACAAAGGATACGTCACTTCTGAAGGAGCTTATAGAGCACACTAAAGGTGACCAGCAAGAGATAATGTCTGCTATACGTCAGCATGTGTCAAAAGAGAAATGTGCTGAGATTATCCAGCAGCTGCTAGATATGTTGGATCGTATAGAGATGTTCGGATCGCAACAAGTGCATTGTTATAAGCGCATCATCGCATTTATGAACATTCTAATGGACGCTATGCTCTTCAATATGCACGAGGCGGGAGCACTCAAAGATGAATGGATTGACAAGCTCAAGGCGCTTGTAAAGCACTGCCATACGGAGAGTCACAACCTTCAAAGCTTGCTGAGCTTTACAAACAGCTTGCTAAAAAGACGTGTCAACAAGGAGGAGAATGATAAGAGCTCCCTTATAGTTGTGTTACCAATCTCGGTATAGCCAGGGGAACACACCCTAATATAGTGATGTTTATGAAGTGTGTGTACTTTTGTTGATATTTAAAGGTTACAGTCGTCATTTACCGGGGTGGACAGAGCTATAGGCTGGGCGAGGCTAGAGTCGACCAAATAACGCTGTCTCGAGCGTGGCCAAAAACACATTGTAAATTCAATGTATTTCTAGATAAGGTACGATTCCGACGTGTAAAACTGTGGATTACAGATTGCCATTCCCGCCTCACCACGGCAGCGTGGCTTACCATGGGGTTGAGATGGCGCAACTTCCGAGAACAATATCCATACTGAAAAAGGGTACTTAAATCGGCAATATTTAAAAGTATATAGTACCTTGATGCTCCAAAATGGGTAAATGTGGTAAAGGTACGGGGTCGTTCGGTCTCCGCAACGGTAAAACCCACATTCCATGTCGCCGATGTGGCAATTGCGCCTTTCACATCCAGAAAAGAAGGTGTGCCTCATGCGGTAAGTTACATATATATAACGTGGAAATGATTTGTTGGACTTGAAGGTTAATGGATTTTCGACCGTGACGCGGTGACCACTCCAACAGTACTTTTATATTGTATAAACATATTATAACAAACTTATATATTGTTACAGGCTATCCAGACAAAAAAACTCGCGGCTATAACTGGTCGTTCAAGGCCATCCGCAGAAGGACTACCGGTACTGGCAGGTGAGTCACTTGTCACCAAGCGTCTGTCATCGCACGTTGTGTTACAAACTTATATTTATTAATAGGTGTCGTCACCTGAAGACTATGCCGAGGAGGTTCAAAAACGGGTTCCGTTCTGGCACTACACCAGCGTCCAAGAAGAAAACTGGACCCGCCACGGTCTAAGTGACTCAAACCACTTTAATCATTAGATTAAATGCATTTCGTAAACGTACACACACTGTTTTAAATGGATAAAATAACGAACATATTTATACGCAATCAGAGGACCGTAGGATCCGCTGTTGCGCGTAGTGCCCCCGGCACACATGCTACGAAGCGTCTGTTTGCGGCAGAGAGCGCTGCCATTGATGTCAGCGGTGAATATGTACTGAAACCAGTGCCCGGTGAGAGTGGAAAGTTCTACCTTTCTTTCAAAAAGGATAAAATGGCGTCACTCAAGGACCTATCTTTCATCGATTTCACCAAGAATAGTAATGTGCAAAAGGGAGAATTTCTATTAAGTGTAGAGTCAGCAAAAACTATGTTTGACTTCATGTCGCCAGCAACGCTGAAAATTATAGCGTTTAACAAAAAATTTGTTGAAAAACCAACTGAAGACATACTTAAAAAACTTAAAGATGATCCAGAAATTGAAGATAACTATCTTATGATTGTAGAAATGGCATGAGTCATCATTACCATGGCAGAAAATTGCCAATCTTGGTGTGGAAGCCAGATGTCAAAATGTCAGTGACGTAAGAATCACTGCGGATCAATCTTGGATTCAGTACCAGGTATAACTGCCTTCATACAACGACCGAATTCACGAAGCTCCTTCTGGCATTGCCTCCATACCCTGCCAAAAAGGTCAACCATGGAAACTGGCAAACATTGCCGTACGTCAATTTAAAAAACAAAAAAAAACATGTAAATTACATAATAATGACGTATATAGATATTTATGTGTGGAAATACATACCTATCATGGCGGTCTAGACAGTCCTCTAAGCGGCCGTACTCTTTGACACAGCCGGTCTGAGCTATCCGCTCTTCGAAGTCCAGTGCGCTAAGATCGCTACCTACTGACATAGATATTTGCGTATAAATATATATAGGCCAGATTTTGACCACTTATGTTGCCATTTATTAGGATGTGTGCCGCAGAATGTAGAATCCCAACCTCATGGAAGGTCGACAATACCCAAGAACATAAGTCCAACGTACGAAAATCCACAATATTATGTACAAATGTGGGAACAATAACATGTGAACGCTTCGCAATATCTAATACGTTATCATAATAGTTACACATAGCAACTAGAACCATTTAGACAGGCGCTACTGTGGATACAGGCCGACTATTCGCAGTGCTTATATGGTCAAAACGAGCCATATGTTAACGTTATACGAGAGAAGAACAAGAAATGAGGGTCGTAGATGGTAGCGGCATGAATAGGATTCTGATTTAAGCGACAGCTGAAGGCGGTATTAGCCAGGCAGCACTCGGAACACCGAGAGCATGACTGGATACGCTATACTGCTCGTTAAGATATGGTTGACCTCCAATGTAGTTATAGTACCGGTGCTAGGTTTGCAAAATTCGCAACCAAAATGTCGCAATACTAAAAATGGCGCCTTATACGCTCTGAAAGAAGCAACGGTGACATGGCGACACAGTGAAACGAGAAACGGGAAACCTTTCGAAAACTCTAGAAGACGAAGTTGCATGCCATATTCAGCATTCGTACCGCTGGGTAACAGAGGAATATGTGATAAGTTGGTGTCAAGAGCTAGCAAACAAAACGGATCGGCCGAATGCAAGGCTACGAACGACCCCGGCATAAATGGAACATCAAATTTTAAAGACAGTCTTCCGTTAGAGCATCTATTCAATAGGAAACAATATGATATAGGACTTCCGCCGGATAAAGTCGAAGATCTTAGAGCTATGCTGGACGAAGTGTATCTAGACGGAAATGGCAGTGATGAAGATGAGGCGCATCCGCTCAGCGATGTCTATCTCAAGTACTGGTCAAGAGAACCGAACGACAGAGATGTATTGATGCGAAACTTGGAAATGCTAATGAAAGAAGTGGACAAAGTAGGAGACTACGCCGAAGCATGTAAAAACCTGGGATTTCCAGAACCACTAACGATCAAACCTGAACTTACATCGGCTCTACTCAGGGATATGTTCAACCTTAGAGCGAAACCAAAATCTTACACTCAATATATAGCAGAAGCATTGGGTTTGGACAAAATTCTCGGATACTTTTCAGGGAAAGAAAAGCAGCAGCGATCCAGTATCTGGCCATTTGGAATAGAGATTCGGGACCCTAATACGGAAATTCAACCTCTAACGGAAACCGCGCTTAGAGGATACCTTGGGGCACCTTATTATGATCATGTTGCAGAGTTGGCGAAGCGCAACCCAGAGAACGCCAGGAGGATACTCACTGTGATACATCGTATATATACACCGCCAGTATTATTCATTGAGATGCATCCGGAACGAGCACCTACTGACCATGATTTGTATATGGATTCTGAAAATGTGAGAAAGGCGCAATCTGAGGCATACAAGAAATTTGTAAATACATACCCAGATTTGAAATGGCCAGTAGACGACGAAAGCTTTCTTGATGTATACAATACATGGTACCCAGATGACAAATCTATGCCGCTAAACTCCCTGCAAGAGCTTATGAAAGAAGGATATGGTAGTGGTGCTAATCTCAAAGCGCCAAACTTTTTCTATAGGTTCATAGCACTACCTACGATGAGCTGTGCCGCAGGTGCGGCTTTCGGAGGCTTGCTGGCGACGACCATCAATGCGGCAGCCGGGTTGGTTGCAGGTATCAACCTGCAAGGTATCATCGGTACTAAGATGTGCTCTGCAGCTATAGCTCTATCCACATGGTTCGGCATGTCCAGGGATATGACTGTGAAAGGTGATATATTTGATGTCGCGCTTAAAAATCTTGTGGATAATGCGCTAGAGAACCCTAAAATGTTGCAACAGGCAGCTTACAGTGGACTAATACCTAAGGATGACGTAATCTCAGGGGTGGAAAGGTTCGTAATACATTGTACCCTAGCGGCGTTCGGCAGGGCCATGCGTCTCGCTAAAGAAGGAAAGGGGATAGAGACGTGGAATCATCTAGCAAGACAAGTTGGAAGGGTTGCAGAAGTTTGCCTGCCGATATGTGGAGTTTCTGTTTATCGTATAGTTTATTTTGCGGCCTGTGACCTAGCGTCATCCGACGACCTTCCGTGCACAGATGGTGGAGAAGTACTGGGTACCGATATATCTGGAGATCCGGAATATGAAGATGATGATTACTCAGAATTGTACAAAAAGCAACATGAAGAGTTAGGGATACCGCCACCGGACACACACAGGCCTCGATATGAAAGAAATGCTCTGTTGTTTACTACATTTTGCCTACAGGCATTTGGTAACCTCAAGAATTTCAAACGGACTTCGGACGAAGAGATCGATAAATACAAAGAGTTTTTGCGAGAAATAAAGATGTTGAATGTCTCAGAAGACGCATGGGATAACCTTAAGGATCAACCGATGATGCCGTCAACCCTAGACAACGTGGAAAAATTCTCAAAGGAGCTGGAACAGACGGGAGGTAAGCTTAAACGGATAACATTGGAGCGCGAATATGGTTTTGATCCTGTAAACGGGATAATGGGCGAAACTGAAAAGCAGAAACATCACAGGATGCAAATAGAACTGCAAGAAGCAAGGGACGCCGTAGCAGGTGTCACCACTCCAATTGGATACAAACTCGAGATGCTCAAGGCCATGGCTATGACGATGTACCTCCGTGAAGAGTGGCTTTTGCCGAAATTCAGGGAATTTCTAAAACAGCAATGTATCGAGTTTCTCGGTGCCGAGATTGAAAATATGAACGCTAATATCGACGAGCTGATTCAAGGGTTCCAAATTAGGAAAGAGCAGAACGATATGACCAAGTATGCTGCGATGATACACCTAGCTCGGGATTTGGACAAAAGAAACGCTTTGGACCACGACAAGATATTGGAAATGGCAAGGGTTGCCGGGATACCTGAAGACTTGGCACTAGACGCATGTAGTGTTGCCTTATTCCCTAAGCTAATGGAAGAACTTTCGACATGGGACCTTGAATCGGTCACTGCTGAGACTATAGCTGATGTTAAGAATCGATATAGGTGTAAGGACCTTGTTTTCATCAATGCGTTGTGCGAGGTTATCAAGAAGATGGCCGCCGGGTCGAAAAAGGAGATGCTGAATGCTCGTAAAAAATACAATTGGAATTTGGTAGAAAAGCATCTGGGCGATTTGCTTAGAAGTAAAACTGCTATTATCAACGCAGCAGCAAGCACCATCGACTGCAAACTATGGTACCGTATAGAGAGGGCGTTTCGATTTAACATTCCGTTTTTGGAGCATGTGTTTGATGATGACGAGATTGTAGGTAGAGGGAGGCTTGAGAGAATAGAGAATCATGATTGGGAGTTGCAGGACCCGCCCCCGAAAAAGTCGGACTATGAAATCGCAGAGGAAGAATTCAACGCTGAGCTTGAGAATAAGGAACCTATACCGCTTAGCGGAGAAGATAATACTACACCTTTGCCTCTGCAAATGCGACTCTCTAATCTAGTCGAGAAGGGAGAGATGGATCCAGAGTTTGAATGTATACCTAATGAGTTCCACTTTGGAGATCCGCCTAAGGAGATCGAGTATGAGCTTGATCTCGAGCTACCACCCGATAAGTACGAATTGCAACGACCAATCTTAAACAGTCGAAATGCATATGCCTGTTGGGTAGTCTACTGCTACCGCAAGCGAGCAGTAAAAGAGGAGGACGTTAAGACTGTCCTCACTATATTCCCATTCCTAGAAAAACTAGTGGAGAGAAGCGATATGCATTGGAGGCGACTGTATGCGCGTCAGCGTCTCAGACAAAAGGACAGCTTGGGTTCTACCGTTGATTGGTGTCGCGAGTTGGACTGCGACGAAGAGACGGCATTAAAGGTATGTAGCGTGGCTTACGAAGAAGACCTTCTAAAACGTACGGGCGCATTTGTGGGACAAATAGAGGACGATATCGGTGATGTGGGAGACTCATATTTCAACCCTTTCGATCCATCGATATACAATAGACTCAACTATCTATACTCGGAGAAAGTGCCGTCAGAGTTGGAACGAGAGAATATTAAAAAGTTGCAACAATTTTTCAACCTTACTCCAGATGTCATCTCTGATATCCATACCAAGTGTTTTTCTCATGCTCTAGATCTACACTTCGGCAGATTGATTAGAGAATCGTCAAGGGACTGGCCTATGACAATACGAGATGAGCTGTTACCTTTGGCTAAAGAGCTTTATATACAAGAGAAACCTTTAGACATGCTATTGAGAAAGGCAGAACATGATTACCTTAAGGTGGAAGCGAATGAGCTAATGATTAACCGCACTCCAGGCAAGGACTTTCTCGAGCGATGCGAATTTATAATCGACGAGTTCAAGCGACTTAATGTTTTTTATAAGGAGGACGGTCAACACAGGCAAAAGTTTTCTATAGGAGCTCAAAACAAACATGTCATGGAAAAGATCATAGGAGCGTTCATCATATCATGTTGTGACGTTTACGGGAAAGTTGACCGGCAGAAGTTGGATGAACAATGTGCTGTATATGGGTTATTTAATGATGAAAGGAAGGATGTACTCAACCGACTTGGTCGAAAGTTCTATTACCGGTTCTTGAAGAAATTCAGTGAAGAAGAGTTGAGCATGGAAGCGTTCAATGAGGTGGCTCACCTGCACGAGGTGTACGAGTTCGAGCCAAAAGATGTAGAGGAAATATACAATAAGCACGTTGGTATAAGGATACGTGAGTGGTACGATCCTGCATCTGGTCTTGAAGCTTTGAAACGTACCATTACGGTAGTTGGAAACGACAGCATCAATCGTTACATTCCCTTCGAAAGGTCAAGGAGAATTCATTGGTTTGTCAATATCATTAACGATTGTATCAATATCGGTGATGATAAAACGAATACCAGAATTTTCACTTATCCGCCCGATGATTTTTTCGCGTTACAATTTGAAGGCGGAGAAGAAAACCTCGACACTCTGCAGGGAGTAGTGAACGTTGCCATACGTGTACTAGAGCTTTCTCCAGAGGAGATATACGAGGCGCGTATTGTAATAGCGGAGGAGATTGGTGCTGCCGCACTAAAAAACGCATTACAGTGCCTGAAGATGAAGGATGGTATTTATGCTGCAGATTCCGATATGTCAAAGTTTGTCAGGGCACTTTCAGTGGCCCCTCCGGGCACTATTGCCACGGTCAAGAAGGAACTGCCGCCTATAAAAGACTACAATCAACTTCGCAAAGTGATCATGATGTTGCCATGTTCCGATGAAACTCTGGCTAGGTCAATAAAATTGCTAGACGAGGTAGAGAAGGCGTGACGCTATTCGCTGCATACTGTCACAATAACAGGGCTGTAAATTGCCCTAAAATCATACAATCGATAATCTATCTGCTGTTTTCACATCCAGTGCTATCTAATGAGATCCGCAAATTTTTTCGCTGCAGCAGCAGCGTGGCATGCTGCTACCGCGTTCACTCGTGAGTCCGATGTCGAAAAAAAAGGTTGTGCGCTCCTGCATATCACAGTTAACTTATATTGCACGCTTCGTAAGTGGTTTGAGATTAATGTGCTGCAAATTAAGCGACAGAACCCTGTGAGCAAAACCAGCAGGGATCAAATAGGCCCCTAATTTTGTGACTTGAGTCTATACGATATACATTGACAATGAGACGTGGTAAAGCAATACGTATCACTATCTTAGTGATATTAGTGATAGTCGGCCTTGTGATGCTGGGAGTTTATCACTTGTTGGATAAGGAAGAGAAGGACGTGCAACGCAGAAAACGAAAATTCCGCCAATGAGATAGCTCAGCTCTTGGCAGGCAGATGTTCGACTGTCGTATGGAACCATTGGAAGGTTGAACACAGTTTCTTTCTACTTATGGGAAAACGGTAACAGAAAAAATGTGACTGACGCCGCAGGTGGCCTAAACAGGCTCTGTTCCGTCACGTCTACAATTTACCGGATGTTACTGACGCCTAAAGTGTCAGTAATATCATAATACAGCAATTAATATTTGACATGTATGATTCTATATATTGCCAAGTGTGTTTCTGCGTTTTTGTCTGGTATTAGAGTGATGACCATGCAGCGGCCGACTCACCCTCGGGCAAGAGGCGGGTCAAATGAAACATATCCGCCACCTATGTTTCATAAACCTGTAACAGCGTGTCTGCTCCGTAGAAAACGTGACGCTAACGAAGGCGTGAAAATACCTCAACGAATCGAATCACCCACGCAGGGGCATATTACAATTCACCATAATGGAACAGTACTTAGGTGAGGGCAGATGGACGAACATGGTTACATGTGTATGTATGTAGAATACCAATTTAACATTAGGCGAGTGGTTGAGAGCAAAATCTCACCTACGTGAGGTTTTACCCAAGGTGCGTTTACCAGTAAGCATGTGTTTAGGACGCTTGACTGGGATTGTACGGTCATGTTCGCTGTAAGTACCCTTTGGAACCTTAACGCGAGCCTTGGGACGTACAAACGGGACGGCCTCACCCTGGTCCTTGCGCTGGCGTAATTTAGCCGTCTCGAGCTTGTCAGTTATACTATCGATAGGCATGGGAGCAAGACGCGAAGCACGCTGGTGTAGTTTAATACGGTCCTTTCCACGACTACGCATCTTCTTCACCTTTATGGTATCATTCAACACTGGACCGCCCTTCTTCCGTTTCAAAGAGCGCTCAAACTTCAATTGACGGATGCGAGCATGCATTGCCGATTCACGAGAAACTAAGTCCTCCCACTCGTCGTCGATATTGTCCTCAGCCAACTGACGTAACAGCAACTCCTCTTCCTTTTCAAGACGACGCAAAGTTTCATCGTTGCCAGGGTAGGCATAGTCGATGACATTGCGACCACGGTATATCTCAGGCACTTCGTCATAACGCCATTCCTCGTCAGCCAAAATATGATGCTTGCGATGATCAACGGAGTAGACTCCAGGTCCACCTCCAACAGCCTCCAGAGACTTCTCGGTTTCAACCTCATAACCGTCGTTGTCAGGACGCCCTGCAGGAGGTCTGGACGGATTGGCTGCGACATTTGTAACATAAGCTAGCTTCATAACCGCGCTCTGAGGTGCCTGCAGAAGCTTCTTCTCCAAGCGAGACTCAAGTAAAAGACGACAAGCAGCAATCTTAGCATCATCCACATTCTCTCCAGTCAATGCTGATACCTTCACCCAACGCAAACCATCTAAAGATGCCATCTGACCCATGTCAAAAGGACCCAAATCGATCTTATTCAGCACTATCAATGTCGGTTTCTCCCTAAATAACGGTCTTATAGACTCGAAAAGGGATACCTGCTGGGCGATAGAGTATCCGCAGGACTCGCTGACGTCGATGAAGAACAACACGGCACAGTGAATATGCGCTAGGGCAGTGATAGCGGTCATTTCGATAGTGTTCCTCTCATCCAAGGGGTGGTCCAGCAAACCAGGGGTGTCAATGACTTGCCACCGCAGGTAGTCATGGTCGAAGTGACCAACATATAGACTTTTGGTCGTGAAGCTGTATGGCTGAACATCAACGTTTGCCTTGCTAACCTTGTTCATAAAACTAGATTTACCCACATTAGGGTAACCTGTGAGCAATAATGTACGAGTGTATGGGTTGATAGAAGGTAGACGTGACATGTGTTGTCGAACATCCTCCAAATATTTCAAGCTGCCAGCCAACTTCCGTATCACCTTGGCCATACGACCCAAACCTGCCACCTTCAGCGATTTGCAGCGATATGCGGAGATGGCGAACTTTATTAAGCCCACATGCTCCTTTGCGATTTTGTCCAGGTGACGGCGTGCAGCATTGCAATGCCCCAAAGCAAGCTTGTAGTGATCACGGTCATACAATACATTGAAAAGATCACTGTAGAATGGGTGTATATCCTATGTAATATGAAATTTTTCAAAATCAAAACTTACATCCAACTGAGGAAGCTGAGTAAGGATCCTTTGAAGACGGTCGCGGAACGCTTGCTGGACATACTTTACCTTGCGCATATAAAACTTCCGAATACGTGATATCTTGAATTGCTTGTGAACTTCAGTGGGAGTACGGCGCTGGGTCTCCGATAATACGATGTCCAGCAGCGCCGTCGCCGTTGGTATCGTGGTGATACCCTAAAAATAGCTCAGAAACACGGATACAACCCCAACATACCTTAAAATTGTACGTTTGCGCCCCGCTCGCCATCTTGCAGGACTATATGAACTGTCGATTGCTCCAACGCGGAATCCGGGTGGGGGACCCAGTCCCTCGTGATATTACCAATAGCAATGCTCTAAAGCTATGTAGCACATATGGAGTAAATTAAATGTAAGGGTTTATGGCAAAGGATAGACCATTATATCGAGATAACCGTGCTTACTACTGCCGCAGTGACAGCGACACATTCCGGCAATAAACACTATTCTTATCCTACCTCTTAAATTAATTCTGAGTTATTAGGCATATTATACACGATTTAATAGTTAATTGACGATAGGTGTCTGACTTTTAAGCTGCAAGGGCGATATTGCAACCAGTGATACGAAAGCTGATCAACTAACTAGGTTTAGCAGTATAATGTAAATGTAAAAAATAGAAATAGTGTTCTCATATATACTGATCTGTTTACACCAGTGACTGATGTGAAAGTGTGTGTGAGACTATTTAGCTAGTGATCTTACACAAAGCATGTGTAGTCCAAATGGGCGTACGTTTAAGTTAAGCAGTCTACACATGGACAATAATCAAATATAAACTTTCGATATACCAAGTAGTGGGTGGATACACACGTCGGCATAGTAGACAGACAGGTTACGAGACGAAAGCATGGCAAGCTGCCGAGTACCATTATGTTCCCGTGAAACAGAAGTTACTATAAATAGAAAGCATAATGTATTACACACCTCAGCCTGGGCCTAGCATGACCGAAGCGCGGGGTCATAGCAGCATTCCACGCGCGTGATGTTATAACAGGCTGGGGGTAGTCCGGTAATCCACTGCAAAATTGTGCCGAGCGAATTCGTCGACACAGGAGACATTAATATTCTACTAATCTATTTGCAATAGTATCGCTGCTAAAAGGCATACGTGATCTAATTGGTGCCATAGCGCCTGGATTATATCCGCGCTACAAGAAAACGAGACACCGCGCACACGCAAAAAGGGCTAAACAAAACAACCGTGCAATATATATAATCAATTCTATCATCAGTTGATACCGCAAAAGACGGAAATTATACTTTGCTGTGTTGAAAGAGACACTCGAAACCTTGCAAAGAAAGGTCGACTACTCAACATTATACCAGGGAGGGTTCAATACAGTGAACACACCGCAGTTCGGTTTTGATTCTAGTAAAAATGATTCTAGACTTCTGTGGGCAGCAGCTGGACACGCTGCGAAATGCAGCGGTCATGGAACGAATGACCGGACTTGGAATGACATTTGAAGACGTAACGGAATTACACGTAACACATTGTGGATTGGAATCACTAGAGGGAATCGAACGTTTTGTTAACCTGGAAACCCTGGATGCCAGCAATAACCGTATCAATGCGTTCTCTCCCATATGGAACATGACCAAATTACGCAACGTCAAACTCAGCAGAAACAAGTTAAGGTCATTGTGCATACGCCTACTTGGAAATATAGCTATCATTACAACTCTTGGTGAGGCGAACATCTCGGTGAACCCAGTGGGAACCGCGAAATACAATCTATTGGATCTAGAGAACAATGAAATCACATGCGTTGTGGCGGAGCCAGGAGCATGTGTCGAAGCAAAATGTCTAATGTTGGGAAACAACCTGATAACAGAACTTTCAGGCATTGTTGCATTCAAAGGAATAGACACATTGGATCTCACCGGCAACCTCAGCATTGACGCAGAGGCGCTGCTGCGTGCTCCTTTCAGCAGCGCCCCGCGTATTTTCATGCAAGATTGCGATACCAGAAACTCTTATTGTCTATTGGAATTTTTACAACGTTATCAGGAGGCAGAAATAATCGCACCCGGGGACATTAAACCTAGTCATCCCCGTATGGTCAAGGTAGAACGATTGGCATTCGACAACCTCCCTCAGAAAGAGTTCTTAGAATTCAACTCGGAGTTTGCAGATTACAAGTTTGTCGGAGATGACATGCCCTGCGAACTCAAGACACCAAGAGATTGCGGAAATGTACGCATGGGCTCACCGCATTACGTAGTACGTGCGCAATGCCCAGCCAAACAAATGGCAACAATATCCACTGTGGCTGACCTAACGGATGCAGAAAGACACTGCAACGTTACTCATGAAGAACTAGGTATGACCATATCTATGGAAAACGGCAGCGAAACCGATACTACACTCTCAATCAATGCTATGGATTCACCTACCGGGTTCCCCGAAGACACACCCTCACTCAAATTTCTAATGGCCAATGATGGATTCTGCAAAGGGTATAGCTATATCGAGAAAACTGGTGTGAAAGGGGTGGCAACGTGGCCAAAAAATATCAAGCACGATATATACGCCCACCTCGCACCGATGCCCGACACGGTCCTTAGTCCGGCAGACTATACCGCTTAATACTTTTAATACTAGTGTTTATCGTATGACTTTTTGCACACAGATATATAAACACAATGTGTAGCGCTTTGACCGAGGTAGTCGCTGCCAGACGCAGGGCGGTTACTAAGGTAAGACAACCAACACATTAGACACATGACGCACCGTAGGACAAAAACAGGACTAAGGAATATCTATTTGGAACGATTAGTGCCGATGAAATTGAATGGGCAAAGAATGCATTGGACACAGGAGCTCAAGTCAAACGCCAAACGTTCAGGGATGTAGATCCAGACAGGGCATCAACAGTCGACTCGGAGACCGTACATACAAGCGGCGACGTCAATAATGTGTGTGTGCGACCTGAACACACAAGCATGCGAGATCTAATTGAAAATGTGCAGCACCTTAGCCTTAAACTTGGCGCAGAGGAGCGTCAGCGCGAGTCCCTTGAGATGCAAATCTTACAACTCAGGGAACAAAATGCACAACTCATGGCACAATTAGGCAACTCAGAAGATGGAAAAAAGGCGGTTGATGCTTACACAGCGGCAATCGAATCAATTGAACAGATCGATCTTAAAGGCTTCGGACAGGACTGCGAGCTTATCATGGATACCATCTACTCAACAATATGTGATGCTTTCGGACCAGACAACAAACTTGCATTGCTATTTGAGGAAATGGCAGACATATACCTCAAAGCTGGATCGAAACATGAAGTGGAGATACAGAGCATGCAAAAGCAAATCGACTTCCTCACACGCTTTGAAAATGTAATCAAGGGAGAGGTACAACCCAATGCGAAAACATTGGACGCACTAGTAGAACAGTTGAGGGTTACTAAGGAGGAATCGGCTTCTGAAATCGCAGAACTGCGTAAACAACAAGAAACCCTTAAACATGAAAATGAACTATTGCAAAAGCAAAACAGAGACATGGCAGAGAACTTCGAAACAGAACGTGAGGAACTCAATCTAAAAGTATCCGTGCATCAAGATAGGTACCAACAAATGATGCGCGATCAAGCACAACTACTATCGCAGTTGCCGTTACTCAAACTATCACCAACAAACCAAGCCGCTGAGGACGGAGTCCTTCGCCAAACGGGAAAGAACACTTTAGAGGCATTAGTAAGTGCGCTCTACCGTAAGGACGCAGAAACACAAAAGGTTATCAAAAGAAAGGACGAAACTATACAACAACAACACAGTAAAATCAACAAACTAGAGGCGATGCTGAAGGAATGGGAGACTGATGCAATCCTATGGCTTGACTATGTCAACCAGACAAATCCACAAAACAAATTGGCCATCAAAGAGAATTAGCAACGTGTTCTTTCTCCAAAAGACCAAGCTTCTTTGAAAACTTGCTCACACTCTTGTGAAGCAGCGCCATAGTCTGGTTCAGAGGCATATTGAGCTCCTGCGATAATGCCATAGGAGATTTACCTTGGCAACCAATACCAAGCAGGATAGCACACTGGAGATAGGACAACGATATGTCGATCTTCTTCTCAAATACAAAACGACACATAGATGGTAACAAATCGGTAATCAGAGTGAACTCTGCGATTTGGGCAGAATAACGCTCGAACCGACCCATGTCAAACGGGGTAAACTACAACTTATTAATTTCAATACAATAGAACTTACCACTTCTAGTAGGCTCTTATGGTCTTGGGGTACCACGTGCTCGCTGGAAGATGTTATCATCATGAGCAGCAAGGTGGCCGGGAGAGAACGCCAGCATGCACCACCCAGGCCAAGCAAACGTCTAGAAAAGTCTTCACAAAATTCATTGAGCCACTCCTTACGCCATCCCTCAGCTCCGGGTTCGTTATCGCCATCCGAAACTTGGTTGGTAGAACGCAAAAGAATTATGGAGTACTCCCCTGTAGCTTCGTTGGGTACCTGGCGACAGTAAACAGGTTTGAATGAGAGCTTAGTCCAGAATTTCAGCAACTGGGTATTCAATCCAAAACATGTGCCGACGTAGTCTACCTTCTCAGCACCCTCCTTGCAACCAGCAGATGGGTCTACAGGTACAAGCAAAGACGACTGTGCAACAACTTGATTCACCACACCGTCTATGTTGTTAACGAACTGTGACAGACACTCGCTACCGTAACCCATATTCTGTAACGCCTGTGGTACAGCAACACGGACGATACGTACACCCAAAAGCTGACAAAAATCGTCACTGCAAAAGTTCTGTGTGAGGGTCCACGGGATCAAATCACCGCTACGCTTGGTGGTGCCCTGAGATACTGCCTCTTTAGCAACCAATTTACTTATACGGCCCTCAATGGCCACATGCAGAACACAAAATACACTGTTCTTCAGCTCAGGATCGGTTTCTTCAGACTCCAATCCAGGTGCCATCAGTACTAGTAACTTGTGCGCAGGCGCATCGCTGAGTAGTAAAAGGTCATCGGGAGAGTTTCGGTAATGCGAAGATGATAACACCGCTACGACTGAACTCAGGAAAGATTCAGCCTTAGGGTGGTATGAAAACAGTACATCACGATTGACCAGGTACAGATGACACTTGTTTGGGGGTGGCAACGTTGCACGGTCTTTAGCATCATCCACAGGGCTGCCCAGACATAATACACTGTTCAACCAAGCCTCAATAGAATCGTTCTTGCTGTAACGTATAGGCTCCTTTAGAGTTATCTCTGTCAGTGCATCGGGGTTTGTGTTTCGGAATCGCTCTATCAGCTTCAAACTGAGAGAACGACCCGTACCCTCATATCCACCAACAGTGGAAGATAGGATAACAATACCTTTCTTACACAGTGACTCCACAATTGGTAACGGTATAGATGCTGCTTCCTCGATGATCAATATGTCATACAAGTAGTTACTAGCTCCAGATTTGGGGTCGATACTGCTGGATTCGACAAACTTGACGCAAGTGCTACCTTTCACACTCAGCATCAAACTGTCGATGTAACCATCTTTACGTGATACGACAACATTGGCATTCTCGGGAGTGCCAAGCAACTTCAAACCGCTTTCCAAGAAACTGTACAACGTCTGCACGTTCTCCATGGCAGGCGCTACGATAAGGATGTTGCGGAATCCCATATTCAAAGCAGCTGAAAGGAAGAGGCCAATTGTTGCGCTCTTACCCCTACCACGTGCGCTGATGATCGTTGTAATGTTCAGGCGCTGCACGATCTCAGCACCCTTGGAGACCGCATTAAATAATGTAATAATCGCCTTCAACTGGCCATGTTTGATACAGAGAGTAGAGATTTTGGTAAGCAGTTTCATCTCAAGCGCATCCTCCTCGCTAGAGGTGAGAGAAAGTTGCAACTTGGCCAGCTTCTTGTCACTTCGACATTTCTCAAGGCTAGACAGCTTCATCTTTGCGATAGGGAGCACGTTAAGTTCGTCATCCAATACGATAGTATTACATGCAGTTGACAGTGAGTAGATGAAACGCTTCACAAAACGCGGTTCAACAGTCGCGTGACCATGACTAACGAGCTTAGCATGGATATCCATTGAAATCTCGTATAACTGGTTCAGAGATGACATCGTTTGCAGTAAAATTACAATGACACCGCCGCCCTGTACTGTTTCTACAGTACGGCAGAGTACATTGGGTGTCAGTGCCTCGAAATCCTGGAAAAATGTTAAGTGAGCAATATAGGTCAATGGAGCTAAACAAGTGAGCTACACCGTGTGCATTTTCAATATTGTACACATACCTGAAGCACAAGGAACCCAAATGTCTGACCAAGAACCTTTTGTGATTCCTTGTAGTAGCAGTACCGTATATCGGTTGTACGAACGAATAACTCATAGGGGTCCTCAGTAGCTTCATCGTACAATCCGCGGTATGCAAGTTTCTTCTGAGCTTTGTGGCGCTTGCGGGCATTAGAAGACATCTCCAGGTTCTTCTTGTAACACCAAAGTACCTTGGCCTTTGTGCCAGAGACCCTCTGGTGCAGATAATGGAGGTTGGCCACCTGTAAACGGCCCTTGTCACCAACGATGACAAACAAACTACGCTCGCCGGTATTAACCGTATGTTCGACAAGCGAACGGATGTCGGCGGTTACCTTCTTTTTCATATTGATCGAGAAACAAAGCTCAAACGGAGGATGGCCAATACGCGGTCCACTGATGCCGTTAAAACGGCGGCGATAACAAACTACCGACCAGCGGTATAACTATATTAGTGTAATAGAAGCTTATGAACATAAATATTAGCGATAATGGATGCTGGAAAACAGCTTCATTCGTCTGATTTCGACAGTGTTAGGCAGTCAAAACGGCATGTGTTCTATCATACACCCAGCAGCCGTCAGCTCTGGATTCATATATGCGACGAAATTGCTAGAGCATATATAACCTCCAGTATAATACTGCGAGCGAAGTTCTCAGTCATCGACGGTAGGCTATGTGGAAGGTGACATCACGGTGTGTTGGGTATAAAACAGATGGATTTGTTTGTATTGAATAAAAAAATTATATAAGGTTTTACGCTTCTACTCATTTTGTGGCGCAAAGCGCTTCAAGCAGGTCTTCGTCATGGCCATCTGCCTTCCTATGTGCCTCGCAACATTTGTCAACGCGACGAAGCAAACCATTTATAAAATTACAAAATTCCGCCTCTTCCTTTTTGAAAGTGGAAGCTCTACTCTTTTTCTCCAGCTGTGAACAGGCAGCCTTCTGCTTAGCCAACGCCTTGTCTGGAACAATGTGGATGCCAATGCCAAAACTCACCTGTGATGGAAACACATTCCGTGCCACAAGTTGCCCCGTTAATGATTGCAGTACTGTAGGTCTGCGCAGATTAGACTGAGATTATTCGCTACTTACCACGAGTGCATTCTTGGCATTGGAAAGTATGCGTGAGTTGTCGCATTGAAGTAACTCGTTCCGAGCCATCTTGACGCGCTACAACACAATAGAATACGAGTACACACACATACCATCTTTATCTCCTTCGCAGCGTGACGATGCAGTTTATCTAAATGACGACGCAGCTTAGAATGCTGACCCCTGCGGAATAATGGTTCCTACACATTTGAACATACGGGCTTATGGACATGAAACGATTTTTGTAGGACACCATGATTAATCGATGCTTATAGAATACTAATTATGGAGATGTGTAGCACCATTTAACCGCCACGTGATATATTCCTCGCAGTGGAAGGCTGCAGCCTTGAGGAAGATTTGCAAAAGTACACCCCTATAGCAGCAGCCTATCGAACCTTAGCTCACAAAGCATTAGGTGGTTTGTTAACAGTAGTAGTTACGAAATTAATGATGGAAATGTGTTATCAGCGAACAACCGAAACTCTGAAGGAAAAATAATAAAGGCAAACAAAGAATACCTATGTAATCTTAAAAATTTTCTAAACAATAGTCACATATGACGTTGAAAAAAAGTGATTCGTGTAATTATAGGAGGAGAATACAGCAGTGACATCAATAGAATGCGTTCAACATGACTGAATATAATTAAGAACTTTTTTGCATTCAAAGGTTTGTAGTATCGTACTAGATCATGACAGGTCCGAAAGCAATGCGGTAACCGTAAGTAATGAGGTACTTTCATATGGTATAATGCAACGGCGATATCTGAAGAGGCCGAAATTCGCGCATCCATAAACTATACTACCGCTATATAACACTTTAGTGTCAATCTTATCTCTTTGCGATTGAATTTTGGGACAGCAAAGTTCACCTAAGGGGAATGCCGCCATTTTACGGCACCCAAGTTAAATAGCTGTCCCTACCAAAATACAACTCGTAGCCATGAATTGAGAGAGCGATAGGTATATCCATATGCACTGTACGCAAATTATTGAGAAAGGAGTTACGGTAACGCTAGCGTGTTGCGATGTCCACGTCTAATGTGGCTCCTGCTGAGAAACCATAAAGGCGGGCAATAAAAGGGGCTATGCCACCGGAACCTTAACGAACACAACTGACTTGCTATATATGTAGCAAAAGTATCATCATAAGAGGCAAACTAACTCCACCAAAGACCGTAAAACACCTACCTCACCATGCGTCATGCGAATGTTTGTTAAGGCAAGCGCTTTGGCATTCAAATTCTTCTTGGTTTCAATAGCAAGCCTGGTGTCCCCGTTTGCGTGTAGTTTGTAGCATATTAGTTGAACTGTTGACTATGCTCGACCATGCGGCTGCAAAGCAATGACTTGGGCTCCCTTGTGGATTCTCAAGGTTAGCCAACAAAACTGCTGTAGTAATGGCATCATACATGCGTAGGAGTCGAGACATTTCCGGGCGTAGTCTTCCAGAGAAGAGAGATCTACGACACATGACGTGACGCAAGAAAACAATCCCAGCTATGCACGGCTCGGAAGAAAGGCGGGTAGAACTTTCAATCATAAACCGCCAAACACTCAACATATCGTAATCAACCGCAAGCATAGGCTACATCGTACGTGTAACAGCCTCCCAAAAGGCAACATTGCTGAACACACGCATCGAGGATAAACACATCATAAAGCCAGAGCTTACGAAGATTACTTCATATTAGTATATTGGGCTAGAGGATTGTATATCGCACCAGACATTCATGCCTTGTACTGAAATCTTCCTCAAAAAGTGCTCCGATAAACACAAAGGCTCCCAATCACACAACTCACCCACACCTGTGAGGCCTAGGCTATTGTCCCACAGCGATGGCTGGGAGCCTATCTTTAGCCTCAGTGCTTCACGAACCTCGTCCAGAGTACCCATACGCATCAGAAAAGGGTTTCTAAAGCATATTCTGGAACAATCAGAGTGTTACATACCTGAAGGTCTGGTAGTTGGCGTGCAACACAGCGATGCTGGGTGTGCACTTAAATGCCTTGCGATAGTTTTCGGAGCCGAACCAGCTCACCGCGTTGCTGAAAATGCCATAAATACCTTAGCCGAGCAAAGTAGGTGCAGGCAAACACATTCACACATTACAACGGGTCGCGACACCCTGGCCGCTACACAAAACACCTAAATATAGTAAAAAGTATATACAATTGACGGAAGATGCGTTGGATGCAGGAAGAATACTGCTTAACGTGATTCCTGCTGCTCACACCACGTCAGATACACCAAAAGTATAAACACAGAGTAACAACTTACCGGTAGGCCCTCTTTAAAAAAAAGCGTTTCATGGTGTAAATGGTACAGAGTAAGCGGCTAAGAAGCCGAAGCGGAGATTGCGACCCCCATCCCGACGTACACTCTCAACGTAAATACCAGCCCTCCCGCCGAAGACACACTCAATAACTGTAAATCACGAGCAATTATTCAATGTTTTCACGCTGTCCCCGTTAATGTGCTCAGATCAACAGGCTAAGACGCTCTGCAACTCTCTAGAGAGTTTTGCGCTAATCTTCCCCGATTAATAGGTTACAAGGTCATCTTAGAGAGCGGTAACAGTAGTTATGCACCTCGGGGTACCTATTCACGCGTAGAATACACACCCTAACGAACATCTAGATTACTGCCGGAGTTGCCTACGAAAGGGACTCCTCGAGTTTGGCCCTTCGCGCACATTACAGTCGTTTTATAGCAATTTGTCTGGTGTATTAGTTGTAAATGGTTATATAGGGTTGCAGTTTGCCCTGTCTTAACACCTATGTCGTACAGCGGCGGGGTCGTCCCTCCACAGAAGGGACCGCATACACCAAGAGCGTCAGTGCCAGAAGACACCTCCAACAGCATAAAATGGTGCTTCAATTCTCAAAAATTTTGCGCCATGCCACGGCGGCAACAGGGCACGGCAAGCTAGTCTTCTCGCTCATGACGCCTCATACTACTCTTATCAACAAAAAGGTCGTGAAACAAGCTACTTTGCCAGGTAGGCAGCAATAAACAAACAAATAATGGTATATGTGATCTCTGTGATGCTATATATAGTCAGTATATGCGGGTTTCGTGTCCATCCAACCCTGATCACTGACTACCAATTCAAATGCTAATAGGATCTGAGGGGTACTTCACGATTACCAAGGGACACTCGGCAATGCTCAGCATGTTGAAACCCGGAGTGATCTCCGTGGTGTGCGACGAGGCAGGGGAGATGTCGAAATACTTCCTATCATCAGGGTTTTTCAAAATCTCCCATGTAGATGGCGACAGTGTGGCAGAAGTTTCAGGGGTAGAGGCGGTACCATTGGATCATATAGACAAAGAACGTACCACGCAAGTACTGCAGGAACTTCTGGCTGAGGCACATGGTTCAACCGATCCTTGGACCAAAGCAAAGGCAGCACTCGGGTAGGTTCATAAATAGATGAGCTCAGTTGCACGCATCAAATATTAACTGGTCAAGTGTTTGGTTATTACATATACATTGTAAGGTGATACGACCATGTCCATTTCATTGTAACCTCGAATACCGGTGGCCACTAAATTATGGCTATATTTGCCAATCAACCACACCAGCAACACATTGGCGAGGGGTTATATTACAAACATATAAATACTTGCAGGCAAGACCTTTGCGCCTCCATACTTAAGGCGGTATAATCGCACTACAAACCGCGGCGGTTTAGCGATTCCGCATTCGGAGCGTTACCCTATAGATATTAGCGAACGACAAAGGAGTATACAACAAACACCAATTGAATATATTCAATTTGTGGATAGCAGCGGATGTATAATGCATATGGTATCAGCACGGTACACTTGTATCAACGACTTACTTTGATGCAAAGCTTGGAGTCGGCTAAAAGCCTGTAAGCCGGCGACATATTGGGATGGTTACCAGCGATTTTAGCTATAAGGGCAGACTTGTCCACGGGATGCTCATGCTCTTCTTCAGGTTTATCCATTGGGGAAGAGGAGGAAGCTCTTGGTGGAGCGATAGGTGGTGATGCGCCGCAAACCTCAGGCTTAGCCGGTGGAATTTTTGCCACTCCGTCACTGACAGGAGTTACTGAAAAACATTTAAGGCGCAGATACAGTGCCACCACTCCATGTACATAATAAAAACGAGGGCGAAGATAGGGCAAGAGAAACATGAAGTCAGATACAGCAGCGGGGCGGCAATTTTCGTCACCAAAAGTGAGGAGAGTATTCACCTGCCGCAATTACAGATGCATGTTCAGTTTGGTGGCCACACCGATGCCACAACACGAATGTAACACAATATACTGAAGCGCTAGTCAAGGATGCCACGGATACGGCTAGACAGACTGCGTCAGTACGTCACCTCCTCCACCAAGGAATTGAACTTTGCAAATCAACAATCCAAGCAATCTTTATCTCCAAACAAACCCTTACCCGTATGGTACTTGCGCTGAAGCTCGGCAATGACCTCTGGCGCCATAGCCGGTGCTTTGAAACCGTATTGAGTCATGATGCGTTATTTTTATAAACGGTTACGATTTGTGCATTAGAAAATTGCAATAATGTTTACAGCTATACAGGAGAGTGCCTCCATGTTCCGCGATAACATGCAAGGTGCACAAGACTACACACTTCAGTCTTCCCAGAAAACGTCGTCACCGTCCGTGGCGATCAGCTGGTTTACTTCCATGTGCGGCATCTTAGCCTCGTATAATTTATCGCTGTCCTCCGAATCGTCCTCCGGTGGTTTCTCACCCTTTATCACTTTCGTTCTGACGCAGAATGTTACATCGTGAATCACTGGTAGATACTTTGCGGGGAAAACACAAGGCATATACATGAAAGGGCCAACCTGACGGTTAACCGATATTTGGGCGTCCCTGTGGCTTGGCTGCCGCTTACTGTGACCCCGCAGTTAACCAACCGGGTGTCACGGCTGCCTGCCACTTTAGCGCGTATTGTGTACCATAGTGTGGCGCTTGGGGCTTAAATCCACGGTACAAGTCAAATTGAATGATGCAAATTAACATTATCGGTAACTACACGAATTAACTTACGATCCCATTGAGACGATAAAGTAGAGTCCACTTATAATAATCATGGCGCCTACAGCGCCTCCGGCATAAACCATGGTTGCTGCAAGTCAATGAGAGTGGGAAGCAAGTGTAAAGCCTTAGAATGGTTCCCAGTACCAGGAACACGGCGACCACCATATGCTGCGCAACAAAATACTTTGTTCCGCTGTTTAGGTGACAAGTAACGCCAACCGCATCGACGGCATGGCGATAGCACAAAGCATTCGATTGCGTTCCATAGGGCTACAATTTGATTTAGTAGCAATTGTGAAACCATGCATCATTGAAACTTACCACCTTTAGATTCGCCAACCACACAACATTCTTTCATATCTCGTTTCAGACGTGAACTAATACATTCTTCTGTTGTCAATGACAGGAAGCTAGAGTTTTGACAAATGCTGGCGGCTTTGCAGCATTCCGACTTGCACGATATTTCACTGCATCTACTGCTCCTGGGCGCATCAGCGTTGACGTGCACAGCGCTACAAACACGCAATCCGCTTCCGTAGATGCGAGCGCATTCTCTTGATATAATGGAGGACGTACGTCGTGGAGTATGCATGGCGGTAGTTGAGTGTCTATCGGAGGGAACGTCTTGCCCACCGGGTGTATCGCAAAAGGCTCGCGAAGCCAAAAGTAAAAATAACAATAACGACTGCATTTTAAACATTAATACACAACCTTAATCAATAAGTGGGTGCTTAAGCAAGGAGGAACTTAAGCTCCCATAACTGGCGAACGAACACCCTTGCGCCTTCCTATGTAGTAGGAAAGGCATGAATAGAAGAAACCTCAAAAAACCAAAAGCCTAACTCTCAGAGTATCCGTTGCATACATATGTCTTGGAGATATTTGATTTTAAAAATCCTTTGCAAAATAGATAAAAATTAGCAAATGTAAAAAATTGGAAAAAAACAAGAATGACATGTAGCACTTTACATACAAAACACTTAATAGTACTGAATATCGCTATGATTTAACGACAACGTTACACATTAAGTGCCCGAGTGAATCTGGAAGATTGGTAAAGTACAAAAAAAAGGCCCTACGAGACGACACAGGGTAGCGCAGGGCAATTAAAATTAAACTACAATATATCAGGCAGTTGACACATATTTATGTGTGCCGTAAAAACCAGGAATCATGGAGCCGACGTCGCTGTGATGTTACTGGTGAGAGCACTTTTAATGCACCCTCGTACACATCTGCGCTAAATTTATCCTCCAATGCGACGAATGCGAAAACAAAATTTTATGACTGTTAGAGTCTTTAATATAAGTGAAATAACACAGAAATTTGCATAGCGTAACGCCAATAGTGGCCGAAGGCGAGTCATGCACCAATACACAGCCAGGATTCCTCTCCGGATGCTTACACATCATTTATGAAGTTAATATAAATTAAAACAATTGAATAACTGCGTGCTTAACAGGCGCTTTTAGCCGGAGTTGCATCCTAGTAACAGCATTATGATGACGACATCGGGTCAGCTATAATCTAGGTATAATAATGCGATCAAGTAAAAATACGAAAGCTCGGTATTATGTGAACAGGACTTGAAAACTGCAGTGCAGTAAAAAAAGTAAATACTATTTGTCGTGCAAGGTGCAATTTTCTACAGCTTCCTTCCACTCGCAACCACTCCATTTAATGTTACACAAAAATAACTAACTCACAGTAGTTAACAGGTATATAACGAACGAAGTCGCTGCGTATAGTCTCATGAAGCCTGTAAATGCTACAGGTGTCCCAGCTGATAAGAGCGCTGTAATCGCAGCCCTGCTCGCTGGTGAGTTTATTCATACAAATTAAACGGGACACGATTTCTATGCACACCTGAAACAATACTTTACAGGTGTTGTGACGTTGGTAATATCGTTTTGGGCTCTCCACGTGAGATCTCGTCGCAATGCACGTACTACCGTTTCTGATGAGGGCGAAAATAATAGGTGTGGTACAACGTCAACGATTTTTAAAATTGATACAGCGACGATGGAACGCCTTCGGTCTCGATATTTGTGAATGATGTAAGTGTTATTGGTCTCATGATGCTTAAGCCATACAGCTTATATTCCAGAAGGGCCTAGACAAACCCGTAGTAGATAACGTACTGCCGTTAGCCGAATTGGCCAACAAGTGCAATCTTTACCTTTTTGTACAGGTATGAGTAAAATATAAAACGGCCGACGTCACGGTTATAGGTAACGGATGAAAGTGATATCGCAGTTGTGTTGCAAGGCCTGGAAAAGGCCGAAAGCTTTACAGGAGAGCTGAAGAAACACGTAAGTCGTGTATTTTCGTTTTTCAAATGCTATTCAGCGAGTGTTATTCTCTGGAACAAGCGCCGGACGGGCTTCTATGGTCAGGCAACTGCAGCCTCAGCTGCACTTGGAAACCGATCCCACTGTTTTCCAGACTGTAAGCGGCAAAGTGCCCAATGTCCTGCAATTTGCCGTCGTGAAAGAAGAATCAACATCTCAGCAAGAAGATGAACAAGTTGAAAACGACGACGTAATCAAAGTCAGATCAGCTGCAAGTATCATCGAAATCATAGAGCCATACATAGAAGTGGCGTAAAACTTTTTAATTGTATCACCAGATGCACATCGTATGCATTGAGCTACTGTATCTCTCATAGTATGACAACAACCTGGTAAGACGTCGAGGCTTTGCCTTGAGCGCCGCTGTAATAACATGCTAGTAACGGTGGCACTCAATATAGTATTTCTATACATTTAGCAACGTTACCACTAGGCTGTGTAACCTCGTTCAACGATGCTACCGCCATATAATGGTCCAAATTAGACATAACACCTGCTGCAGTGACAGTCACATCACAACATGTGTCGTATTATCTAGTGGCCTTATCCACTACTTCCGAGTCCTCTTGGTTACACCTTGTCAACACTAACTCTGGTGGGATCTCACCTATGTGCAGCTGCACGGCATCGGAAATAACAGGGAGTGAAGCAAAACGGCCAAATAGCGAATGAGCAACGCAATAGAACACTGCCCCAAAAGATGCTAGCACAGCTGACATCAATGACACCATGGACATAAACTCTTGAGACGAGACATCCAGCGGCAGTACCTTGAAGTAAAACATCGCCAAGGTGTTCTGAAAGGACGACAGGATCATCGACTACAGCATAATATAATGAAACAAATGTGACTAACCTGGAGAAAGTGAAAACGCAAGAAATATGAAAATTCAAACTGGTTTTTTTTCACCAAACCAGAATAAATTAACGTAGACATCGTGTACGACAGGAATGGCACCGAACTGTAGAATTGTGATATCTGGTGAATTTGGTGCAGAATCTCTTGTGCTAACTCAGGGACGTGCGGTTTCACAACCTCTCCGAAGTTCTGAAAGGTAGCTGTATCGAAACAGACAAAAATGCTTACCTCGACCGCATCCATCAGAGGTAGGAGATACGCAGCCGATGCCATAAGACATTCACCGGGCGATGCATAGCTTCCTTGAGAAAACGTCTCATAGAGTGCAGTGGAACTGCTGTCGAAAAACGAGGCAACATCGCTGTGAGAGGAATGGGTAGCGAAGGACCGGGCGACCTTCTTGGTTTCAATACCGCCTACGCGGGTTGTAACCGGAGATTCTTGTACCCTGGCACCCACACATTGCGAATAACTGGCGTGCGGCGACAAAACGAACGCGCCAGACGACCTCGCAACCACTACTCGGGAAGTAACCAGTTGCGCCAGCGACACACAAATAGCAATGAGAAGTGAGGAATATAGCATCTAAGATTTATTAAATTTATTCCGTATTTACACAGTGGGCATGCTCGCAAAATTAACGCTGGCAAGCCTTTGTAACGGTTAGGTACGTGTTTTTCGTACGGTCGGAACAGTTGTTGGGAGCCTCCACGTTGTTTGACTTCAAATCGATGTCGACAACTGCAAAGGTGTTAATTATTGATGTTAAAATGGTACGAAAATGAAAAATTTATGAGAAAAGGGAGTTGCACGGGCTTTCGACAAAGGTAACCGAGACGATTCACAAACACCGCTGATGTATAACTTACGTTTGTCATTTACGGGCACAGGCTCCAGATTCTTTAGAAGCTCGGTAGATACCGTGTTGAACAGGTCGTTAATGTTGTCGCCATTCTTGGCGCTAGTCTCGCAAAACAGGCACTCGAGCTTCTTGGCCTCCTGTTCACCCTCGTCGTATGACACTTTTCTCTTGTCGAGCAGATCTGTTTTGTTGCCAACGATCATAATGATGGCTTTGTCTCCGCGTAAATCCTTGATGTCCTTTATCCAGTCCTTGATTTTTTCAAATGACTCACGACTTGTGATGTCGTAGACCACTATAGCAGCGCTGGAGTCGCGAATGTAGCTAGGCATCAGCGTACGGAATCGCTCTTGACCAGCAGTGTCCCACAATTGCAGGCGCATTGTCTTTCCGGTGACTGTAACGACCTTGGAAAGAAAGTCGATACCGATAGTGGCGGCGTATGCGGGTACGAAGTGATCGTAGACAAAACGAGTTACAATAGACGTCTTGCCAGTGTTCTGCTCGCCAAGAAGAACAATCTTGATCCTCTGACTGCTCACACTCCCACCGCCACTGCCCATATTGTTGCTGGAGTCAGCTGCCATTTTCAGCTATGAGCTCACAATGGAGATATTTTATTTTGAATATAGAACCGGCAGAAATACCTGGTATTGGTGTTGCCGATATGCAATTATGATGATGTCATACCGATGCTCGAACGTGACTTTATGCTTGAAAAGCTGCACCTAACTTTATCCGACGGTTAAGGTTCTTAGTGTCACAGCAACAGCGAAAACCTCACTTAGAATAACAATTACACATCAACAATGCAAAACCTGAAGTACAAAAGTATATGCTACGCTAGCTCCAAACCGAATATGATAACATTCCGAAGGCTTGGCTTACGTCCTGGTAGATGCGGCGCGTTAGCTACAATCGACACCAAAAACAAATACGCGGTAGGTACGCAAATCTACTTACATAAAGGTGATGGAGGTCTGCAAATACTCCCCGAAATAGCCAGTCGACGGCGACTTTTGATTTGGATTACCAGCGACTCTTGCGCATCCACGTCGCTAATCCTGCTGGAGCAGCGTCAATCCAATTTTTTATGAACCTATATAAATGTGCGTGATGTGTCGAATTAAATGTGGTTCGCGAAGCCGACCAGCGTACCAAACAGCGTCAACCTTCGGAAACCTATCCCCACGGGTGCATGATTTGAAAATATGACAGTGTTGTATCAGAAGATCGCAATGCTAAGCTCCGGAATTTAATATGGTAACGAGCTTCTTCGTTGCCTCACGCGCGTAATAACACAGTGTCACAGTTTATGCTATTTGGCACACCTGAAAGCGATGGGTGCGAAAAGTTGTTAGTCGACACCAAACGTTCCACTTTACCCAAATAAACGCCTTATTTAGTTTGTGTGTGAATCAAACGAGGTTTTCACCTCCCTCATAAGGCTGAAGAAACGTGAAGCTGCGGGACATCTCCAATGGCAGCCATTGTGATATATACAATCCCGAAAACAGTTTAATTCCTTCGCAATAGCATCTAATCGGGCATTAGAGGCACAGTTAGATCATCGTCATGTCGAATCATCTAACCATAAACGGGTTTATTCGTTGCTATGAAGTCGACCTATTATCCACATTGTCCTTTATAATCACTATCTAATGATATTTAAGGGGAAATAGCTATTCCGAATAATCGTGATTGGCTTTATTGTAACCAAAAGTGGTCACCTAGTCTATCATCGTGGAATGACCCAGCAATTGATAACTTTATGCTTCAGTTGCCTACAAATATATATTAGTGGTACCACGACGCAATTAATTGCTAGTTGAAAGTTACACAAACACCTCGAAAACACTGTAAAAAGCTTTCGATAGATCCCAAAAGAAACCACGTAACCTTATTTTGTGTACTAATCGCAATCCAAGACGAAGGTTAAGGTTAGCACTCAGCAAGGGTCCACAATACTAATTAATGTCCATGCAAAATAACTGAATGTTTCGGTGTTGATTTTACAATATAAGTAGTTGGTATAGCAATAATAAATTGGTTGTTATGAGATATCTAATCATTAATTGTCCTCTCTGTTGATGACGATTCATACCTCGGTATACAGGTTAATGTCTAGAACCACAATAGTATACTACCAAGATGTATATACATTGTCACACGAAGATTATCAACTATGGGATGTGATTATTTTAAATATTAAAATATAGTGTTATACTACATCACTGATAGTCGTATTATGTGCTATGGTTTAAAATACCACAGATGACAGGGTTCCATTGTCTTCTGTGAGAATAGACTGGTGGGTGGCAAGAGGTGAGTATACAGTCCATTCAAGGTGTGAAGTAGGTGATCTCCACAGGTGATTTGTAGTTGCTGAGTAACACAAGCGGATGGAATGTGAAGGTGCGCAAGTGCGATTGTAGATGTAGAACATCAAGTGGTATGGTGAGAGAGTGGGTGAGGTAGGCCATGATGAAACGAGAGGCAACATGGCGCCAATTCGATTTGGAGGCTCTCAAAACGATCCTAGGTGTTTACTAAACACCTACAGAAGACAGTAAACATTCTCCTTCCACCTGTGGGGAGTTGCATAACAGCAATACGAAATTCGGCATTACTCGCCTCCCAGGTCACAATGCGACCTAGTTCTTGGATACCTCGAAAGAACCATACAGGTAACATTTGGCAAAACACTTATGTGGTACCAGCCCCTGCGCTATGGTCAATTATATTTTCGATAAAACTTACATCATCTGGGTCTAGCTGAGCCATCCTGGTCTTGGTGACACGACTCTTCTGCAAAATGATTGGTTTATTTAATTACACATCGTAATAGCAGTTTGAGTTGTCTGAACCCGTTTCGCAGTTTAATGTGCTTGAAAATGATCCATGTCTTGGGTTTTCCATGTGCATGGTGGCACTAGCCACATGATAGAATCCACGTGTTACCTAACACATCGATAGCGATTGAGTTACAAACTCTTTAGCACTGTTACATAGCCCGAACATGCGCCTATTCGAGATTTTAGAGACTCCCATGAGATGTTGGAGTTGTCTCAGCAGTTGTTACCCGTATCAGACATGTATACGCATACATTCCATTGCTATCTCACCGTGAATAATGGTCGTTTCCAGATCGCTGCTACATCTGTGACGCATAGTAACAACGAAGCATAAATGCTTGGCGACCAATTGGTCATTGAGATTGAAGACACCCACTTCTTGTTATCGCACCCAGAGCTGATTTCACGACTTCAAATGTGGTTTTAGTCTGTCCTACATCCATGATGTACTCTGTGATGTATATCTTGGCAGTATTGTGTTGTTACATGATACCTTACAGTAACTTAGTGATAGGTAGCTTCCATTCTGGGGTAAAAAATTATACCCCGAAGAGGGAGAGGACAGGAGTGGTAACATGTTAATGCCTAACATACGTCGTTTTTGACACTTGCACCTCACCTTCAACAGTTCGTATATGATAATGAAAGAGAGTGCAGGTATACAGATGTTCAGATTATTGTCCTGGTACATGGATCATCTGGTTAGACTATAACCTGTATAGAATATAACTTCAAACAAAGTAAAATGCGGGGACTTTGCTCAACTAGAAGATGATAGCGGGGTTTCTGAGACCCTCTAACAACACTCGATTGTTGTGTCTATGTTGTGCTTATCTTTGCGTCAAGAAAATGATAGCACCATGAACAAACTCTAATCTGTAGGCAACGAGAGTAATGACAGATTCAATGATAAATCAACAAATGCCAGATCTTTTACGTTATACATTCTATATGTGTTTGTGAAAATAAGAGTAGGTAGACAACATTATAGTGTTTTCCCTCCATTTTTTATTTATTGCCAGGTGAGGTGTAGCAGCATTTAGAGGTTTTCTGAACATGGTCTTTTGCCTCACATCTGAGCTGCGTAAGTCTATCTACTAGTATACATGCCTTGCAAAGGTCGTTGATGCCTTCAATGCCACAGACCTTGCACGTATTCATCTTTCGGTTAGCTTGGTACTGGGCATAAAAGCGTTGAGAAGAGTGTGTTATATTCTGTATAATTTTTGGGTCCACAGCTTCCAGTTGTTTGATGAACGTCCTCATGTAGCCCCTGTAAGCCTCCGGGGCGTAGATGCATTCCGTGGAGAAGTATTCAAGTTTCAGGTATCGGGCATACATCACTATTTCCTTCTCGAAGCAGTACATCATTGGTTTTATACGTATCAACTCGTTTCGAATCTTATTCGCTGACGAAGCCGAATTTCCAATTTTAGTCGTGTCAACGTATTGAGACTCCTCAGTTCCTTTTGTGTTATCACCTCCACCTTCGGAACCATCCAGCGTGTGTTCTGCGTGGATGTCTGACGCGCACGGGACACCCGACTTTGTCAGGGATAGGCCGTTGAGGTCCTCCTCAATCTTATATTCTGTAATGCCAGGTTTATCGGAGGAATCGGTGCCCTTGGGCGATGGCGTGGCATAGGCCTCATCGCATTGAGACTCTTTCGCCTCAACTTTTACACTCCCGTTCAGGTTCTTTGCCAGCTTGAATAGATCATTTCTACATATGTTTAGCAACACTGTTTCCGCATTATCGTCAATGTTATGTCCGGTACAGAGTTTATTGGCTCCTAGAAGCCTAGCGCCGATCTCCAAAATTTGCCTTCGAAACGTACCACATACAGTGCAGTTGTTTTTCTTCCCAATCAACGCAACTACCTCGTCCATATCAAACCCGAACCTTTCCTTAAAGTTAAGGATTTTAAGGCCGTCGTAATTTGGGTTTTGCATGCCCATAACCACGTTTAATGAATCATCTCTATATCCCTTGATCCCCTCGTCAGCTGCAAGTAAGAACAGCGTCCATTTGCGCTCGTATCTCTCCTTTAGAGTCGCCAGCACGTGAGCAAGTACCGATGAATCCTTACCACCGGATACACCGATACAAACTACATCTCCGTCTACGATGAGCTTGTTTTCTTGAATGACATCATACACCTCATCTTCAAACGCCTTTATGAAGCACTGCTTGCAGTAAGGCAGTTTGTTAACAGACCGTCTGAGCACTGGCGGCGCCTCAGCACAAGAGGCACACTTCATTTCGCCAAATCTCCTTCTACCTACAAAAACACGACTGGCATGAGTAGATATTCGAGAGTGTCAGACCTTCATGATCAACAACAGTCAACCAACTCAGTTTTTAAGCTAAATGGCGCTCTTGTATTGCGCATCTATGGCTAAACATCATAGAAAATGGCACATCATCTCGCTCTTATAACACTCAATAAACTTTAGGTTCGACACAAATCCCGGTATTACAGTTTGTAACGGCGGATACTATTAGATTGTAATCAATCCGTGTATCGGCCGCGATCAGCGGACGAATGCGTTGATGGTGTTAGGTGAGGGTGTTATACGTGGAGCGCAAGGTAGTTTCACTTAGAAATGTAGGCAATAACCGTTTATGTGATTATACACTTGTAGCGTAGTGTCCGCATCAGTGTGCCAAAGTCCGTGGGAGAAACGACACACTAGAGGCATCCACAGTGGCACATCCGGACGACAGCCAGGATGATTATGGCGCCCGAGACTAAAAATATTACGATAAAGTCCGATCAAAACTGTGTAATACCTATAGGCGAAGCTGCGTCCCCACTCGGTCGCGTGACACTGGTCGCGGAAAGTGCATCACACAGACACACCGAAAGCTATGTTCAGTCTATGACAACGATTTTATAGTCTTATTGAGAACGATGTCAGAGGCTGGCCCTGGGACGGGAGCCAGATCCAAGAGTCTGTTACAACAAATACGCCGGAGACTGGGAGCCCCTTCTATCTCGATCTCTCCAGCGCAGTAGGTGTTAAGATTTATAAATCGTCAACATTTTCGCAGGGCCGATGCGCCAGAACGATGGCGTACGCAGATGGGTGGTTTTGACCCTGCAACTCCTTACGCCGAGGCGCTTATTAACTACCACAACCACGCGGCGACGTACATGCTTTTCGTGGTTTTGACGGTCATACACTGCATTCGCAAGTAGAGTACCACCTTGTCATGCGTCAATCTACTATGTGAACTGTACGTTACGTTTAATGGGTGACGGCGCTGTCATCTCGCTACTGGTTTATACGCCTTCGGGGATGTATCCCTGAGTCACACCACCGATGATTTGGGCATACCTGACGGTCTTATGGTAAGTAGAAGCGGTATATTAACGAGGTAGTTCTCGGCGGATCTTTATTGTACCACGAAGGGTGAGCTGAAAAGCTGCGCCGAGACGGTGGTACGGAGGACTTACCAAACAGCATCGGATTCACTCTTTCCTTTTCAAGCCATTAACAACAAAGAGCAACTTTGAGTGTGTTTTCGTCGCCGTGTTCTACGCAGATACTGTTCACTAAGACCACGCTGCCGCCACGAATGGGATACGTTGCCAAAATAGCAATCTGAACGTGTCGAGGCAAAGTAACTGCAACAGCAAAGATTAATTTAGTCATAATTAAGCTACATTTACAGACGTTGCCGATGTCGCTTTCGTGCGCAACGGTAATTGGGCATTACCCAGTGTCGCGTAGATATTTGATTATATGTTAAATCTCAACTACATTCTCGATTTAACTTTCTTGTAACCCTTAGACGGGTCTGTTGGTAACTTGCGTTTTGCTGAGGGCACCTGTTGAAATGTTGCGCAGGTTTGCTCTTTGTAGTCAATTGTAACTATGGGCGGGCGTACTCTTATTTTGTAGAGCTCTTCACCCATACGTACCCACTGATAATTTTGCAACCAATCGTCCGGTTCCAGGCACTCGGAGTTGATCGAATCCATGTTGATTTGGGACAGCACCGACAACGGCACAGATGTGACGGGTTGTAATGAGCAATCAGCAATACACGGGCATGACATTCGCCTCGATTCTATTTGCTTCTCATATACAAATACCTCCGTCTCATCTATCTCCAAATCATATACCCTCACTGGGCTCAGTATGTACGATCTAACTGAGTAAGATGGCCGCGATGCCTGGATTTTGTCGCCTAAGCAATTGGCAGTCATATAGTTGGTTAGGTTAGCTACGCTTCTGGCTACGACTATATCCCCATAGTGTACGTGATACTCTTTATCGTAAAGTATAATATTAGAGTACCATGATTCGCAGTGACCAAACTTTGTACCAAAGTGTTCATTGGGTCTAATCTCAACGTCAATACCGACCAAGAACCCACACATGGGACCGGAGCTTGTTATAGTAAAACATGATTCATAATGTTGGCACATTTGTGGCTGCATCCACTCCTCTAAATGAAGTTCTTCAAAAATCCTCCAATCCGTGCAAAGTTGCAGGTTGTCTATTTTAAGACCTACACTTTGCATCATCTTGTAGCTGGGACTAAAGATTGTCATCTCATCGTGTAGCAGAGCCTTATTCATGACGTTATCTGCGTCGGGAAACACACACGGTACGAACATTGTTGAGGCAGCGGTTGGGATGCTTTTCACTTTTTTAATGTACTCGGGGTTATTAAAAAGTATGCGGCGCTGAATGTCTAGTATAACGTCCGCAACCCCCTCTTGTGAGCAGAAATCACCCAAAATTTCGCTAATAATCATATCATACGGTGGTTCTTTGGGAAGTACAACCTCACGCGACGCGAACTGGTCACCTTTCGTAAGTCCGAAGAAAGATGCCGTATCAAAAAAGAAGTTTTTGGAGTGACAATTGAATACACGTATCTTATTGGAAACTCCATATGCAGCCATAAGCTTCCCGGCGAGCCTCGCAGCGCTGCTAGAGACTTCCAGGGCGTCCACAAACTTTGCTCCCGCGTTTAGGGCATTCATAGCCAAAACGCACATGGGACCTGTGCCAACTTCGAGCACCTTCTTATTGTTACAATAATAGCTCACAGCAGTGCTGGAATTAATGTCAGCAGAGTTAGAGCTCGTATTTGTTGAGGATTTGCCATATAATTGAATATCACCCTCTCCACTGGACACGTTACCGTCACAGTCCCCCTTTCCTTCAAAATCAAAATTGCTTCCTGAGACCGAATCCTTGGTCAAATGCCCACTGGAACCATCAGTATTGTCATGTCCCGACCAGAATATGGCTGCGCGGTAGTAATGCACGCGATCCACATCTGCGACCATAGCTTCATGGTTCGAGAGCTCAAACTGAGTACAAATGGATAATGTATTAGGTGAACCATCGCAAACATCAGTGCGAGTAGCAACTCCTGTTTCTATAAATTTGTTTATCTTATCTTTGAGCGTAAACTGATTCCCCCATCGAGGCCGCCTTCGATCCGGAAGTACTAGCTCTCCTTCCTTACGAAAACAATCATAAATCGAATCAGATGTGTTAGCACACGTGCTACAGCTTGAAGTATCATCCCTATAGTTTGGGCGCACTGTATCTGGTGTATGGGTGCCACTATTGCTTCGTTTTTTTGTATATATCAGTCCTTCTTCCGTTGTGGCCTTGTATCCATATTCGTCAACAGGCTTGTCTACACTTGCACTTGCCACATCATTGGGCGTGCTATTAAGAGCCTTGGGTTTACGGCCCCTCTTTTTCGGCTCTTCAGTCTTTGGTCGTGTAGAGTCGGTGGTGACTCGCCTCGGAGCGCCCCTCGTTCCCTTTGTTTTATACTTCCGCCGTGCACTAGCGTCTTGGTAGTCGGATTCGTCTGGATCCTGTGGTGCGGGCGAGGCATTTTTTCGCGTTCTCATAGAATAACCTCCGTAGAGCCAACTCAAGTGCAAGATGAGCCTTGCGTCCTCTTCAGATACCCCTTCTAGTGCTTCCGGGAGCACATTGCTCGCACTCATCCTAGTCTCGGAAGTCGGTAAAGAACTGCATGTGATCGACCAACGAACTGAGGCAAGCGGCAGGTCGCACGCTGTGGTGGTCACGTCGCTCCTTCCGAAGATCGGACGGATGCGCTCCAGACCTATTTCCAGCAATATTTTCTCCCGCAACTTTAATAGTATTTTTTTGATAGATATATGTGGCCACAGCTTCCATCTGGCTAAGAAATTCGGGGAATCCCTTCACGGGGCTGCGTGTGTGAGTACGGAAGAATGTATTCCTAAGAACATTTTTTGCCTCTTGATACGGAGATTTTATTGTACCATCAATATTTTCACGCTGATTTATAACGGCATCACGCAATACTGCTAGTAACCCGTTGTCCTTGCAGAAGCGCACCCATTCTTCGCAATCCAACTCTTCACTTGGATATTTTGTTTTGTACTCGGCGTATAGGGCCGTAACCTCTCCTATCTCTGGCGGTATGCGTACTCTGAGCTCTATCCAGCTGCCACTTTCCCCTTGGTAGACAAACCCACAGCGCATCCTGTGCACCAGCTTTAGGCATTCTTCAACCAGGGATACCTTGACGTGGTGGTCCACCACATCATATTTGACAGAGTTATTGTCATTGTACATATATTGTAGGCTCGGATTTGCATTAACTTCGAGCAACCACATTTTTCCTCTTTCATCCAGTAGCAAGTCTAATCCCATGATCTGGAAGCTATATGCGTCCGACTGGTTTGAGTTAAGTTGCACAACGGGGTAGAGTATCGACACCGCTGCCTCCCCTATTGTAGTTATTTGATTCCAGATATCCTTAATGTCAACTCCATGCGTCTTGCTGAGAGCCTCCAGCACCGAACGCAACGTCCGCTTATTACCCTTGGTATCTTCTACGTGCGTGCTTCTATGGTAGTGTTCGTGGTGGCGGTTTATGGAGTAGTTAGTCAGATGTATGTAAGGGTCGTCGCAGTTTTCGCGATCCGGGCACTGGTATGGTCGCGTGCATATGCGTACAATCCCTAGGGTAGACAGCATCGCGTGAAACCCTCCTCCTATATTTGTGAGTAGTATATAGACTCTAAAATCAAACTTCCGGGCATCTATAAGCATAGGTCGTGCTATATAGACCTGACATATATAACTGTTTCCCCTTGCCACTGCGGGTGGTATTTGCTCCGGGCTAGTTACGACCTTTATGCCGTTTCCCATGGACCCTGCGGAGGGTTTGAGGATCATAGGTACACCTGACCTCAGCGCACGCACTACTTTGTTGTTTCCACGCGGAAAGAGGTATGTCTTTGGAGAAGTTACCGGACTGTAGAGATGCCTGTCTTCCTCTGTGTATCTATCATAAATATCCGTTAGGCAGGCGAAAAGGGTTTTTCGAGCGGCGGACTGGATGTCGGCAAATCTATTAATTGTCACTTTTTTATACGTTACACCGAACAAAGATTTGGTCTGCTCTTTCAGTGTCAGTTCAGTCAGACATACCGCAAACCAGAATATATCGCCGCCAGAGGGTGAATCACAAATATCCCATCGCAGTCGTTTCGCAGCAGCTTTCACAAGCGCAGTATCCAACTTAGCATATGCTACATTGACAATTGGGCGTTTGTATAACGCCCTGGTTACTGAGGGGGCACGCTGAATGGCTTCATGGAACTCTGTCTTATCTTCTAGCTGCACATTATCCTGGGCGCTGGCGCGTAGCTTCAAAGAATCGGAGGTTTTATGATTCTGTGGATCCGTTCCTGTTGTACGACTTTTCTCTTTGCATTGACGTGGTGTTGGTTTTTGTGCATCTTTGGTTAGTTGGAGGTTTTTGATCTCTTGCAGCCGTGCGGCTAGAAGGTTGACTAGCTTTGACCTTCCATTCTTGTCACTACCGTAAGTTTGCGACTCACATGTGCTCGTGTCATCGCTGTCGATTTTTGCTGTGTTGACGAGTTCAATGATATCATTGATATTGCGCAAAATTCGTGAGTCCTCAGCGCAAGAAAATGATCTTCCCCGCCTCGCAACATCCAACCGTTGGCCCAAGTGCTCGGTGGCTACTCGACATGAGCGTTTAGTTGTTAAACTACCCCTCTGTGCTACTGTGTTTGTATGGTTAATTGCTGGGTATAGGTGAGGGGGCCACATACCCGCCTTGTTCACTCCTCTCTTGGTATCATTCATTGTATTGCTACAGAGGGAGCTGCTTATAAGGCGTGTATCTGTGTGTGTGTGAGGTACCGTGCCGTGGCGAACCGCATAAATATCGGCAACGCCCAGTCACGCTACCTGTTGCTCCTTGCCATAGTGACTGGTGTGGATTCTATGCTTCCTGCTACGGAAGAAGTTTACACATATTATCTGGAGTCACACCTAAAAGGCTTAACTGGAAATGTGTATTAGTATAGCGGCAAGACACAGAGTGTCACTCACATAAAACTAACTTCATTACTACTCAGTATTGCACACATCATTAACAAATCGGCAAGCGGTTTGACCACACATGTCGTACATCTGTTACACATACTCCTGTATGTAACAGATTCTTCAATTATATTTTACAAAAATTTAGACACGGCTCAGAGTGCATCCCGCGTGCGCGGACCCTGCGCCCCTACCAGTACCTTTACATATATGTAGCCCCTCACTGAACTCTTTAAACACTGATTTAATCGAATGTCTCCTGTCGAGGAGCGCATAATTCGACGCGCTCGAGGCATTATAGCCAGGCTGGAATCTTGCTGTGCACGCCTCGATTCCGCCGCGTCACCACCGCGCAACGTACGTGACTTTATGACCTCAACAAACCTTTCAGGCAACTTCTGGCGATTGTAATACCCTATCAGAAGGTATGTGTTCATTTTAAAGCACTGATATGTCATACTGCCTTTGCATTCGACAACAGCTTTCCACATAGGTCTTATGCCAACGTTTATCGTATTGCTGAACTCTATTTCACCAGTAAGGTGATTGTTACATTGTATGGTATGGTTAGGTAACTTATGATGTCTGTCTATTGCTTGTTGTCTGCCTCAAGTTCTTACAGATGATGCAAGCAGCTGTTGCAAGGAACTCGGAGCCGTATTGGCACAGTATATGATCAACATATGTAAGGGTTGTGATGAAGAAGAAGCGAAAATCCTAAGAGAAAGTGTAGATGCATCACTTCAGGCTCAGTTCTTGGTGGAGCTGAACTGTGCAGAAAAATACTCATCTGCTTTCGCGCACTACCTTTCAAGAAAGGATGTTCAAAACCACACTCCAGCGGCTCCGCATTACGACGGACGCCGATGTGTCTCTATAGCCGTCGAGTCGCTTACTCGCTATCAACCAGCGCAGGTGGTACTTTCAGTTCTCAGCGACTTTAGCATCGACGATGGGTTCGTGCGTATTGATGTGAAAAATCACGTTGTTAACTTCCTATGGAAAATTGGCCGTATCGCTTGCGAGATGTCGCCATTACAACGTGATGCCCACGTGCAATATATCACGAAGCACCTTACGCTTAGCGGCGCTACAAAGACAATACCGCTTGAGGAGTACAGCTGCTCGCAACCGTGGGTGATATACTGGTCACTTCATGGCATGAGCCTGCTTGGAGCTGACATCCTGCCTTATCGTGAACGCGCTTTAAAGAGCTTGTTCGACTGCTGGGACACGGTTGGCGGCGGCTTCGGAGGAGGCCGCGGTCAGATGGGCCACTTGGCCACTACATATGCAGCAGTCTCCTGTCTGAATATGCTACAATCCCTGCATTTGTTAAACATAGCCAAACTACGTTCTTTCCTGCTTAATATGAAGCAACCCGATGGCACTTTCACGGTACACCATGGAGGAGAGGTCGATGTGAGAGGCATTTATTGCGCTGTAGCATCTGCCTATATGGCCGGTATATTGGATGAAGAACTTTCCGAGGGCGTTGCATCCAGAATCGCATCTTGCCAGGGCTACGACGGTGGCATTTCAGGTGAGCCTTTCTTGGAGTCGCATGCGGGATACGTCTACTGTGGCACCGCTGCCTTGAAGATCTTAAATTCCTTGAACGACATCGACACCGACCGTTTGCGCCGCTGGTGTAGACAGCGCCAGACACCCGAACTCGGTTTCCAGGGCAGACCGCACAAGCTGGTTGACGTATGTTACTCGTTTTGGATTTCTGGAACGCTTGAACTGCTGAATGACCAATGCGAGGACTCATCAGAGCTTAGTCGCCTGCTACTGAAGGCATACATTCTATGTGTCTCACAGAGTACAACTGGTGGCTTCCGCGACAAACCGTCCAAACCTGTAGATCTTTATCACACTTGTTACGCGCTCTCTGCACTGGAGATAATATCGCAGCCACCAGGCAAACGCCGAATAGACTGTGCTCTAAATCTTTTAATTTGAAGCGACTTTACGACTGTGTTCACTGCTACTCTGGCTTCTACGTGCCAGTCTCACACCTGATGCTTAGACAGCCAGTGTACTTCGTCAGTGTACAACACTACATAGAAGGCAACATTTCCACCAGGCATAATACCTCTATGGTTAGTGGATGACAAAATGAGCATTATCGAGCAACTATAGCTGCTTTTCTCCTTACAGGGGCTGTAAAAATGAGGTTTCACGCATGCCTGACAAACAACGACAAGTATATATCATCATTATTACAGGATGAATCCACAGGTCCATCCATTAGTTTGCTATATGCATATTTCTCATCTTCTTGTTCTTCCTTAATCACTCTTCAAATCTTGCAACTTATTTCCCAGTTATTGCCCTTATTTCGGGATATAGCCAAATTAGCTCTAACAATACTGGGTTGTGCAATAGCATGTTAAAATTTGATGCAGTTCTCTCATCGCCCCTTATTTACTCATATTCAGAGTAGTTAGTGGAGCGGTTGCATATGCGTGTTGGAAGAACTCCTCCAAGGACACATCGCCCGATCCGTCGGCGTCAACGAGCATGAATTTATCCATTACTTCATTGTAATTAACATTTAATGCTTCCATAGCCTTTCTGTGCTGCTGCTTTACCATTCTAGCAGGCCAGTTTACAAGGTCGACGTCGTAATGCAAGTATAAGTTGCTCTGTTTCTCTAACATCTCTTCAAGGTGCCGATTAAATTGCTTGGTATCACCCTCGCTCATTGTTGACCCTACGAATTCTTGTAGTGAGAGCTTCCCCGTGTGATCTGTGTCAATGGATGTGAATCTGCACAGTTGTGTCATGTGAAATGCTACGTTCTCCGACAGCTTCAGTCTTGCGAGTGGCGCTGCGGCATTCAGACCGTAGTTAGCAAAGACGTAAGCGGCCGCTCTAGCCGCGATTTCCACGTTGTAAGCTATGGTATGATGAAAAGCGGGGCTGACCTTAGTCTGGGCAGCCCGTTTAAAAAGGTTCATCAGGTAAACCCTTGACTGCATATCAGTTGCAAATGAGTCCCAAAATTGATCCAGCGATGGTGTCACTAGCCAATTCATCTCTTTCGCCGCAGCGATTGTTGCGAACGCAGAAAGCTTGTCGAACTTGGATGCCACCATTATTTGCAGGTTCGCAATAAAAATGGCCAAAAGTGAAAAATGTTTATCCTTTGTTTCCACATTAAGTTTAGGGTAAGCTACGAGCTTGTGTTGCACAGCATACACGAGCATCGCTGCCGCTTCTGGAAACGCTGTGAACAGCCGAAACACCGTATCCTGTGCGGCACCGTATTCAGGGTCAAAATAGAACGGTAATGCGAGTTCCACAACATGAGATAGCGGCATATCCATTTGCATTAGTGTGTCCGTTGTCAGTCTTTCCGCCATTGGAATTTCCCATATATGCATATCGATATAATCCACTATTGGACGCAACAACTTGTTGAGATGTTCAACATCGGTGCCACGACCATTCGCAATGCCCCCTTGGTACTTACTAGCACCAGTTCGCGGCAAAAATCCAGATCTCGCCAATTCAGCCAAGTTATTCACATTTGACAGGAGCGTGTATACCATCTCCCACATGTCAGCCTTCTCGCTGAAGGCTGTTTCCCCAACAGCATGACTGGAAATTCTATTTTCTATCATAGAACACAGTTCTCCAAGAAGCACATTGTTTAGCAGTGGTGGTTGCACTGCTTCCTTTGGGGGTTGAGTCCATTCCCTGCATCTACGTATGAGTTCATGACTTGAACGCAGTAACCCGGGGTTCGTTTCCACCTCGACACCTGTCGCTGTTTTCGATGTTTTTACTAGCGTAGCGCCATTAGTCCAACTATCGGAGAAAAAGGATACCCCTCCGAAGTTTTCCAGACCAGCCTCCCCTCTCACGTCACCACACGTCCAAACATTACTAACCCAGTGCTGTGTAACACTACTGCTACACAGGCTACTTCTGATTCGCCGGGATATGGCAATGCCTTCGTAATTGTTCAACTGTGTGATTACAAGCGCCACAAGATATGAGAAGGGGAAGGCGGAGATGCACGCCACCAGCGCCTTGAAAGTATAAGGTAGATGTCGTCGCATGGTATCACAACTCTATTAAGTCATATTTCCCACAGGTCAGCGTTACGATGAAGTTCACATCCAGATTGACGTTGTGGAATCTTTTACTACCACTCAACGCCAGGATCACTTATACCTTCGGCAAATTTTCATCGGCAAGAATCGACTATTTCCTTCAGATCACCAAAACTGGTAAGTGTATCGGCTTTCAGTTCCCTTGTGTCTATGGGATCTTGATCATCCTTTCCCCCGGTGAATGTCTTGAGCATCGATGTATCAGCTAAACTGTCCTTCTACTTTTGGTTATGTTACAGCTCGGCTCAAATGTTATTGCGAACTTTAGGTTACTGCGTTTACTACCTGTTGATTTTTTCTATATTACCTGGAATCCTGTTTTACAAATAATGTACTATTGACGGCACTGCCTATTATAGTATAAATTTAGGTCAAATATATAATCCATAAATGCCACATGACTGCCCTCTTACTGCATTAAGCCTCTGCATTACACCATAAAATCCTCAGGCACTCGGGTCAGCGCGCTCTTTCTTAAAGCCAAAAACTTTCTCTTTGCACAAACCAGTTCTTATTTTGTCTACAAATAAGTAGAATTTACGTTACTGTTTACGGTGTTAAATTTCAGCATCACTTAGTACTTTTTACCCGTGTCTACTTGGGTGCTGTTCACTACTGGTTATCCGTCACATTTAATGGTGAAATAGGTTTCCAGTGGCATGAGACCGACGCAATAACGAGTTTGATTTCGAGATACGTCGTATAAATTCCATGTGAGTATATGTTTTGCTAAGATGCATTCCGCCGGTTGCGGCTGCAAGGAGGAACACGAACTTGGTGCCAGTTCCTCTTGTTTACGTGGACAGATTAATTTGGAAGCTGTACGCGTATTTAACAGTGATTCTCGTCCTGAGGACGGCAAATTGGTATTCAAACCGTACAACCAAAGGTTGTCTGAGGGCACACTCAGGAACGATCCCACTTCAGACATCGAGCTGCTATTTACTATTCCATTCTTCAATCCAAGCGAAATAGCACACCTATTGGTGGTGAATGAAGGAGAGGAAGTTTTGGACGTCAAATTATACGTCAACCGCCCTCACTTTGACTTTAGTGACATTGGTGTGGTTAATCCAACCCTGGAATTACAGATTCCCCCGGATATTCACGGCTCTTTTTTGCACAAGCTCTCACTAACGAAGTTCAGAGACGTTACAGATCTGGCTATTTACTTTGCTGGTACGAAATCCGTAATTTTACGATACATTGGATTACGGGGCAAGGCGAGAGTACAACAGGCGAATGTGGTACATGCCAAGTACGAGGTGGTACCTACCACTTCATTTCAGGAGAGCCTTGAAGAAGTGAAGCATCTTAGATACGTCTGAAACATTGACGTCTTTTGTGCGTTTTGATTATATATAGCCATACAGAGTATCTAGCGAAGGATAAATAAGAGGATATGAAACACCTATATAGCGTTCATTTCCTCATCATTATGTTGGCTTTATTAGCCACGGTATGGCCTTGTGCTCTAGGTTTCCGAGGATCGCCGGGCACAACCGCCTTAAAAGGGGCTACCGCACGTCTGTGGCCTCTATACAGCAAGAACCGCCATGCCGATCGCGTGAAACAGATTAGACGCCAGCGCCATTTTTTCGTAAGGCGCCGTGAGGCGGACTCGATGAAAGAGCCTGCCGCGCTGGAGCAGATGGCCACCGCGCAGCGTTTTATGTTGGACGACGTCTTTGGCAGACCACTCTCCCAACATCTCGGAGACGGAGGTGTAATACCTTATATGGCTGGCGTACCTGATAAAGCGGCACATGTTCGACGATACTTCAACCTGACATCTATCAAGAACAAGGAGGTGGCAGATATGTGCCACAGCGTTGCATACAGTCCTGGTGTCACCCGTGGCAAGTTCCAAGGCCGTGTTCCAATAGCACAACAACCATTCTACCGTTATCCAGAAGTACAGGAGGATGAGATGGAATTCAACAAAGCAGCAGCTTTCCGGAAAGGAATGCCTCCACTGACACCGGATCTTACTCAACACGAGCGTGAAAATCGTTTGTACAGCGGCCTCCTCACCGAAGTGGTTTTCAAACACCTACCCAAGAATCTCATCAAAGAAATGAGTGAAATGGAGATAGGTGCAAAACAGGGTCGCGTAGATGTTGCTAGGCTTCGTGAGAAGAAGGATGACCAAGCATTGCCCGAGGCTACGGACGCGTCCACCACGTCTTCGTTGCCTTTTGCAACACCCTAATAAAAACATTATCTTATGAACAGACTACCCACTTGACTAAAATGTTTTTCATATCTATAGGTTATACGGAGTCTAATGTCCATACCGTGACGAGGCACCCAGTACAGGTTGTAACGTTCGTGAACGGCGGACCCTTGACACCGACCATGAAAACAGTTGGCAGCTCAGACAGTGTCTATCCACTTTTCAATTGGGTTAGGCCCCGATCAAGCCAAAATATAATGGTATAAAGGCAATTTGACGAAAAAATAAATGACTTAAAACAGTGTTGAATTGCACATTTGCATTCTTCCTAAGTTCGTCATCTCCTAAATTCTAGGCACCGTTCATTCACTGAAAAGGAATGCGCCGCCTTAGTCCGAGTCGTTGAAAACAATAGATTTGGATTTTTTGGGATCTATGTCTATGGTGCCAGCACCGTCATTCTTACGCTTGAAATCACCAGATCCGCCACCAAACCCTCCACGGCCTCCTCGGTTGTTTCCGAATCCACCTCTACCACCAATATTGCCTCTACCGCGTCCTCCAAAACCTCCGCGTCCACCGCGGCTGTTTCCGAATCCACCTCGGCCTCCCATGTTACCCCTACCACGTCCACCGAAACCTCCGCGACCACCGCGGGAATCTCCTCTAGCAGATCTCGGTCTGGCGTACTGGATGCTCACGGTTCTCCCATCGATCTCGGTGTTGTCATAGTCTACAGCACGTGCAGCTGCTTCTTCGTTGGTGAATCCGATGAAACATCGTCCCATGCTTTTTCCCGTGTCTTCAAATTTGGGGATCACACAACGCAGAATTTCACCACATTCGGAAAATAGTTCGCGCATGGTCTCCTCGGTAGTGTTGTAGCTGAGATTTCGTATGCATACCTCAGTTCCACTCTGCGGCACATCGCTCTGTTCACCACCAAATCCATTTTGGCGTGCTGGTTTTACATGATCCGCTGTTAAATTGATTTTCAGTGTGCGGCCCTGATATGAGGTTTCGTTATACTCAAGTGCCTTTTGAGCGGATTCTTCACTGGCGAACGTGATGAAAGCGATACCCTTGCGCTGCAACATGTTAATACGCACAATAGGCCCGCAGTCTGCTTCGAAGAGCTCCTTGACTTCGTCTTCGGTAATTTGGAAAGGGAGTCCACCACAGTAAATTTCAGTCCTTTCACCTCTAGCACTTGATGGAACCGATGCTGCAAGTAAATATATATTTTGAAATGGGATGACAAAGACATTGGTGGGTTAAATACACATAAAGGCGTACACCCTCTTAAGTGGGCAGTGCAAACAATACGCGTAACATGCTGACGCAACGGCAGCCGCTGTATCGGCGCAGAATCGCTCATAGCTTCACTCTTTAGTTTAATCATGAAGTCATTCGTAAAAGTGTAATCATAGCGAATTCCAGCATATAGGGAAGTTTTAATGCAACACAATTCACGGTTTCTGGTAAAACTGATAACTTACTGATTTCAGTGGGCACATTTTTGTTCTGCTTCTTCTTTGTTTCTCTGGGGGTTTGGGGAGCTGACGAAGGAGCCGGTTTCACCATCTCTTCTTCCGATGACGAATCCTCTTCTTCTTCTTCCTCGTCGTCACTATCATCTGAATCATCTTCGTCAACATCCATTGCATTCTGCCTTTTAATGGTCTCAACATTGCCGTCTTCGTCATCGTCGCTGTCACCTGAGTCGTCTTCAGAATCATCATCGTCGTCATCCTCATCGTCAGAATCGGAGTCTTCAGATACTTGTGGTTTAAGCGTAGACTTAGCCGAAACCATTTCTTCATCATCTGAAGATTCATCGGAATCTTCGGAATCGGATTCTTCCGTGACTTTCGGCTTGGAGATCGGCTTAACTGCGGTTTCTTCCTCGTCATCTGATGATTCATCTGACGAGTCGTCTGAATCTTCAGAATCAGAGTCCTCAGAAACGTCGGGCTTCGAGATTGATTTTACTGGTGCAACGTCCTCATCGTCAGACTCTTCAGAATCATCTGCGGATTCGTCGGAGTCTTCGGAATCAGAGTCCTCAGAAACGTCGGGCTTCGAGATTGATTTTACTGGTGCAACGTCTTCATCATCAGACTCTTCAGAATCATCTGCGGATTCGTCGGAGTCCTTTTCTTCTGCCTCCTTTGTGGTTCCAACATCGCCATCTTCGTCACTTTCAGAGTCTTCGTCATCGTCGCTGTCACCTGAGTCGTCTTCAGAATCATCATCACCGCCAGTGTAATCATCGTCATCTTCACTGTCTTCGTCGTCTTCAGCATCGTCTTGCTTTGTCTGAGTCAAGTGTCCCGATGCCTCTGGCGCTTTTGCGAGTACGACATCCTCCTCACTTGAATCATCATCGCTATCGTCAGATTCATCGTCACTCTTCACTTGTTGGGCTTTTTTAACAACCACAGCCTTTTTTGCCGGTGTTTTCTTGGCAGGTGCCTTTTGAGAAGCCTTGGTGGTTGTAGCTGCGGCTCTCTTGGTTTTCTTTTGCGCGGCGCCCCTGTTTTCATCTGCAGGTCTCTTGTTAACTTGTTTTGCCGCAGTTTCTTTGGGAACTACTTCAAAATCAGTTTCAGAGCTTGAATCCGACGACTCAGGCGCACCCTTGTTTTTGGAAGCAGTTTTGGCGACTACGTGTTGAGTAGCACCTTCATCGTCACTACTAGAGTCCTTTCCCGTAGTTCCAAATGAAAACCAGGCCCTTTTCTTGTCTACCTTTTTTGCTTTTCCGGCTTTGGCGGTTTTGGTCGCGGCGGCGCGACCTTCCATCGCGGCTACAGCTGCAAGGGCATTAGTCGTTATGTAAAATTTAGGCATCTACGTACAATGCCTCAGATATATTTGGTGTAACTTCGTCATATAATCGGAAGTAGCAAAAATTGACATCATCGGCTAGTTACTTACCTTCTTTCTTTGATTTCTTCGTTTCCTTTACCATTTTGTCGTTTTGGGTTTTCAGTTGTTGATTAGACTTAAAATACACCCTTTCCGACTGGATGTACCGTAATAAGTGCGATTTATAATGAGATCCGTGTTTGCCGCTTCCACCCCATAGTTGCTATCCATTGTGGAATCCGTGCAACCTGATCTATCGGTAGCGCCTAACCTTGCTGGAGACAACTGGTCACCCATTTCGTTACGTTTTGTTGACCAAATTCGCCTATCTGCGATGGTGTCTTGGAAGATGTTACCCTGTGGCATCAAGATACCAGATACACACATGTGTCGCGCATAACGACATCTCTCGTGTGTTTTGCCGCCGGTTGCATCCACACATTATGTCCGGTTCTTAGTACACACCATGGCTCACATCACTTACGATAAATAGTCTTATATAATAACTGACGCATAGCTCATTGACGCTCACAATTGGAACGCGGTCATCCGCGTCCGGGGGTTTCATCGGTGCTAAGATTGGCCCATGTGTACCAATTGAAATCTACAGTTTACATTCACAACGTTATGGCGACTCTCGATGTGAGCCCTCTAGATTTGACAGTAGAGTCACCTGGCTGGTTGAAGTCAAGGTAGGCGGAACTTGCCGATATCGACAAATGTGCAGGTTGCATAAGGCTGGGGAGTTTGTTATGAACTACGCTGCATTGCTTTGTCTTCTGGATTGCATCGTACTCCCCGTGCTGATCACCTTATTCCGTCTTTTAGACGTTTTCAAAGGTTTTCGAGGATTCGAAGGGCCATTTCATCTAGTAAGTTTGTGACGGTCCTAAGAGTCATATACTCGCAGATCGAGGTGGTGTGTGTGGTCACTTTGGGGTTATTGGCTGTTGTTGTAAACTATCGCAAGGGCGGTAAGGCACGCTACGCTGCCCTGGGTGTAACTGGAATCGTTTTAGTGGTTTGCGGTCACTATTTGGTTGACGGTTGGGTGGAGACGTGTGTATCGCTGGCAGGTTGTGCAATGCTGTTGTCGTCGAATCACCTTTCGCGCCGCAATCACGGTTGTTCTCACTGTCACCTACCTGTTGCTCTGTAACAACGTGGGCCAAGGGCCACCCTCGGCTTTGCCGCAGCCTTTCTAATAAGGAATGAGATATGCTAACTACGCTTTTAGCGTTGCATCAGCCTAATTATGATTTATTTTCAAAACCGTGTTTTCACGTTCCGCGATCGAGTTTATGCCTAAGTAAACCACTACAATGGTATTTAATATTATTAAATGTATCTATACTTATGTTTAATTTTCGTTGGCGTCGGTCCGATTAATCCCCAACTTTTATGGTTATATCTCTGGACCCTTTTTATTGAGCACCTCTGCGTAACGGAGTAGCTCTACAATTTATGTTATAACTTCATCTTGATAATTTTGATCCAGCTGGAGTGTACCAAAAGTTCAGCTAGATCGGTTGGTACAGTAAGTTTTGTCCCCTTAGCGTAATAGCGCATGAAGGGATTGCTTCTGTCGGCGATGTCGTCTGTGACGATATCCTTCAAAACTGCGACAATGCTGTAGCTTTTCGCTCTGTATGGCATTGGAGTTTTGATGATAGCATTGCACGTGTCTCTGAGGTATGCCGCCTCCTGATCAGAGAGTCGTTCAATGATGTTCATAGGTATGACATCGTAGAGACCGTTATAAGTTACCGCCATCTCCTTGACCCTATTTATCCGATGTGTATTGTAGAGGTAAAAATTTTTGGATGCCTCCATATAGCAGAGTGCATAGTAGTCCATGAGTAGTTTATACTTGAAAAGTTTTTTTGTGTCATGTGGCGAGAACGTGAGCCCATCCCTGTATTCCCTGGCATGGTGCGTGAACTCCGCGAGGAACATTGTTATTTCGTTTACAACGCGTTTGATTACCTCGAGGGGGTACGTCTGTATGATTAGCGATGCATCCTCGTTTCTGAAAATATCACTGAGTACATCCAGTGAGTTCCGCGTTGCCGCTATGACATCAGGTGGGTCACTCATCGTGGACTCACGGAGTTCCACCTGATGTCTTATAGTCTTGTCATTCCGATTTTAGCTGTAATCGTGTGTTTGCGCCTCCTCTTGTCAATATTGCATCAACATAGTGTATGAATTGATGCAGTTGTCAAATCGATAGCCGTACACCTTCATCCAATGAAGATGCCGCTATTGGTCACTGTAATATTTTACACTTGAAGATTATCTGGGTGCTCTTCGCCAGTAATCATCCCGTAGCTTCAAGTGCGGTTGCCCACGGCACTCTGTCTACCGTCAGTGATGTGTGGATGGCACGCTCACATTAATGGACAAGATCCCATAAATTATCGATTACACATATGCTAGTTACACATTTAAATGTGCAAAAACATTTTGTAGTCAAATCATGGATATTGCCCTGCGTGTAGCGTCGCTCCCTCAGCACACAGTGCCAACCTAGTGGCCTAAGTATTGTATTCCGAACCATACCGGTCCAATACCATAAACAATAAGAGTGATATTGTACCTAGATTAGACATTTTTACAGTTATTTAAGCGCGCCAAGGACGGAACGCTCCCCCTAAGTCAATATGACAGCAAGTGGTCACGTTTGCGCGCATGAATTGTACAAAACAGTGGTAGCAAATTCATATTCAATGTCTAGTTTATGAGTACATCATGATAGCGCTCATTAGCACACAAACGATGCCAAGGAATTCGAGGAAACCCATACCAATAAGCGTGTATGTGAACAAGTCCTCTTTGATAGATGGGTTACGGGCGGTACCGGAGACGAGGGCGGCAAAAAGGTTACCGATACCCTGTGCGACACCTCCTACAGACATAAGTGCGACAGCTGCTCCAAGCGTGGCGATTCCTCCGTCATACCTTGCGCCAAATTTGTTGTTGTATGGTACGAGGCTGGCCATGTTTCCCTGTGAATACATGAAATAATGTAACATTTGTATTGTTATATCGAGGCCATCAACAGATCTCGCCGGAATTTTCCCAGCAGCGGCAGGATCAGTGTGTCTGGATGATGCGCATGAATAGAGAAACTTACCCTGTTAACGAAGTTGGTAAGAAGCGTGTTCTGTACAGTTGGCTGGTGCAAGTAAAATGACCTGGGCATTTCTGTCGTGTTCTGCCTGGCGTCGATCCTGTGGAAGCTTGGTACCTGGGACAAGTAGCGCGCTCCCAGGGGGTTGTAGAGGCGGGCATTTTTAGCAAAAGTGCTGGTGAATAGGCGTTGAAGGGGTGCCATTTTGATTTATGTATTGAAGCAGTATGCGTTTCGTGTGAATTGCTTGTGATTCACCAGGCCTCAGTCCCACACAACAACCCAACAGCCGGATGTCTTCCTTTTCCCGCAGTTCACCACCACGCTGGCAGAGATCACAAATCCGCCCATAAAAGCTACGCAAGCAATTATATGTGTGCTTCCTACTAGTCCAGCGTTACATCTGCCTTCCTAGCACGTTGTTGCCGGTTAGGCATGGCATACGTACAGCTTGTGTCTACACAGCTTCAGGTATTACGCTATTGTGTATCATAGATTTATGTCACGGCGCAAAGAATCGGCTTTTAAGGCTACACTGGGTCTTTCAGGCGAGTCTGGAGGCCGCAGGCCATGTGATGGGTCCTGGTGTCGCTACCAGGGATAGTACTCACTTATTATTTCACATATACGGCTACACATATGTTATTAGAGATGATCTGCCGACTTTTAATAGCCGTCTATTGCGCGTTTCATTCAGTCGAGTTCGTTTTAGAGGAGTAGAGCGGTCGCGCTGTCTATAGTGAAATTTCACCCTAATAGAGTACGGCTTAGACCCTTTTGATGGCTTGGCCGTGTGTTAGGTAAATTCGTGTGCGTAGGCCCATTTTGATGTCGTCCTCGCCCTGGTGTTCGGCGGGTGGGGTAGAGACTGTGCGTCCAGATTTTGGCGCCTATCTGGCCTTTGTTTCAGCTGCAGTGTAATATTAGCGCATATTGCGTTATAAAATTATATAATCGGATACTCCCAGAGAGTTATAACAGCTGCGACACAATGGTGAAGTCCAGCGGTAACAAGATCAGGCCATCCCTCAGGCAGAACTTGACCCACTTCCACGTGGTTGGTCGTGCGGCTCCATCAAAGAAGAACCCAAATCCCTTGATTTACCGTATGAATATTTTCGCCAAGAACGCGGTATTGGCCAAGGGTCGTTTTTGGTATTTTATGCGTAAGCTGCAGAAGGCCAAGAGATCTGGCGGTGAGATTTTGGCTTGCAACATCCTCAATGAGAGCAAGCCCACCCAGGCGAAGAACTACGGTGTTTTGTTGCGTTACGAGTGCCGTACTGGTACCCACAACATGTACAAGGAGTACCGTGACACCACCTTGACTGGCGCTATTTCTCAGATGTACGGTGAGATGGCCGGTCGCGACAAGGCCCGTGCTAGTTGCATCCAGATCATCCGTGCACGCGAGATCGCCAACAGCGACTGCCGTAGGACTCGCACTACCCAGTTGCACAACCCCAAGCTCAAGTTCCCTATCCTCAAGCCTCAGCCTTATCTCAACAAGGCCAACCGCCAGCTGTTTGTTGGCACAAGGCCTTCTCTTGACTACTGAGAGACTTTTGAGGTAGTAATAAAATCTATATGCTACATACTTTCATTGTGTTGCTTGAGTGGCTATATACGTATGTGAATATGGTCAGATGAAGTGCAAACGACATTGCTATGTGTGGTTGTTTATCCTCCTCGGGGTTATCTCCCAGGAGTCATTCACCAGATCGTTACGAAACGGGACATGCAAAACATATGGAGTATGTACATGTGTTATGGCTGATTAAAAACTAGTTCCATGAGCAAGCGTGTCCATTGTCTTTCCATTTGATGGAACTACTAGCACCTTGCATTGCGTCACCCCTGTAAGGGGCAAACCAACCATGACACATGTAGTCGGTTGACCAGTGTTCCTTTAGTACTTGTATACGTCAGCGTATAATTCCAGTACTGTGCCGGGGGTAACCGAACCAACCCCTAGTACACGTCCATCTGTAGATGGCGGACATTTCTCCGGCAGTTGTTCCTCGTTGAAAGAGACTTGTGATGTCCGCACTGCAGAAACATCTACTCCACTTTTCCCATAGGGAAAATATGTAGAGATCCACTAAATAGCTGCAAAGTAACCATAGGATTACCTTTTTACAATTAGTTCGTAACCTGTAGCGAGCTTGCGGCTTCACAACAGCAGGCAGATCCACTGACACCTCGTATCCACCAGACCGTCATGTTAGTGCCACTAGCTGTACCCTGTGAGTAACTTTATAACCCCTACCCTTTCCTACACATTCCACTACATTATTACGAAATTGGTGCGCAATATCGCAACCTTGGCCAGCTTCATTTAAAAATAGCATATATACCATATTTCGCCTAACGGCCATGCCATTATGGCATTCTATCTAGCGCCTAGTTGGCGCATTTTATCACTACATTTCCTGTATTTTAACTTCATTTAGAAGAGATATGCGATAATTACATGACTGTTGATCATGTCCTCCGTCCCCCAAATTTTTTTTGATCCAAGGTCCTCCACCCTTGCCCCCTCCTAAGGGGGCACCACCTCCTAATATCACGAAATCCTCCAGCGACGATTCCGTATGATACCATTTGGTCTCGATAAAGATCCTCGAACACCATGTTCCACTTGGAGCCACTCCCAGTTGCTTACATCCTTTGTGCGGCCCTGCAAAGATGTTTGCAGAGCTGTGGAATCACAGTTATCTCGCGTACCCTATCACACCCACCAAATGTCATCCTTTTCCGTTCCGTTGCGATATTTTTCGATCCGCAGTTATCTGCGTTCGATGCGATAAGAGCTTCTAAGTGCAATAATACACTTCGAGCATTATTTTTACAACCCTAGTCACGAGGATGATGAAAAATCATAATCCTCTTCGCATCGGCCACTTTTACATATTCATCCGCAATAGTAAAGTGACCAAAAGTCAGTGACCATCGAACATTTTTTATTCAAAAAATTGTTCGACATACTGGGTTGGACTTCAAGAAAACATGAAGTGAATGAGTAAGATGCCTCACACTCCTCTTCTATAGTTTATTGGGCATCTAGGGCGATGTCATAAATGTAATTTTTTGTCACGCTGCGTGGAATATCTGAAGTTGCCACCACCCGCCGCGCCGCCTCTCCGTTTTCCACGCAGAGTCTACCTCGCGAACGGGTGAAGCCACGGCCACAAAATAATTACCAGTGATAGAATGGGTGTTTTATCGCGTTATTTTGTGTTTACATAAAAAGTTATCGAGTAGTTACGGAGAAATCGTCAAATCTATGATAGCTAGCTGTCTACTTCAATGGCTAGTAAGCACAACAAAAGGAGAAAAAAGTATGTAATTGTCACCATTCACCCGACGGGACAAATAACTTGCTCACACGGTCATATACAATTTGTATACTTATTAGTGTATACGAAAAGGAATCCCAACCCCGTCGCTACTGACCCTCTCAAGCATATTGGCAGCTTCACGATCTCATAGCTCACGATAATTCTATTACATTGACATTAAGCGCACCTATCACACGGGAACGGTCTCGTTGATATTTTGTATAGAAACAATTTAAATAATCATATGCCAATGCAACGAACATGACTGGTGTCGACAGATGTGGCATACCTGTAACTGCGACCATATAGCGTGACGGTGTGTGCTAGAAATAATGCCGATGATGCATTATGTATGTGTAATTACGAAATAGCATTCTCTGTTGCGCTGCACCCGCCTTAGGCAGTGCGGGGCCCAGACACCCACCGCCGAGCCTTTGGCAGGCATGTAGGCGATGCTGTCGTAAAAAATGGGTACATTGTAACTGTTAAAGTGTATAGAACGTGCAATATGTTAAACCAGCGGCGAATTTCGATGGTTAACACAGGAACGCACGCATCATAGTCAAAGCGCGCCGTCTAGACGTGTAATTCGACCGCAACAAGCAGTTAGATAACTTTCGCTTCTAGTCAGCAGATGGCAGTCGAAACAAACGTATACGTTGGTGCTAAATGTGTTAGTTATGGGTGGTATGTCAGTGGCGCTTTGATGTGCAACTACACGCTCCAATCGAGCTCTAATGCGACCGGCTTACGGTCTACAGTTGATGTGTGGATATTCGCAGGTCGTGGTAGTGTTTCCCTTGGCGCCAGTTGTCGGCCTCTCCTTATGGCAATAAGCCCCCAGTGGGGTGGGCGCGGTACCAGACCTTCTTTGAGCTTATTAAGGTCTACAATCGTAGAGTTTCTGCCTGAAATAGGGTAATTCGAGTCTTTTCTCACGATGGTAGGTCCATACGTACGCGTGTATATAAAACCTTGCTCAGGGTATCGACTTGGAGAAAGGCGGTAGGGTAAAAAAGCCAGGCCGTAAGGCTTTGGTTAGCAAGGACCCCTACCTTCGTCTGTTGGTTAAAACATACAAATTGCTCTCGCGAAGGACAACAAGCGCGTTCAACCGTACGGTATTAAAGAGGCTCATCATGCCCCGCCGCTTTAAAGTCCCACTCTCTCTGTCCAAGCTGATTAAGCACATGAAGGGCAAAGAGGACACAACGGCAGTCATTGTAGGAACCGTGACTGGTATGTTATACATCTATGTGACGTTTTGTTTTGCAATGTGTCCGTACGTTTCCATTATTTTGATCAAGACGAACGTTAGTGAACTCAAATTTACTTACTTTTTGAGAAAAATATGATGATGTATGTTTCTACTAAATCGCGACGGTCTTCTGACTCTGCTGGAGAGGGTAGAACTTACTGATTTCTCTCACACTCGCCATACAGGGTGCTAGTCGCATAGTTTCATAGGTTTCTGTTCGTTATTTGCGGTTGTTTAAATAAGCTATCGAAGAACATGGTTGCTGATCTGTTACGCGATTCTTGTATCCTACTGTTTCTCCATCAAGTTAACTCTTATTCGTTTACTCATTGCCTTACAGATGACCTGAGGGTTAACGAGGTCCCTAAGCTCAGCGTCTGCGCGCTGCGCGTCACAGACACAGCTCGTGCTCGCCTTTTGAAGGCAGGTGGTGAGATTCTCACTTTTGACGAACTGATTTCGCGCTCGCCTACTGGTTCCAAGTGCACTTTGCTCCGCGGTCCAACCAAGGCCCGTGAGGCTGAGAAGCACTTCGGCAGGCCACCCGGTACCCCGAACTCCTCGACCAAGCCCTATGTTCGTTCCAAGGGCCGCAAGTTCGAGAAGGCTCGTGGTCGCAGGAAGTCATGTGGTTTCAAGGTGTAGTCGTACTGGTCTTTTAATACTGTTACTTCACATGTAGCATAGGTTCAGCTTATTGTATGTGATCTGGCACTGTTGCTGTTGTGTTACGACCAATTACAAACGTTGCTATGTGTGCTTCATAGGGTAAGTCGAGGAGGCTCCGTCGATTAGACAACAATGTCCTCGTCGACGTGACCAAATATCATTCGTGAGCCATCGGCGCTCTGTGACTGGGCGCCACATTCTCCCGCCTTTGTGGGAGTAGCGGATCGTGCAGGTACGTCGTCGTCCTGGTTCATGTTACGCACCATCTTAAGCCTACGTCTTATTAGCCTCTTAAGAAATAAGGACGCACCTGTAAAATTCTTCACGCTCCAGCTCGTCTAGTTCCCTCTTTATGTATTCCACGTGTTCGTCAATGGTCGGTATGACCAGCTGCAGTTTATTAGATGACATCTTTAATTGTCTTACATTATCTAGTGCGTTGACACGTCTGTTTGTCATTTTAATTTCTTGTTCCAACATCATAAAAGAGACCTGCATTGATATTGTTCAATAAAAATGGCGGTCCTACCTGTAGCGATGCAAGTTCCGCTAAGGTCTGTAGGAACTCTACGTGAGCCGTTTTCACAGAGTGGATGACATTTCCACCTGTTGTGAGTCCGATGTTTGCGATAACATCCACAGTAGGATCAATTTTAAGTTCAAAATGCGGGATAATGACACCGGCAACGTTTTCCGTTCGTACTCGTAATGTAACGGCAGAGCGACCGACTGATTCCACGACTAGCGATTTGAAATCTCCAGCAGACCAGACAGCATTCGCCAAAGCATATGACGCTTCGTTGAACCCCTCGATTACTTTCTCCTTCCCCTGAGAAGGTGTTCCGTTGTGTGTTGCACAATGTACCTACCTCAATAGTGTCCTTCAGTAGTTTTCTGAACTTTGAGGTCAGAGCATCACTTTTACGTTTAAGCAATGAGTAACCCAGAAATGCATTTGTACGTTTTTGCTTCAACAGCTGAAGCGTCCTAGTATATCATTTCACTCGCGCGCGTCTGTTGACTTACATTCGTGACGGCAACGGTTTGCCGGAAGTCGAACTCATTTTTGATTATCTGATATGCATTGTGTAGTTTGCGTAAGATTAAAAGTGAGTCCGCTGGGTGGGATTGAGTTTTAAAGATGTATGTTGGGTGACTAATGAGCTCCGAAGGTCATTGGCGCCTTGTCTGAGAAGTATATCCCTAGTAAGTAACAACACTACTAAGCGTATTTATAACTAGGCGGCTCTGATATGCGCCCGCCCAGTAGGCGTCAAGATTCCATACTGGCAAAGGAGACCCACTATGGTCTAGCTGCCGGCGCGTCTTGATACCCCTTTCGACACGTGTCTGGCCTTCCACAGGCGACATCCTTGCAATATACCTGTTGCAAAGTGTCAACAAGGCCAGGATTGTGCCACCTTCTACATAGTCACTGGTAGCATATAATCTTAAAGCTCATATGATGTGCGTAGCACTTTCAATTCTTTGCGCTCTTTACAGTCTTCTTGGTCGCATCCTTGTTAGTAGGCGTGCCAGCCGCAGCTTTGCCTCCCTTGGAGGCCTTGTATTCCTCCATCATCTTGTAGTATGCCTTCAAATTCTCTCGCGATGTCTGCTCACGCTTCACACGTTGAGCGATACGTCTGCGTTTCCTTTGAATCCTTTGGGGTGTAACAAGTCTCTGGATCTTTGGTGCCCTTGTTTTGTTGCGTCCTTCGATTTTACGTCTAATGACGTATTTACGGACATCTTCCTTGGGGCCTAAATTGAATAGTTTACGGATCTTGGAAGCCCTCTTGGGACCAAGTCTGCGGGGTCTGTCCTCATCGGTGAGTCCCTGGATCTCCTGAGGACCCTTCTTAACAACAACCAAGTTGAGGATGGAGAGATTTGGTGAAGCGATGCAACCACGTACCGATTTACGGCGCATTTCACCAGTTCTACGTGGTCGGTAGCACTTCATTCCCTTTTTAAGAAGAAGCCTAACACGGCCAGTCGTGAGAACACCCTGCATCATCGGAAATCCTTGTTTGTCGTTACCACCCGATATTTTGAAAACGTATCCCTTAAACTCATCACCGAGCGAATCTCCGGGAACCTCAGCCCCCATACGTTTCTCATAAAAGGGGAGTAACCTTTTTTCATCGTCGACCTCCATGGTCTTCTGCATACCCGTGTACGGGTTTGCCAAGTTGAGCTTCATCTTGATCGCACGTCAGTTATCTTGCCAGTTAGCACACCACGTGACTTGTTTGCTAGATAAAAGCGTTTAAGATGAATTTTAGCTTTACGAATGTGCTAATAGTATAGATTGACAGCGGGCCCACGAGCGTGGGGGCTCCGCGCCTGCCTACGGGTTCCAGTCCACCGAAACGCAAGCTACACAGAACATCTATCTCTAAAATCTATGTTGGTTTCACGCACTATTGTAACATTTAAAGGAAGTGTGTTAAGTCAGGTTAACCGTCCCCTGGACCATTTCGATTTTTATTAAAAGAATCTTGCTTGAGCCAAGTTTTCACTGTCTATCTGTGGACTCATCGTTATAAATACATGAATTGTAGGCAGGGTGCCATGTAACTGGAGCAAGGTGTACCGTGGTTCCCTGTCGATATGTCTGCGCCGTTGTTGTGTATGCGTCTGGACGTATTTATCAACCACTATGTTTTATGGCCATCAGCAAGTATATCACGTTGTATATAGCCTAACAGCGCCTAGGGGTGGTCATGTAGGAACACTACTCATTAAATAGCTGGTCTCACATATCCGGTGAGGCTGTCCACCACATGCCAGGGTGCTTCAGACACACCACCAGGCCCTTTTGTGTTTGTTTCTCCCCCGAACATAATAAACGTAAACCAGAAGATTGACACGTGTAATGCTAGCGTTAAAAATGTCTTAGGGTTCGATTAGGCTGCGCAGTTACAGGCGGGGTTGCATTTGTTTTCTGGCGTGCATTTGCAATCACTGCCACATGAGCAGTCATCGCAGCCGTCACATCCCGACTTCATGGCACCCTTGCTAGAGCACGCAGTGTCGCACTTGCAGGCGGGGCTGCACTTGTTTTCAGGGGTACATCTGCAGTCGTCTCCACATGAGCAATCATCACAGCAGTCACAGCCAGATTTAGCATCCCTTCCACCTAAGCAGGCAGCATCACAGTTGCAATCCGCGACGCAGCTGCAGTTTTCACACTTGCAATCTGTACCGCACTTGCATAGAGTACTGCAATCGCATGAGTCACAGGCACAGTCACCTTGGTCGCAGCACTCGTCCATGTTGTCCTCTGGCATGAAGTCATCATCAAATCCGCCATCTCCCATGCCGGCAAATTGATCGAAGTTAGACATGTCGAACCCATTATTGAAAGCATCATCATCTTCGGCATCAGAGTCAACCCAACGGTCCCAGTCGATTTTGATCCAGTGTTTTTTACCGTCCGAGTTCAAAGTGGGCCACTTTTCCTTATCGGCTTTGGGAAGTTTGAACCTCAAAAAGCGATCATTGCTCTTCATGGCTTCAGAAGCCTTGATTGGTTTGTAGAATTTGACGGTGCATTCGTAGTCATTTCCATCCTTTTTGCCTGATATGGTAAGGTGGTCGTCTTGAAGTTTGACAATAGTGTCCTTCTCTTGCGCTAGTTGTACCGTAACTAGCAGGGTGTCCAGGGTCTGTGCCCACATAACATCAGGGTATAGCCTATAATAATGGTTAGTTATGGAACTTTACTCCACTTACGTCATTTTGAATAATACAACGTTATTCTTCTCCTTTAAAAATGTGTAAGAGTCACGCAACAGGTATCTGTGCCAGTATTCCCTTGTGAAGTGACGCTTGCGGTATCGTAGGAAGACGCCCCGACAAACAATGCTAGAGGTTTTCAGCTCTGAAATTTTATATACAACGTGGCGCACACGTCGTATGGGTACACGCTGTATGGGGGATAGGGGGCAGAAGGAACAAGAAGGGACAATGGCGTACACTGACTCTGTAATCTAGAACACAGTTCAGCGACCCTCTAACGTCCTGACACACCGTATACACGGAGTTTCCTACCTCCGGGCCACTACCCGCACATATTCTGACGACCTTGATGTCTCAAACACCGCTGTTCCGTGGTTCTGCACAATGTATGTGGCACAAAACAATTCGATCTCACCCAAATACATAATATATCGCCACTTACATGGTGTACAGGCTCCTTTTGCCAACTAAGGGCGATGTAATGTCTGATTTAGTTCCTTCGTAGCAGTAAAACAAGCTAACATAGTTACAGTAACAAGTAAATTGATTAACACTTAAAATTTTCGCATAATTCTATGCAACTCAAGAATAGGTTATCATTGCAGGTCGTGGCGTGTCTGCTGGTGGAATCCGTACATCAGTTGCTCAAATGCCATTTCTACCACGCTAAAACGCGTTAATCATATCTTTTAAAGATCGATCATGTGTTTGTAAATCTGCAAGCCATGTCTAACTTATTTTAAAGGTGATGTACCGCCACGCATTTTACGTGAGCGGAGGGTCAGCTACTCGTTACTGGCACTTTCAAGGACCAGTTAGGCACCTCGGTGGTGTTCACAGGCCTGTGACTAGTCGATGTGTAAGTGTACTTGGGGGATATGTTGGGGTATCTTATAGGCGTTGTATTGGCACAACTGCCGAGGGGCAAGGAACTGAGAACAGCAATAAGAAACTGCCATTTATCGCAATGTCTAGCGGATCTGGGACTACACGTCAAGCTGACGACAGCGCCGAGGGCACAACCACACGCTTGTATCGTTACGTACTAGAGAACCATCACCGCCTGGGCCTCTACACGTTATGCGGATATTTGGAACGTTTGTGCCAAGCGAATTTAGCCGATATTGAGGTACGCAATCTACTGAGGCTGAAACTTCTCGACAATCTTGAGGAGGTCAACTCTCCAGTGGTAATGGGTAGGGTACTCTACCTCTTGAACAAGTGCCCGTCTATGGACGACGAGTTCTTCGTTATGATTACAAACCATATATATCGCAATCGACTTTATCCCAACGGGGATGTACCACAATCATGGTGTAGGTATTTCAAGTTTATCGGAGACAATCGTCTCTACCATCGGCCCTTGTTAGAGGTGATGTGCCGAAACTTCTATGCCTACCTCATTGCATATATGGAACGTGGTCGCACGGCATTCTCGCGTCGTATGCAAGAATCAGTGGCGATAGCTTCGTGGGCTCTGGCGATAACGGCACCTGACTTGCCTTTACAACAGCTGTTTACACTTATGCTTCGTTTCGCCGGTATTCCAGGGGTTGAACGGAGCGTCGTAATACGAGTTTACTGGGGAGCTGCTGTGAGAAACCAAGGATTAGAGAGAATGGAACTACCATTGATTGCACGGGTGCTCAGTGAAACACTGTTTAGCAGCCCTGTGGGTAATCGTCACAAGTCACACTTACACCAGATATACACCACGTTGCGATGCCTCAATCTGGCTGGAATTGACGACGAAGGGCTGGCTGACCGTTGCTTGGAATCACTTCATAAACTGCGTTACGGTTACAATGACTCTAAAATATCAACAAGTCATCGCTACGTCTCTGATGTATTGGTACGGCTTGGTGTACCGCACAAAGTCGAGCTTTTGACACCAGACCTTTTAAGCATAGACATAGCCATAGAGGGCGGGGGGGAACGTATTGCACTGGAAGTAGATGGGCCGGTTCATTTCACACGAGTGTGCGACGGGTCTGAGTCTGCTACTCCTATGCGTACTGGTCCGACAAAGATGAAGCAGGCGTTTTTGAAGTGGACTGGATGGTACGTACTTTCGGTACCACCAATAAAGTTGGATTATAACGTTGATCTTACTACGGCAATTGCATCTGTAGATCTACACTACAAGCGGCTGCTCATGGGTTCTGGCAGCGCCTACCTCAGCAAACTATTGACGTAGCTTCGGAAAACCGCTGATACTCACAAGCAGTATTCACAATGATGGTAATAGTGAACCATAATTGAATTGCATTTTTTATAAATAGTTTTAGTGCGGTCAGGTTCTTTGTGGCGATTCCGAACCGGTGGCAGCAACTAGAAGTTGGCAAATATCTTCTAGTTGCGACTTTTGCGATGTTATTTGTTGTTTTATAGATTCGATAGTCTCCAGAATGTTTTTTTGTTTATCTTTCAACTGTTTTGCCCTCTCCTCAAGTAGTGGGACGCTGGGTATTTTGTTAAGTACCTTGTAAACCTTCTCATAATGATCATTAACGCTCTTATTCCAAAGTCGTTGCTGACACATTAGGACTAGATCACGCTTTATATTGGGTATCTGAATGAACATACAGCAATCTGATACATCCAACTTACGTTCTTTGTTATACAAGCACGTTTCATTGCTAGGTGACGTGCGTGATGCAGTGCCCCTTTCATTCTCAAGCTAACTCTGCTTATATGTGCCTCCATTTTTGATTTTACACGTAGCGCCGTGAGAACTATCCTGTCAAGGAGGTCCTTCTGCGTATCCGTTTCTCCTTCCTTGAATTCCAGATTGTCATAGAGCTGCATAAGTGAGTTCGCCAGACTGTCGACATCTGGTTTATCGTCCCAAAGTCGCTGCAAAGCTAGACCTTCTATTATATAATCGTTTTCAGCAGTGCTAGTAACTGCAGGCTCCAGCTCCTTTTTTAATGTTGGCTCACTACGGCTGTTACTTTTCCTTCCAGAGCTTGGAGATTCTGTCGCACGATCACGCCTATCATCACGCGCATGGCGTCGGTCGGTACGAGAATCACGTGGAGGATCTCTAGAAGTTATCTTCGACGGTTGTCGGCTGCTCGAGGCGCTACTGTCATCATGTAATGCATTTGACGTACGTGACTTCCCCTCCTGCAGTCTACCGCTGCCGATTCTCGTTGACCCACCCCGTCTTCCGGAATTCATATCTTCTAGTGTCTTATTATACTAATTATAGTGGGAGAATTGAATGTATATAACGGAGGGTGCGTCTATTGTTGGCGTGCGCGCGTGCCACCAAAATTTTGCCACACTTTAGGGTCACCGGCTTCATTAATGTAATAAATTTGTGTGTTAAAGGATTAAATAACACCTTGTGTAGTTATAATTGGCGTATTGACATCTCCAGTGCTTCAAATAGACCACTGGTGTGGAAATCGGTGTTAATCTACGGGAACGTACCTTTTGGAAGATAATATCGCAGAGCTGTGCTCCGCTGCGTATGTAAGATCACGACTACATCGTACATTCAAGGTGTCGTTGGAAGTAGAGTTTTCGGTTAGCTTTTGAATTGTACTACTCTCACTGATCCTGTGGTCTATATTTGCGATATAGCGATGACAGATGACGACTTTGAGCACGGTCTCTTTGAAGACTCTGAAGGATCGCCTGAGGAGGAAGTTGTGAAGCCACATTTCACTACCAGTGATAGTCCTCAAGCTGATGATTTACCTACGACACTTCCTGATTTGACACCGGAATCACCAGTGGAACCTGAACCCGTAGTCCAAGAGGCACTGCAGAAGTCTATACCTAGGACGGCATATCCAGTGAGGGACCATCATTTGGTGATATGCAAGTTCCCGCCAGCTGTATCCATGGCAGCGTCACCCTTCAACGAGATGCAAGAACGTCAGATGTTGCTCCAGAATCCCCAAATATTGGAAGAGCCTGTGAGTAGTGACAATCTGGTAATGATGCGTTGGCGCTTCAAGAGAAACCCTGAGGGCAGCGAGGAACCATTTGGTGTCCTGGAGACCAATACTCATTTTGTGGAGTGGGACGACGGCAGTTTCACCGTATTCGTAGGGAGGACACCATTAAATGTCGATTATCGCAGCGAAACCGTGTTCCTTCTCGAGGACTCATGCCCAGATTTGAAACCTATTCACGCTGTGATAACAGAGCGCATGCAGACTAAATTCTCAAACATTTTGAAGAACAAGTTTACCAGATCTAAGGAACTTGGAGCAAAGCGCCAAAAGATGGCAATCACATCGATAGCTGATGCAGTATCTTCTAACATCAGCGTTCAGCGTCAGAGGCTTGTGACACGCGAAAACGAGCGTTTCCGCCGTATCCAGCGGGGCAGCGCATACAAGCCACGCGGATTAACTCGTCAATTCCTTGAGAGCGACAGCGACTCGGAATGAACTGATACCGTTACTAAGTTGGTAACCAGATATGTTCCTCATAACGTGCACATATACTACCTCCACGCTAGAAATCATATATCTTAAGAACGTTTGTAATTGGCCACAGGTACGGTGTGGCATTATACAGACCGGGCTGATCATCGACCCCGTGGTACAGTCATTGATATCAGAACACCTATTAGGTGACATTAAGCATCGATGTGCCCACTTCTTTCATTGTTCCTAACTTCGGGGTCAGATATGAGTACCGCTCCTGCAGGCTTAGGGTTGATGCTTAGATATCGCCTCTGCCGGCGGATCCTATTTTCTTCCTCACGTTTACGAAATATCGCTTGCTACACAGTTTTGATAGTCAAGTGATCATATAACTCACATGTTCGTTACCGATGTCACAAGCACGGATGCGCGTGTCGGTTGCGATGGTCCTTGCAAGCTTGTCTTGGCTGTCCTCTGCTGACTTGATAAGCCCAAATGAAAGCGATAGTATAGCTATGCCGGTTACAACAGTGATGAAGTATGTCTGTCCTGCTGTTCGGTTTGGAAAGAAGAGAAATTGAGGTGGTTTCTGCGTTGCCTTAGCGTTGGCAGCACGCCGAGTCCACTTCTGCCAGTCCTCCATGCTAGGCCGGTAGCCGGCAATAGCCCTCTTACTCACCGTCCTATGTTATACAATGGTGCCCGTTACAAAGTTTCGAGTATCCACTGCCGCGATGGCGGTAACGAAGGTTGTGCGTGTGTCTACGCCAAGGCCATGTAGTAAATGTCACGGATACTAGGCGCCAATCCGATTAAAGTATTGCCCGCAGCTCCGAATAAAGTCTTAGTATATGCTACTTTAATTTCAAGCGTATTATATATTATATGCTTAATGACATCTCTCATGTGTAAGGGTACCACTCGCGGCGCTTCGCAATAACCAAGCGTCCTTGCCGTACTATCTGATTAGACTGTCTTAATGTATATCGACTCCAAAAGTCGTTAAAATGGCTAATTCCAGTGTACGAGTCTGTAAAAGTCTGTTTTCAGGAAGTCACATTGCCCTGGAACATCACTGGAACAATCACCTTGATACAATGTTAATATGCACTTTACAGATTGACGATGTAGGTGATAAACCCGTCCTCGAGTTCAAAAATTTAGGTGATACACCTGTACAATTAGATATATTAAGCTACATTAGTTAAAGTTACTTGGGGCTCCACATTCCTAAACGTGTAGCAAATAACAGTCGTAAAAACTTTTGTTCGATATTGCGATCACGACGCATCTGTAATTTGATAAGTTGATCAAACAACACTATCACTAGTGCTAGCCCGGTACCAATTAACAAGACCTTCAGTGGGAAGAACATCTGTAATTCAATCGTTGATATCTCCCATAGGTAGATACGCAGTGTAGCAACGAGTAGATGCATCACCAGCACGGTGAACGACATCAACAACCACTTGGTATTACACCAGGACCCAGTACCTCCATCACCATATTTATCGATCCATGAAGTTGACGCAGTGAGCATATACAGCACCAGAAGTACCGAAGCACATATTTGTGCCAGTTGACGTGGTGTATCTGGCTGCAACACTATCCCTGTATCTTTCAGTTCAATCTGGTGTTCAGAAATAGCATCACGCAGCTTAGTCAGACATGACCGCAGCGGGATGTGTAATGGCAATTCGCATGAACCCAAGTTGAGATCTAGACCTTTGGTAAGCAACAACTCACGAACAGAACGGCTGACGAAAATCAAAGAGAGACAGTAGCTTGCCGCTGTCAGTGTTGTGACTAGGCATAGCCTCGGGTATGTGCGGAGCATGCTCTTGGTTTTCATTCTCAGTTCTTCCCTTCGTATTTTATTTGGGAGCATCTGCATGATGTTCTCGTCTGCAGGGTTAGATAGCAATGACACAGCGATCATAGGTACGTAGACAAATAATGTGATGGCAAAATCCATTGGACGAATGAACTCAGATAGACCTACACATGATTGCAAAAACAGTAGCCAAGCCAGAGAATGACATGCCAATTTAAGAAATGCTGCCGCCTCTTGGATGTTTGTAGATACATGCCTTGCAACACGAAACACCTCATAAAGCATCTCCATGACAAAATATGGATCTGCCACTTTATACATGGATGATGTCTGAAGGTCACAAGGGAGACTAGTGAGTGCCGCAGAAAGTTTCATCTCCGGTAAAGCCTCATCAAATATATGTGCACGAGCTACACCGCTCCAACGTTTACCTCTACAGAAACGACACACTGGATGGTAGCCTTGGGCAACAGATACCGAGCTGTGCGCTTCACGGAATACATAAAAATTCGATGGGCGTAAACCCCCGCCGATACACATGATAGTTTCTCCATTGTTCCTCAATATACGTAACATCTCGGCAGTGTTTCCGGTTTTGCAATTGGCAAATAACGACACTTGAAGTGGAATGTCATCAACTTCTTCAATATGACGCTTAATATTCTCTATACCACTTGGCAATACCACGTTGCCCTCCTGGTTGATATAAGTTGACCTTTCCGAATTATCTAAACTTATCATCGAGTTCCAACTTGTTTCCAGGCCCAGATGAGCACCAACCACACGAGTTTGTCGTTCGTCATGTTTGCTGAAGTATACAAAACGTACGCCAGCCTCATGAAATGACTGGATACGACTTGGGACCTCTTTTGGATACAGCCGTTTACTTGCCGACATTCCAAGTAATATAGTGTTTTTCAAACAAGCACTCACCATATCACCAACACACCCTTTGATTATACGTTTTTTGGTAATCCTAGATACACTATACCATGGTTCACTGACAAGGCCGTTATGGTCGTGTTTCTTCAACTGCTTGAACCAGCTGTATATACATTCCCCTCCAAATTGCATACTGATGGGAGTAGCACTTTCAAGATACATATATCTTCGTTTACGGCGACCTTCGTATTTGCCGGCCTTCACATTAAACACCGTAGTGGCGTCAAGGTGTGCCATCAACATGTTGAATTCATCAAGATGTATAGGCTTATATGCATATGCGAAGGAGCGCATACCTGAAGAAACCCATTGCATATTAAGTTCTTTCAATTTCCGCTTCATTAATCGGCTTACTCCTAATATTTTACCTTGCTGATGGTTATGGTAATTTAGGTTACGTTCCAGTAGCATCTCAAGTTTGCCCTTGGCGAATAATTGTACAATCTGTTTCCTAGGGTCACGCATAAAGAATAGTAAGAGTTTGCCATCAGGCTCGTGAGCTTCATCTATAAGTACTACAAAACGCAGTAGTCGGAACCTTCTACTAAAAGAGCGTTTTAGTCCAACAGACCCCGTGAATGTGCAGAGACAATCGGTAAAATCTTGAAAATCTCCATTCGCAAAAATCCCTACATATGTATAAATGAGCTCAGGTGGTAGCTTGAATAGTGAAGGCGGCTGGTATCTTGGGAACTGTGTAACGGACATTGCAAATGACAGTGGCAACAGTTGAGGTCGACACGCACGTTCATCTTCATTATTGAATCTAACATATTGTTTCCCAAATTGTGAGGAATCGGAATATATGTCCAATATAACCAGGTGCTCATTGCCCGTAGTGGATATACCACATTGTGATGGTTCCCGGAAAAACTCATCTCCGGTTTCATTAAAATCCAACGATTCTTCATATGTTAACATAGGTTTGGTTCTTTGAGCTTCAAAGGTTCTTTGCGTTTCTATTGTCCTCTGTGTTTCAAATGTCCGCAGTGCCTCAAACGTCCTTTGTGGTTCAAATTTCTCTTCAATGTCTGTGGATAAGTCACATTCTGACCTTGGAGGGACACCACTGTCAACATAATTCCCCTTGATGATGGCAATCTCCTGAAGAGTAGCACAACCTTCAGTGAGCAGCCCGACGTCATCCACAAAACAGAGCAGCGTGACGGATGACAGGACATTTAAGAGACTACCTGCACTATCTAGACCACGTTTCATGACTTTGTGAAGTTCTTTCAAGTGATTTACTAACGGTATCTTGTTAGCATCCATATCACTGTCTACGGATCCCGCTTTCGAATATCCGTTAAGTGACGATGAGCTTGAGCTGGAGAGTTGTGGACAGATGTCCACTGTAAGCCTCTTCTCATTGTACCAATTGAATAGACTCTGTAGCTTGACGTTTCCCCAAATATCCGCCAGTTGTACCAGGGGCTCGAACCCCGGGAAGGCAAAACAGACAAATAGGGTCGATGTCACGAATAATGTATTTCTCCACGCACCAGATTCGTTGGTGAGTACATGTGCCAGTGCCACAAAAACACTGAGTAGAATATATACCAGAAACTCGATGGTTGTTATATGTGTACGAGAGAAATAGGTACTGTCACTGAGATCCCATACCGAGTTCTTGTATGTTTCTCCGTTTCCATGTATCGGAGGCTCGAAAATATTGCGTTCACCACTGAGGTTGATAAATGGGTTGCCATATCTCTTGCAATCTAGAAATGCCTGTAGTTGTGGGACCATAGCATCACTTTGTGCAACAAACGACCCGTCTATAAACTCTACATTGGGCTTTGGTTCACCAATATAGGTACATACATCTCCAAATTTGAGCAACTGCCCGCCTAACTTCAAATTCCCATCCGAATCACAACTAACGATAAGCCGACAGTCACATGGGAATATCTCTCCTTTTTTCAGTTTGAATACATCTCCCAAAACCAATACATTTGAGGGTAACCTCTTCCACTCTCTGTTTCGGTAGACTGGTATTAGTACCGAGTTTGCAGGATCGAATGCAAACCTTTTTTGTTCCAGTTCTGCGTGCAATGACGCCACAATATCATTGCTGAAAGAGTTTAGGACATCCTTCACCCGTTCTGCAACCCTTGCGTTCCTTATACGTTTGGTTGTTATTTTGACAAACGCATTGAGGGTGAGCCACGCGAGGAGGAAAACGAGGTAAACGAAACACGTGGTTCTACCGTGATTTTTTTCGGCGAGGAGCACCGTGAAGATCCCGATAAATGCGATCGTGCCGAAACACAAGTCTTTTGTGAGGAGCGGCTCAAGGTACGAACGACCGGTCGCGTGTTCCTCATGTTTTTGCAGTGATTCCTGAACATAACATTACATTCTCGAACAAATATTGGCGGCGGTGTTTCAGTTTCGACATCTCTACGCCTTTTAGTATCACACATGCAAAACACGTGACACGAGAGCATAGAACAAAGATCGAGCAGAGCGTCAAACATAGTGGCATTTAATAATGGGTATTAGCAGTTAACCAATCGTTGTTATTCCCCAGCTTTTGATGGACTGTGTTGTCTATATTGTATATTTTTTGACCATTTACTTAGCGAGGTGATCTATGGTCCCTCGCTAGTTATTATACAATTGCAACATTTATCGTTGGTACTTTAACCCAGTGCATAATAACCATTTTGCCGCCATAATGGAACCATTATGCTCCACTTGACACTGTTACATACCACTGTGTGTACAATATGCATCTACATACCGTTATTAATGTAATGATACGTTGGTTGACGTCCTCCGTAGAGAGCCCTATTGTAGGATGGAAGGAATGATCCATACGTGGTGATGACGCATCTCCCTCGGCATTAGCTCCATCTTGCGTTGTCTTCCCAGAGTTCACAGCCTCTTGGTCAACTATTGACACCGATACTTGATGTGTGCCACTAGAGGTGGCGTCGGCGTCCTTGGCCATTATGCCAATATAATAGTCTAATTACATAACATATTTATGTTAATTTTCCTTAATTGCGATACAGTGTGTCGCAGCGTGATGAGCCAAGAACCCCTCCAACCGCGCGGGCATGACGGCTGACGTTAGTTATATTGTTCCTTACGGAGCAAAATTTTCTCACAGCAATGTCGGGGTATGACCGTTTCAATATACACGCTCAATTAGAGCACTTGCAGAGCAAGTACCAGGGCACTGGTCATGTTAACAACACTAAGTGGTATGTCGTCTCAAGCTATGGAATCTCATGTTATACAGGGAATGGACTCTCAATATACAACGTGACACTCTTGCATCTCACGCAGGGCATTATACACGTCTGGCTTACTTTGCTATATGTGAAAATGAATCGGTTGCGCGTATCCGTCACCGCTGCCTACAGGTATGCTCATGTTACTATAGTTACAAACTCTACAGAATATGGTAAAACCAGTGACGAACATCAAGAACCAACAGAAGCTGTAAAATCAGGTTCCCAACTATGTACCAGCTTGCGCTCGGCATCAAACTGTGCCAACACCACGGCTCAACAACCATTGTTAAATTTGGTGTCACTACGTTGCATAGTTGATTCATCGCACAGCGAACATTGTATTAATACTACTTTAATTCGACAACAATTCAAGCCTTTTGGCGTACAGTTTCACGGTGAATGAATATATGGCTGAAGTATTCCCCAACCGGTAATTGCGATACCTCTGGTACCGCAATTATTAACGTCATTTATGACTTATTCAGTATTGAACGGACAGCTTCAGTGGCCTTAGCTGCAGATTTAAACTGTAATAGATTGCCCTTGTGCATGACAGCGTAGCTGCTACCGCTGGCATCCACCGTAACCTCGCAGCCGTGCAGCAGACCAGTGACCTTAGTATCAGAGGGCGACAGAGGTTCCGTGGCAAAACCGCATATGTCCGCAAATTGTATCATAAAGTTCAGATAAAAGACGAGCATCTTGCGTGCATTGGCGTATTCACTGTAACTCTTTGTCAGCAGCACAACACCTAAAGGCGCAGATCCAAATGTCACCAGTAGTTTTTTAGCTGCGATTTCTTCATTATGTGTTACCACTGTTAGGTATACGTTGATATCTTCGCCCTTAATCTCCTTGTTAAGGTCGATTGCATATCCAGTCGCTCCGTGCACAGCACCAGGCTTCTCTTCCATGTATATCCAGAAATCACATACTGTCTCTCTTAGCTGGACATTTAATATCACAGCAGGCGATGTTATCACATCCGAATCGGTATTGTTGCTGGAACACTGTGTGCATGGATCTTTGCGCCACGCTTCGCGCAATGATTCCCGTGGAATGGTATCCGCTGGCAAGAGTCCTAGGCTTCGACCAAATTCAAGCAACGCCTCACGTACACGGACAAGACGCGTGAGCAGAGAAGATTCAGCAAGACTGAATGATACGGGGAGACCCATCAGGTTAAGACTACCTGTTGCGTAGTTCATGAAGAAGTTACCCGTAGCGTTTATACGGTCTAGCTGATATCGTTCCAGGCGTCCAGCTACTCGATGTAACCATTGATCAAGCTTATGTTCCACAATTAGTGTTTCATTAAGCAAATCTTGTAACTCAACCACTTCAACGTTAATGTCACCACGACCATCCATCTGAAACTTTAGTGTAAGTCCCTCTACGTCTCCCTCTCTGAACCCTGGGAAAGCGTATACCTCGAGTACCAAATACTCGTCATCGTTTAAAACCACATCTGAGCATGATAATAAAGTCCGATCAGGTTCTGAAGATACAAAAAAACGATAGTCAGTCACTGATAGTTTCAGTGTCCTGTAGTCTGCTGCTTGACCCCTGAGTCGTTCCATGATGACTTTCCCAGAGTAGAGATTTGCGCAGTCGAAAACAACATCGAATATATTACCCTGCTTTACTGTGTTGTAGATTGCAACGGTATACATGATGAGTGTCAAAAATGAGGACCTCGACTCCCCTTCTGAGCTGTGTCCAAGCTTTTCTAGCAACAGAGGTACAGCAGCAAGTGCTTGCCAAGAAGCGAAATCATAGATCATAGTGATACGAAATAGGTCCTTATGTGAGAGTACGCACTGTCCATTTTTGCACTCCATCGTAACATCCCTACGGCTGCATTCTGCTTTCCTAAATCGACATCGATATTCACTATATATCCGTTCTATTGTCAAATCAGCTTCATCAGGATCTAACGGTGGCATCGGTATCGAGTTTACGGTTGCCGCATGTGCCAGTTGCGGCAGCATAGTCGGCATCCGTGTATAACGACCGCTGGAGAGTAGGTCAACTGCCAGTGCTGTATTGGGGCATGCTACCAAAAGATCGGAAGCCTGCACTTTCCTCATGTTCATTGCAATGTCTCGGCCACATTTCTCGAGATAGTTATCAAATAAATGCATACCTTCCAAAACCCGGTCAAGCTTACTCTGTTCACGTGAGAATTCGTGTAAAAGATATAGTTTGAGGAATATTTCACGCTGTGCGCGTGCAAACTGTATAATTCCAGTTCTCGCATGATCGTCTACGTACGATTCATCATTAACTTGCCTGTAACAGAAACAACGCCAGTCTACTACGCAACGTTGAACGCACCGTGCCAGAAGGTCCATGAACGACACTGTTTGAAAGTCGTCCATGGTAGCGTATTATTAGGCCTGAAAATTCGGCCTCTGACCATTCTAATTCGACCAAATATGCCATTAATTTGCCCGATAAGGTGTGTAACCTTACACCTAAGTTGACCTTCCAGAAAACATTCTACGACAAATAAACACCCTTTGTGCCTGAAATGAACTCAATTGCTCGGTTGAGTGGTGGCATGTTTAGACGACAGGTGTATAGACATTTTTCGGTAACAGTAGATACAGGTCCACATACAGATATAAGTGTGACAAAAAAAGCGATAGGCGACTCCAGTGACCCTGCTGAGAGCGATATACATGACAATACTACAGCGTCGCCATTAGCAGCACGCCCAAAGCTAGTCCATCACGTTTTCCGTTGGGGAGTTGGTAACGCTTTTCGAGCGCAATCGAAGAATAGGTACCCGGGATACCTAGTAATTATATTTTGTGTAGGTACAGACCCACCCACGCTGAAAGGAATACTGCAGTATCTTTGCGTGAGGGGTACTTCGACTGTGATCGCCAATTTGAACGTTGCAAAGTCACGTATGACAAACTTAATGAACAGTGGGAAGTGCTCTGGAAAGAGTTTGGGAAGATAAACGGAAAGCCTTTTCCTGTAAAGAAGTTTGGTATCGAGGCATCGAAGGCTGAAAGTATCTCTTTTGCTGAACAGCTTGATGTAGGTCAATTGAAGTGGATATTAATATTCGCAGAAACGGCTCCAGGAACAATACAAAGGCGAAGAGGAACCCACAAAAGGTGAGTAACCTTCTTTCTGTTTTATATTTTATTGTAGAACCGGGGTTAACATTTGATCACACCTTGCATTGCTGGGTTGCACTCGGCAGAGTTGGCCGGAGACCGGTAGCACGAGCATATTCTGCCGACTTCCACGGTTATGAATCTGCACGCAAGCGTGCAACGGACTTCAGAAATACACGATCGCTGCAGTGCACCTAATTAGAAATCTACTATCCAACTAGTTCAAACGGGAGCCTATTTGGAGTGTAATAATGTCGGTGCTACGATACGCCGTCCGAGGGCGAGTGCAATACTATCCAGGTATGTTGACTCACGTTTGAATGCGTCATAAGTGATGCAGTTCGCACAAAGGCATGGAAGGGTAATTTAACGAAGCGCACTGTAGTGTACAATCGTTTTTAGATTTGATGTACAAGCGCATGAAACTTGGCGCTTGGCCTCCTGAAGGAGCATCTCCGCTGCATCCGGTAATACCACTGAAATCGAAGTTAAAAGAACACAGATAGAACCTTGGGGGAAGCAGTTTTTTGTATTCAACACTACACAAGGAGGGCAGGTAGGATGAAATATCAACTGATTAACTTCTCATAGCCGGAGACACTACTTTGCGTCACCAATCACGAAAGGAAACCTCTGATGTACCTTCGGCGTGAGGATTTCGAAGCATTGGTATGTGTGAAATTTACCTCTCGAATATTATGTTTTTTCATGGATATATGGGTCCCTCATAACTTTGCAGTGTAGCGCAATGGACAGTATCAAAGAGGCCCTCGAGAAGTTCGAAAATGATGAACAGGTACGTCAGCTCGAAGCTAACTGGCGAAATTTACAGGAGCCGGATTTGCGTTATGAAATGCGGAGACTTGAAGTACTGGAAGATAATTATGCGATGCAGCGCATGAAAACAGGACGGCATAGCTCTCACACTATAATGCGAGCACGTCTTCGGAACAAAAAATAAAATTATAATACGTTAGTTCGATTTCACCTGCTGTTTCCAACGCATAGCAGCCTGTAAAATCTTACTCTTTTGTAACCCGTCCTCTGGGAATACGTACACTATATCTTCAGTTGTAGATCCGTCAGCCATCTTGCGCTTGCGTCGTACCTTCTTAGGCTGTCTATCGCGCGCCTTGGCAACAGATTCTTCATCGCCATATGTACGTTCCATTTTGAGCAGATGTGCTAGCATAGTCGCTCGTTCAACTTGGTAGTTTGACGCCTTGTAGTATTCTAGACCTCTTTCTACAACAGCTCGACCGAGTTCTGCGTATCCTGCAGCAAATTCAAACTCCGAGTACCCCTTGAAAACCTTGATATGTGTAGTTTTCAATAACAGGCGTTCATATATATTACGTACATAAGGATACTGTTGCCAACCCTTCTCGATATCTATGTATCGATTCCATATTTTTTCTGGCATGTCCATCTGATCCATTGAGATAGCTGCCTCACAGAGGGCACGTACACGCTCAAGTTCATCAAGCATGAGCTCGAGTTCAATGAACGCCAACCAACTCTCCGGTTTGAATGGCCACGTCTCTATATACTTGGCATGTATATGCCTACACCTATCCAGGTTCGCAAGTTTGAGCTCTATCCGTGCATATGTTTCGAAAAGTTTGGGTTTGCGGCACTGTCCAAGACCCAAACCAAATGTTTTCCTCATTCCATCAAGGTCCTCTCTTCGGAGATACAACTCTGCTAGAAGAATGTAGAACTTCGCAAATTCCTTAGGCAGGACCTGGAGTGCCTTTTTATAAACAGCTACAGCTCTATCAGACTGGCCAAGTGTAAGTTCTGAGAATACGGCATAGCCTATCCAGAGGTATGAATAACGCCGCCATAATCGCCGATCATCAGCTTGTGGTAAGTTCGATATAGCTCTTTCGTATAGTTCGCAAACGCGTGCGCGCTGGGCCTCAGAATGACTATTATCGGGGCCAGCGGTATCATTGCCACCTGTTATTATTTGTTCTTCCATACGTATGTAGTCGAACCATACATCGTAGTTGCATGGCCCATCCAGAAGCTGTTCTTCATATTCGTTACGTTTCTTTGTAACCACCAAATTGTCAATAGTGTCTTTGTCCCGGTGTTGTTTTTGGAACGAGACATAGGTCCTATATAGTAGTTCCGCGTTGTCACGTGATAGCAGTGCAAGACCCTGCTCGTAGACCTTCTCCGCTCCTGTGATATTCCCCTGTGATGTTTCGAATGCGGCAAACTTCAAGAAAAACTCTTCAGTCAAAAGTTCTGGCGGTATCAATTCAAGACATTTAACGAAGGCGGCCCGTGCTAGGGGATAGTTTTTTTGCCTTTGTTCGAACTTTGCAAATTTCAAAAACGATGCGCAAGAAGGACGACTCTCTAGAAAACGTTCGAATACCTGTCTACATCGGTCAATTTCTCCACAGCGCTCTTCGAACTTAATGTACAACATCCAACTTCTGTCGTCAGGGTTCCATTCCATCCACCGTTCGAATACAGTTCTTGCGCCTGCATAGTTACCAAGTAATTCCTCAAAGTGTGCGTACTTGAACCAGAACTGATCAACACGTGGTAGGAGGCAAACTACACGGTCAAAAAGATTGCGTGCTGCATTAACATTCTTATTTTTCATCTCAGTTTCTATATATCGCAACCACAAGTTGGCATTATTTGGATCCACCTGTAGAGCACGTTCAAATACCGAGCGTGCTCTACGAAAGTCCTGTTGATTAGCTTCCCAAAGTGCATATTTTATCCATGTACCTATATGATGACGTTGTCTCCTTAGCTTATCCTCAAATTCCTTGCGACGTTGTGCTCTGCATAGCTGTTGCAATCCAATATGTAACACTTACTTGTAATATACGAGCTCATCTTGATCTACAAAGGTACGATTAGGAGTCCTGGTTTCACGACTCTGCCATTCTACAGCGTCACGCAAGATTTGCTCCGCGGTGATCTGTACCGCCGCGGGCATCTTGTTTTTGACCTACACAACAATGAGATTGTGTTTATACGGAGTACGTCGACAGGAATCCTGCCGGCAACGACACCTACCTGTAGTTTGGCTGGGTCAAACGGCGCCATCTTGGTAAATGTTATTTCAATACAGCCTTTTATATTGGAACAATTGTCCAGTAAGGACTTATAAGCTCTGGTATACGATAGAAGGCGGTAGAACGGCCGCACAAAAGGTTGGCGCGCCTAAGCCACACCAGATAACCGACATAGCCAATTTATATCATGTAATCAGTAGCCACCAAATGTGTTGTATATATATATTAAAGTTATAATGGAACATACAGTATTGTCTGGGGTATTTAGCAGATAGAATGTAACGTACTATTACTCCGTAATATGTACATAGCCTCGCAGCTTAATTATCTGTTTTTTTATTAAATTGGATTTTCTACACACGTTGAAAATTGTATCAGAGTATCGTGATATTCTGTAGTGTAAAGCGTCACGATTCTCCAGATACGCGTGTAGCTACTTGAGAATACGTATCGATCTTGAATGTTTTATTTCAACGTCTTTAGGTTGAAGCATAACAAAAAATTCGCCATCCACTTGGAAGTAAACCTTTTCACTCGGGTGAAGCTCTTTAAAAACAATTTTCCACGGTCCAGAGCTTGCGTGTACTCGGCGAGCTAATGATGCACCGCAGAAATCCGCAGCTATATGATAAACACGACGATAAGCAACGAATTCCAGACGATGGTCACCCATTTTCTGTGAAAATTTAGTCAGCTCCTTAAGTTCGGCATCAGGCATGTTCTCCAAGCCGATACGTGTCGATTTTGAGAAAGCATCAATTCCAGAAGAGTAGCTAGGTATATTAAGCGCTATAAGCGCACTGCAACGCGGTAAAACGGGAGACTCCGAGTTCCCGCCTTCCGTGGTAAATACCGTGTTGCTAAAAGATTCTCCAGATAACATCTTGTCTATTTGCTTTTCTACCCGTACACTACGTCGAAAAGTGTTCTTAACCCCTTGTATCATGTAAATAAACTTATTCACGAAACCAGAATTAGAACGCATACGGTCGAAACCACGACCGATCCTAGCGTCCACACCTATACTGAAATAATTGCCCATCATAAATTCCATCTTTAGTATATCTGTGCCCTGAGCATCTAGAACAGTCTCCTTTTTGCGTGTCACTTGGTTAATTTTGTTAAATGATCCTTCAGGTTCTACTGTCAAAACGACATGCCAGAAGTCGTGGTATACCTCAGTGGCGTTGAAGAGACGCTCAATGACCCGGCGTAAACTGCAGAAATGTATAATATTACGTATATTACTCACGCTCCCATATTGTTATCAAATGGCACTAGCCCATTAAAATCATTCCAGTGGATGGACCTTGCAAAGTCATTGCCTGTACCGTAAGGTACGATTGCAAATGAAATTTCATTGCAATCGATACCATGGGCGTCCATCTCCCCTACGAGCCACATCACACTGCCATCACCTCCGCAAATGACGACCTTGAATTCTAAGAAGGTGTAATAACATTTTTGATACAACTCACTGTCATTCTCGGCCTTCTCGTTCATGAGGTTCTTCAGGTGTTGGAGCCCGGGCTTCTGTCCACTAGGGCCATCGGTGATTGAGTAGATACGTACTACATGCGGTACTGGTTTTGTAAAGTGGAGTTCATCGACATTTGGCTGCAGCGTCGTGTGCATTGTTTCAAAGTGCGCAGACATGACGTACCTCGAAGAAAGTAGCGGCCTTCTTACCCCCGCTATGCGGGTTTACAAAAAAATATACGTACTCCATCGCTACATTTTACATAGTAAATGCTCACAGCGAAACTCAGTGGGTCCATGCGGGAGCCGCATTAACAGAATCAGTGGTGCCACTGTTATGGAACATCGCGAGTAACTATTAGACACTAACGTCACATGGTGATTGAGCTCAATAGTGGACGACCACTATTAGTCGCGACACTTCCCGCGGGTGTTGCGGTTGACCAGCCTACGGATTCACACGTACTGCGCGTCACCAAAAATCCACTATCACCCATTCTATGCCAGCTAGACATTGGATCCATTTTCCTAGCATCAAATTTTAAGTCATACTGAAGGGTACTCACCAAATAGAAAGCAATGCGCCGCTGCAACCAAAACTCATTAGCGCTAGTAGGAAGAAGAGGTAGATTCGGTACCGGAACCAAATCAAAGCTTCTATAGCGCAAAGTGCCGCTGTACTGCCGCATAAACTACACATAAACAGGGTAGTTCGTGTCTGAGGAGGTGTGACAACACTATTCTGGTACTTACCTTTGGCGCTTTGATACGGTAGTAGTATAAGAACAATGTAGCTGCTATAAGCAATATTGAACCCAGACGCATCGACCAGTACGTCATCTCGGTGCTCTCGTATTGACTGAAAAACGCAGTGGCGAGTGCGTGTGGAGACCCTCCACCTTCTCCAATCAGTACCACATTATCCTCCTGAGGCGGTATGACCAAGAAAAGGTAGATTGTCAATATATACACATGTAGCTAACATACCAATAGCGGGAATGGTTCCAATAATGTGTCCTTAGGGAACAACGTAGATTTCTGTCTACCTATGGCGCTGAATCGTACGCTTTCGTTGCCCCAAAAGGTGATGCGCAGGTCACCGATCTGCAGAGGGTTAGGAAGCAAAACTATTACATACCTTGGGGTTCAATGGGTCTCCGGTATATAAAGCATTCTCGTACACTTGTGTATTTATATGGTTAACGGTGGGTACCGGAAGTGGGTACGTGAGCTCCGATGGTTGGTACCAACGGTCGTCAATCAATGGTAACTGTTTGAGTCCATCAACAGCAACGAATGCTCCTGGCGGGACGGAATAACCGCCTATCATCATAGTAGGTGCGAATTTGCGACCAGCTCCAGGTACATGTGGGAAGTATCCAGGATTACGTTGAGGTGCAAACATAGCATTAATAAAACTGCGATCCACAACTGCATGGTCAACGAATTTACCCATCTTGTTCAGTCCTAAAAATCCCATCATATTTACCCATTGATACATTTCCACTCGTGTTTCGAAAAAGGCGCCGCTGTACGAGTAGATGTTACTAGAAAACTCTTTGGGAGTATAGAAGGTATACTGAGTATCCATTTGGCAGTCCTGCCGAGCGATTAAGGGCTAGTTGAAGAAACTTACGATGTACACAAGCCGGTTTTCGAACTCATCGGAAGGCGTGCATGGTGCCTAAGCAACATCAGTGTATGATCTTGTGATCCTACCGTGACAACTTCATCCAGCAGCGGTAACACCTGCCTTCTGTTACGACAAAGCAATACATCGTTCCATACGGTAAACCCGAGCACCAGCACGGACGCCAACAGCAAAGTGACGACCAGCATGGTGTGCCCGGGCTAGCTGAGGTGTGTAACCAGAGCGAATTTGCACATGTAACTAGGGGCACAAAGGGTGTCAGATTCACATGATCCACGCACCAGATTCACAAAGACACATCTTTAGCCATAGTGGATCTCTTGAACCTCCATCGCACTATACCCGCTATATAGACAATCCTTCGCCAACATATGTTGTGTGTATGAATTCTATTATTAAATAATGTCGAAGTTCATAACGAACGCTGAAGTCAACGATTAAGGCAGGTCGCTTGTCGGTCTGCAGTTCCGAGAGGAGCGCGGACACGACGCCGACAAGCATTAACAGCCTACAGGCACGGGCATCTGGAATAACTACACCTCCAAATTACAACGAGGTAGATACTATCGAGGAGTTATCACTATGATGTGTGAACGCTGTGATCAATGTAGCGACTCCTCTTGGAACAGCTGCTATTCTCCACAAATGTCAGACGGAACAAGGTATATCCCGCTGACGGCGGATTATATGTATCTACATGAGAATGGAGACATGTGTTGTTGTGACTCACAGCGTAGTGACTATTCGATCGAATATGAAGAAACAGACAGATCCTGTACCTGTGACAACTCAAATATAGTCATACGTGACATTAAGGGTCACGAAGCACGTTGCTGCTGTGATTGCCATGATGAAACACGTGATTCCAGAATCTCTGATACATATCTACATAGACGCGCTGAGACCGCCAACCCTCAACGGTCTCAAAAAGGCGCCAACGAAAACCGTCAGTACGACAAAGTTAACTCTACACCATCTCATGCACAAACAGAGCATAAGAGAACCCCGGTTACCCCTGTAGCCACGAAAAAAGTGGCACCAGCACGGCCAGACGTGCTACAAACACGACCTCTCACTCGAAATACCGGGAATAATGGAGAATCTCAACAAAATAGAGCTCTTAGATTCTGTGGTAGGACTTTAGGAAGGACGCGAAGTCCACGTTACCGCAATATAGTTTTACCAATTCCGCCAACTAACGGTGATATTGAGGTTATCGCGAAAAGGTTGATACCTCAAGAACCACCGGCACCAAAACCACAAGAGACGCGGGCATCCAAGCTTAAGTTCGCTGTAGAGAGGTGTCCAACACCTGCACGGCGACCCCGCGGAGGGGAGACGCCGAAAGCAAAAGCGCCCCGCGACGCGACACCTCGTTGGAAACGTAACGGGACGGCATTAATACGTCTGTAGCCAATATTTGGCTGATAGACACGAATATCATCGTGTCACAAACTTAACTTAACGCAGATACCTAATAATATATAGTTAAAATGCCTGATATATGGCTGACGTTGGCGGCCGGACTTGCGATCGCTCTGATGTATGTAACACATCTATCTCGTAGCTTGGATACAGCACCCTATAAAGTATGTATAAGGTTGAACCTTAATGACGATACTTGCAATGCTGCCATTGTGGCACGTCCCCAAAAGGGCGGCTCCTGGTATGTAGTCCTGAGCCCGTTTACCCATATGATTGGCGATGTGGCATTTGGCGACCGGCTGATATCGGGAGACTGTGACTACAAATCCAGGATGGTTTTTCTCGGAGGAAATGAACATGGTTGTAAGGTAGTGAAGGTACGCACTGTGGCAACAGACCTATACGTCACGCTAGAGGAATATGTCGAGGCTCAACCCGATACAAAGGAATACATTAAGTTACAGCGCCAACCCATAGATGTCGATATGAACGCAAAAGAGTTTCCAGATCGTGTATACCCGCTGTACAATGTACACACAAGGGCTACAGACATTGATATACATCCAAAATTTTCAAACGGCCATAGGATAGGTATGGTCACCATAGCCGACCAGGTCGTGCCAGATGTCCCATGTATACATCGGTCAATTCATATTATCGATCGTAAGGATGGCAGGCGTGTAGTATCCGTCGCCACCACTCATAGCAATGAAGTGGTGACGTACAAAAACTTTATTGAGCAGAGCGCTGGTAGAGGAAACTTTGTCCCATACACCGACGAAAACGGGACCGAAGATTTACGCATAGGATCCGTTGCGGACGAGATGTAGCGTATTAAAACTGAATTAAGCTGGTAATATTATCATCTAACCGTAATATAGTCATACAGATTGCATTAATAAGTTACTGAACTAAAAATGAACATTATTGCCCACCTTTGAGATAGGTGCGCAACAGCAGCTATGGGTGGTATCACTAAGCTCTCTGATAGTGGAAACGGACACTTCATAATATACATGGTTTAATAAGCATTAACACGATGTTTGTGTCGTGCGTATAGCGATTTCTAAAGCGCAACGGTACAGCTACATTCATGATTGCGATGTGATAGCCATGACTGAAATTTTCTATAGGCCTCATATGCTCGTAACGTCGAACACCAAATTCAGTGTAGCGATGATGTCGGCAGAAGGGATGCGCTCGTGACTTGATTCATATTTCTCGTGATAATCTCTTGGAGTAGTCAAATAGAGCCAGTCGTGATAGAGCGTTGGAATAGGCTCGGTATATCCCATCGAGCTTCGCATAAACTCAGAGCTGCCGCATCTTACGCAAGGAGAACCCATTGGTGTCAAACAGAAGCAGCCCTTAAGATTACCCAACGGTTTATGGTTAACGGCATTTGTGAAGATACTTGCTTTACGGCTGTTCGTGGGTACACGTGTAGTTCTCCTGTTCATGGAAATGGGCAATTCCCGTTCTTTATATTGGGTATCATCTCCGTTAACTATAACTCCCAACTGGTCATTAAAAATGCTGCGCTTCGCTTTAATCTGTGCTTTCAAGGGCTCTTTGTCACCGACGGTCCCCCGGTGCCCATTTTTATGGATTGCAGAGTCCAATTTCGAGTTAATTTGTTGTATACCATTGGTTACAGTATCGTATACTGTATGTTGCGCGTTTTTGACGTCCTCATCAGTGCCTTTATCAGTTTTTAGACGATAGAGATCCTCTCTGGTTACTACGGTGCATGCCTCTGAGTTCATTGATCTTTCACTGACAATGTGGTTAGAATCACCTCTATCTCCGGCGGATGCTTCCATTTGTTTCTGTAGTTCAACCACATCTACACCGACACAGCGGGCTACATGTGCAACCGAACGGTATCTGGCTTCCCATCGTTCGGCTTCTTTCCATCCTTCGCTTACTTCGGCTTCTAGGTTACGCTTGATCTGTTGGTGAGAGTCTGCCAATTGTTGACAGTGTTCATGTGCTTCCAGCAACTGTTCGTGCAATACTGCTACAGCCTCTAGATAAGTTTCACGCTCTTGCTCCAGATTGAATATTATACCCATCAAAGCTCCTTCAGGAAGCTGTAAAACGTTGTGAGAGTGCGAATATAGAATATATAGCTCACTGTTAAGTCATCTTAAGTATAACAGTGAATCCTTAGCAGGTAGTAATGACACACATCTTTAAAATATATCTTACCTGGCATTTTTCTATGCCTTCAGGTCCTTTGTCGAGACATTCCTCGGCATTACCTACAATGTTGACAGTATTAGACACCTCGGCCGATGCAGGTACAGCCCCGAAGACCGGGCTATGTACCGTGCCGCCGCAACAGCCAGCCAACATAGCTCCTCTAATTTATGATACACAAATAACAAAATTACACTAATGATACAACTCCCAGGTGGGACTCGCACCCTATTGGATGCTATCTACCGCCAATTGAAAGATAAAGGTGTTGACACGCGCTACACACTTATGTGAAATATGTCAATATAACATTCAATTGCAATATGCCCGTTCCTATACACCTAACCATAAACGTAACGCCGGCGGTTGGCGGTCTGTAAATGCTCCCATCGATGCTGCCTAGTGCACCCTTGGCACCGATATCGTACGTATGTTCTTTCGCCGTTCTTAGCCGCAATGTGTACGATGTGTCACGACCGTCCCATCGTTCCTGGCCTATTCTAGTCTTATAAGGCGTGTCTCGAGTGTAGACAGTGAAACCAGTACTATAGAAGGCTGTTCGCTGAACGATGGCACGCAAATGACACATGGCGCAGGCCCAGAGGCCGTAATCCTTGCATAAGCAAACTCATGAGCGTTCCCACTGAATAGTACATGCGGGAACTCCGTGTCTTCAGTTAGGTTGAACCCTCTAGCCTCTGGATGACATCCCAGAGTATCGGGTGCTGTAGGAGCTATACAGCGTGCTGACACAGTCAGTTTCAGTGCATCTACGAGGTTCGGTTATACACTGTTGATATAATGACCCACCTAGTTCAGATAAAGTGCTGTAATCGCAAATGCCTTTGACTGCCTGACCTGAAGTACCCAAAAAACGAACACCATCAACAGAAAAGAAATATGGGTTCGTGGTAGATTGGAAGGTCCCATATCGCTTACTGTGTTCCAGAAAAGATGGGTGAATAGGTTGTTGTGGTAAGTTGCGATTTGAGGGGTCGGCGTCACCTGGCATTAGGTCGACAGCAACTGTCGCTGCGAGTTGTGAAAAGTAGACATCACACTCCGCAAGTGCTGGAACGTCACATTTCCCAATACCATTGCCAGCTATTACCAGACGAACCACCTTACTGCTCAGATCTCCAGCACTGTGAGCCAATTGTTATCATGTAGAAAATCACTAACGGGGTATTGCCGAGTACAAAATCCTTCAGCAGCAGCAACGAGTTGCGGCTGCTGCTGCCACCAGCTATATCCAAACCAGACACTAGAGCGATATACTTAACATCTGTTGCTGGCGGTAAGGTTATAGACGGTGGCGGTCCGGGATGCATGTAGTCCTCGCATTCGAACTCCCCTTGTTCGTTGATGATCCCCTTCACGGCAACCACCTACATGATATGAACAGTGTTACAAACTTTGGCAACGATGCTTCCGCACCCTATGTGATGCCAAATGTACTTCCACTTACCAAGCCCGTAACAAGTTTATGCGGGTCCATAAGTGAGCCGCGCAGCGCCACTCGGATACTATCATCTTCGATGAACAGAGTGTCATCCTCCGAAGTATACTTAGCTGTCAACTTTTGCTGAGCGACGATGTTTCGCAAGGAAAAGGTACCATACCTTTAGCTTAACTTGCTCAGAATACTCCTCTAGAGGTGTTGGACGTAGTTTCATATCCTTGTATATCGTGCCTATAACGACACTGTGCGCCTGCAAATGTTTCATTGAAGACAGAGTAAATACTAACCTTGGCATCCTTGATGTAACGAACGTAGACATAACGCCCAGGAGTACAGTCTTCCGCATTATCCTGCAAAACCACATCTGGCCAACGTTGTCTTATCAGTGGAAAGAAGCACGGTCGAAGTGATTCGAGCTTCTCCGTGCTCAGCGTGAAGTATTGGTTCGCGTAAGGTGCCCCTGTTATACGGAATCGCTGTGATAAACTACCATCATAAACGGAAACAGCACGCTCGAGGACCATATTTTAATACAGTTTGATCGCCGCGATAAACTGATAACTGTTACTAATATGGCAGAGCAACTCGTAGGCTATCATGGACACACTGTGAATGTTCCTAAACTGGCAGATATAGGTCGCAAAAATTAAAATTGTGACTCTCGCGCGTATGCGAGTGCCATAGAAGGCGCGCATATATGGTTACAATTGTTGGTAGTTGGTCACTTCAACAGACGGTGTAATAGCGCGAGTATAATAGCGATGATCAAACACACAATGGTCACATACATCGCCACCTTGGTGTAAAAATCAGACCAGCTCTCCGCACGCAGAAGGCCACGGGTCTCGCGTTGTAAAACACCCGTTTCCTCGGCCTACGCGAGCTCAAAAAAACTATATATACACCTACATATTGGGTTGACCGAATTATAGTTTCACGTTGCGATAATAGCTTGCTCATCACCGTAGTACCGATCTCGTTAGTCTCCTCCAGTGCCCTGCAACCAATGGTATCATAGCAACATTCACCCACTTCCGGGAATCGACCAGGTTAGCAAGGGACTCACCCATGCCCCTAGATTGCTCCAGTAAGCGTGTACGGTCGCCATCTTTATTCAGATCGGCTTCCGCGCCGAGCTTCCAGCTCACCATCCTCAATATGAACTATGTGTGTGCTGAAGTGAGGGTGTGTAGCGATACATGGAACATAGGGTTCCGTAGGTGGAATGTTAGCTTAAAGAGACAGAGCGACTGTTAGCCCCGGGAGGCTGCAAAAATTGCTAACATATCTTTCGAAATGGTAGACGGGAATTGGAGTAGTTTTCAACCAGCAATTATCGCGCATCCGCTAGGCGTCACTTGCAACGATATTGCCCCTTCCGCAAGGATGCGGCTGCCGGCGAACCGCCAGACCGGAGTTGATGAGAACACGCAAAGCGGGTGGGACTATTATAACCCCACCGTACATAGATATCTTATAAATAGATCGCCATAAAATGCCAACATATGTCAACATTTCACTTTCATTGTTAGCTTTATGAATCTGCTGAAACATGTAGAGGTGTGATATAGAACGGGCTTGCCATGAAGGCAGCCGGTCGGTCGTTGTTTTCAAGGCGGAGCAAGGTGTTCGCCTCTCCTAAGTTGGTACGTTATATTACTGGAGTTAGCTATGTCTCCATGTGATCTGTGAAGCATGGTGTAACTTCCAATGTACATATATCCGCAGAAACGCCTTGCGGGGCTTTCCTGTCTAGAACTGAGGAAGGAGATACTAGATTCCGCTAGGAAACACGTACGAACGCGGGCGATATGGAGTCATTACATCCAAGAGGTGTGCAAGAGGATCGTAAAGCGTGATGAAGTCTCGGAGAATGAGGAAAGGGAAAAGTTTACACCTACGGATATCTCTCTTATCCTCGCTGCCTTTGCCACATCACGTAAAAGAGATGCTCACTTATTCAACCTTCTCCTAGAGGTTAGAGTTCTATATACGATAGTTCACGGCGATTAGACGTCCAGGACTGACATTGACAAGTTCAACATCAGAGATTTTGCCGTGCTGTATAATGCCCTTGCCAAAGTTGGCATGCGGGCTGATGACATGATAAATAGCTTCAGTTCTAACATTGAGGCTAAGATTAACGCGAAATCATCTGAAAAGGTATTATCTACCACTATTAATCTTGATATTTATTACAGGATCTTGCTCTGCTCTTGAACGCAATGTTGGAGCTTGCTGTAAGTGACCTTAATGGGATATTCGTCAAAGCATCCCTGGTGATATCCTCCCGTATCAAGTATATCGCAAACTGCCATACGCTAACTCTGTTGTTACATTCGTATTCACGTTTCAAGGGATTTGACCGGATTACGGAACGGCCAAAAGAGACCACGGCACGGAGTGACGAGCAGCTCCAAACTGATATTGATAATGTCTTGGCAACGGTAACAGAACCCTCGCCAGAATCAACATTGATAACGGAAACCACGTTGTCTTTACTTGGTAGATGTGCGGATCTAATGATGGAGATGAGAGCTACCGATGTGATGTATTTTTACAGGGCGTCACTGAACCTCATTTACGCTAACTCTGAGGGTGTTACCCAACACCTTTACGCTTCTATATGCAACCTTCACAAAGCACATATCAGGATCCGGGAGCATCTTCTTGAGTTTGAAGCTCGGGAGCTCATCGCACTGCTTGAGACGTTTCAGAATACGCGCATGGTTGTGGATGGTAATGCTCCGTTGGACTTGGAAGGGGCTCTTTGGGTTACCAATAGTGAAATACTGAACCAAACACCGTCACTCCAGGAAGAAGTTACAAGTGAATTGCTCTACCGAACCACAGTGATGTCATTCTCTGAATGTCTTGCTTTCATCAAATTACTGCCGTTTGACGATCATCGTGGCATCCTTGTATACCGTCGTCTGTTGTACAAGGTCAAAAAAATGAAGGAGCTCAATAGCTGGGAGCGGTGCGAACGGTCAGATCTATGGGACCTTATAATATACCTGACTAAAAGGAGCGATATCGCTACTAGTGTGGAGGCCCAGGAACTTATGGTGGTTTTGACTAAAGGAATAACGGGTACTTTGAAGCTGAAGGAAGTAGATGCTATGTGTCGACTTGCCGCATGTTTGGGTGCTAAGAGCAACTCTTTACTTAAAAAGATAATGTCTGTACCTTGCCGAGTTGACTATCTACAAGCTGGCCAGGCTGCATCGTTACTCTATCACCTCACTGGTCTGGGTTACATTGAACATTTGCAGCCCATAGTGGCCGCCTGCCTTGAAGTTGACAATTCTCGAGATGCTCTTAATGTCCTGGTTTCACTAACAATATTGAAGATAAACCGGCTTATGGATATGCCTGGTCCTTTAGTTGACAAGATGTTACGGGAATTGGATACGTACAAGGGTGATCTGGATAATGACGATGTGACGTTGAATAAGATCGCATTTCTCAGATTAGCTGGAATAGTAGCACTATCTGGATACTCAGAGCCATACCGTATCTATCCAAGGATGTATGCGCCATCCTATCATGTTGAAATTCCAAGTGTTCAGCTCATGTCTAACAATAAGTTGAATGTGGATATTTGTGTGCTCTGTCTCCCGCAGTGTATCGAGGATATTGCAAATTCTCTAAAGGACTTTCTAGCACAGTTTGATAAGAATACGCTTCTCCACTATCAGTACGATGCAGGGGATATGGTGGTCCCTATAGTAATAGAGTTGCCTGGATCGCAGCTGGTGGCGGTGCATGTGTTGCTGAACGACTTTTATTCAGGGAGTCGACAGATGCTACGTATCGATGTATATGCCCAGCTAATGCTGATGAACGAGCGTGGATTTCGTACGGTCTGTTGCCGTGCGGATGAATATGTTAATGGCAACAAGACTCAATTTATCGCAAAACTGGTTGAACGATGTCACGCTTCAGGTACTTCAAACATCGCACAAGAGTCAGAACCACATACGGTGTATGATACACGGTCATATGAACCGACTATTAGCCCGCTACAACCAAAATTAGACAGCTTCTCTAGGCTGAGACAGCTAGTTTCTGATGGCGGGAGAAGACACTAGAATAGCTATCATAATCACCTACTAGCCAGTTATATACTCTCATTGTAATGATGTGTGTGAGATTCCTCTTTCAATAGCCGCCTGATATGCGAGTAAGAAATTACGACTGGACGTACACACCACGGTTAGGAGTAAGAACATGCCGGCACACACCCTTCGAATGGTAACATTGTATTTAAGAATATGATGCACACATTGCGAGTGGTAAAATAGAGATCTGCGTGGTGTTGATGTCGTTCGTCTGCTGAGAGGAGTGCACTTGAGCGTGCCTCTTTAACAACATTAAGGAGCGTAACATTTTGGTCATAGGTGAGCGTTACGCTGCTATACACACGGTAAAGCATGGTATCTCTAAGTGTATAAGGATCGGATAACACATTACCACGATGGCGCCGAAACAGAAGACTATCGAGCAGCGTTACCAGAAGAAATCGCAACTGGAACATATCCTTCTGAGACCAGATACCTATATCGGTAACACAGAGCTCCTTAGCCAACAGATGTGGGTCTACAATACCGAGAGCAAGCGTATGGTGTATGAGTCGGTTACGTTCATACCTGGTTTATACAAAATTTTTGATGAGATACTCGTTAATGCTGCCGACGTACATGCTAGACAACAGTCTGACCCATCTCTAACTAAAATGACATGTATCAAAGTAAAATTTAATAAGGACACTGGAGCTATCACTGTCTTCAATGATGGAGAACCTATACCGATACAGATCCACAAGGAGCACAACGTATACGTTCCTGAAATGATCTTTGGTGAATTATTGACATCCGACAATTACGATGATGAAGATGGTCGTATTACAGGAGGTCGTAATGGATTTGGTGCAAAATTAACTAATATATTCTCAAAGAGTTTTTCTGTTACATGCGGTGATAGCAAAAGACGTAAACAATTTGCCATGAAATGGGAAGAAAATATGAAGAAAATCGCATCACCTGCAAAGGTAGCGCCGTATCATGGCAAAGACTTTGTAAAGATAACATTTATACCAGATTATCAGAGGTTTGGAATAGAGACTATGGATGATGGTACACTGAAGGTATTGATGAAAAGGGTGTATGATGTCGCAGGTACAACGGGTCTGAAAGTATATTGGAATGATGAAAAGCTACCTGTGAGTGATTTTAAGCAGTACACATCGCTATACTTTGAAGATGATGTACCAGTAGTCAAAGTCTATGACAAAGTGCATAGGTGGGAGGTGATGGTATCAGCGACAGACGGGAGCGGTTTCCAACAGGTCTCATTTGTCAACAACATCACTACACTCAAAGGCGGTACCCATGTTCAACACGTCCTCGATCCTCTGGTAGCAGCACTGACCAGCAAGGTCAAGTCTAAGAACAAAGACGGTGTCGAGCTTAAACCTTACCAAATACGCAATTATATATTCCTCTTTGTCAATTGTCAAATTGTCAATCCTACATTCGATTCACAAACAAAAGAGACGCTGACTACTAAACCTGCCAAGTTCGGAAGCAAGTATACCATGAACCCAAAGGCTTTGGCACAGATATTAAAGAGCACGCTTACAGAACGCATTGTATCATTTGCTCAGGGGAGGTTGAATATAGAACTAAAAAAGAAAATGAAGGTTACCAAAGCAGTAAATCGTCTTACTGGGATCCCTAAGTTAGAAGATGCTAACAAGGCAGGTACTCGTCATGCCCGTGAATGTACTCTCATATTGACAGAGGGAGACTCTGCCAAGACCTCATGTTTAGCTGGTCTCTCAGTTGTTGGTCGAGACAATTATGGTGTGTTTCCACTAAAGGGTAAACTGCTTAACGTTAGAGATGCTAGTTATAAGCAGCTGGTTCAAAATGCGGAAATACAGAATATCCTGAAAATCATGGGACTAGATATATCTAAAAAGGATCAGATGACCCCTGATGGTCTTAGATACGGTTCAATAATGATAATGACCGATCAGGATTATGACGGCTCACATATCAAGGGTTTGCTTATTAACCTATTACATTATTTTTGGCCTAAAATAATCCAATATAAAGGTTTTATCAGAGAGTTTGTGACCCCAATCATAAAAGCTACGAAGGGTGATACGGTTATATCGTTTTTTACGATCCAGGATTATGTACAGTGGGTCAATTCGACCAACGTTGCTGGTTGGCGTATCAAGTATTACAAGGGTCTCGGTACGTCTACCGACAAGGAGTTCAAGGAATATTTTGTCAACATCCATCAGCATCTTATAAATTTTGTCTATGAGGATAATGCTGACGATGACAGCATCGATTTGGCTTTTAACAAGAAGAGGGTAGATGATCGTAAAGTATGGATGCAAAGTTATGAACACGGTACAACTGTTGACCATTCTATTAAACAGTTGAGGTATACCGATTTTATTAACAAGGAACTGATCCAATTTTCCATATATGATACAGAACGTAGTATCCCATCAGTGGTTGACGGTTGGAAACCAGGTCAACGTAAAGTATTATTTGGATGTCTCAAACGCAACTTGGTAGGTGAATGTAAGGTCGCACAACTTACAGGTTATGTTGCTGAACATTCGGCTTACCACCACGGCGAGGCTTCGTTACAACAAACAATCATCAATATGGCCCAAAACTTTGTCGGTTCAAACAATATCAACGTTTTAGAACCGTGTGGTCAGTTTGGTAGTCGTAAGGAGGGTGGTAAAGATGCATCTGCCGCACGTTATATTTTTACGAAGCTGAACCCAATTACTAGGCTTATATTTGTGGAGGAAGATGATAATATATTGCAGTACCAAAACGAAGAGGGCCAAACTATTGAGCCGCTGTATTATATCCCTACTATACCCATGGTACTTGTCAACGGTTCTGAGGGTATAGGTACGGGTTTTAGCAGCCAAATACCGAACTACAACCCTTTGGACATTATACGCAACTTAAGGAGCTACCTTAGAAACGCTGAAATGAAACCTATGGTACCTTGGTATTACAAATTTACAGGGCGTATCGAACCCAATGAGAAAGGTGGTTTCGATTGTCTGGGTACGTACCAGTGGTTAGATGATAACGGTATGTTGGAGATTACCGAGTTACCTGTGCGCAAGTGGACCCACGATTACAGGGTATTTTTGGAGAGTCTGGAGCAGGGTGTAAATGGTAAAGAGCCTCTGTTGCTGGGTTTTATAGATAATTCCACACATGAGAGCGTTCATTTCACTGTGAATGTGAACCCTGATTACATAGAGGAGGTTCTTAACGAGGGTGTTGACAAAGTGTTCAAGTTACGTACCAGCATTGCGACGTCTAACATGACCCTCTTCGATAGCCAGAAGAAACTGAAAAAGTATTCCAACGAATTGGAAATTATAAGGGAGTTTGCTGTTGTGCGTTTGGAAACCTATGAGAAGAGGCGTATGTATTTGATCGGTAATTTAAAGCTGATATTGAAACGCATCAGCAACCAGGTGCGTTTTATACACATGGTTGTCAACGAGGAGTTGGTACTGTTTAATAAGAAGAAGGCTGTGTTAGTTGCCGAGCTGCGTGAGCTTAACTTTGACCCGCATTCTGAAATTATGAAGACGAACGAAGGTTATGGTACGGATATTCCAGTTATACCCAATGAACCTATTAGTCCGACCGTTAGTACGAAGAAGCCATCTACATTGGATGCGCAGATATCCGATTACAACTATCTGTTAAACATGCCTTTGTGGTCACTTACGCTAGAACAGGTGCAGAAACTTAACGAAGAGCATTTGCAGAAACAGATGCAACTGCAAACGTTGATCGACACTACCGCTACAGATATGTGGATGGAGGATTTAGACCGACTAGAGAGTGCCATAAATACAACGTATCAGCATCAGGAAACTGTGATCCCTACCCCGTCTAATGCTGCTCTTTTACAGCTGAGTAAGCGTAAACGTAAAGGTGCTCAGGCGTCAAAGACCGGTGCGACTCCCAAGGTATCTCAGAGTCCAATGGTTACTCCAGGTGCGTCATCTAATAGGTCCGCTAAACGTGTAAAGGCCAAGGCTTCAACCGCGGATTCTGGTGAAAGTGATGATAGCATCTCGGTAGTTTCCGACAGTTACACCGATGAAGAAGAGGATAGTACACCAGAATTGTCTTCTCAGAAGCTTGGTCGTCCAACTAAAAGGCAGTTGTCAATTGCTGCAGCCTTTGCAAATGTGTCCAAGGCTGCTGGCCAACCTTTAGAGAATAAACAGCAAAGCGTTAGTGTGACACAATCCGTGTATCCTGTTAGTGAGGATATTAATATGCATGGTGTAACTGAGCTTCCTGTTGGCAACAGTGGTATCGTTTCGGGAACTCAAGGGCAATCCAATGCCACTCCAGAGTCCAGGTCTTTATACCGTGGTGATTGTGATGACTGGTCTATTTTGGACGATATGTCGTTGTCACAAGATGCTCTGGGTGCGGATGATATAGAGCGATTGGTTGAGGCATCTCGGCGTAAAAATCAGGCATCTGCGCAGGGTAAACGGCAAAGCAATTTGGGTACAACACCGCAGCGTACTTCTGCGACACCCAAATCTAGCACTTCATCCGTGCCGAGTAGGGGCCGTAAAACACCACAAAAGCGTGGTCCTAGGAGCAACCGAACCGATGATTCGAGTGACGAAGATGACCTATCGGAAGACTACGTGCCGACGCAATCACGCCGTGCAACAGTGGATAGTACTGGTTCAAGGAGGGGTAAAAACTCTAAATCAGAGAAAGATAGTGTATCACGAGTAGATATCACGACTCCCTCAACTTCTGCAGTGGCTCCGTCATCTACAACTAAGCTTAGTGATGATTCTACTGGTGGAGTGGATCCTGGTTCCGTACAAAAAGGGATCCAGTTAGATTCAGCGAAGCAGGTTGAGTCCGTTGTGAGTAATGAGCCTTTTACGGCGTTAGAAAGGGCTGGACTAAGTAAGTTCAGTGTCGGCCTTGCAGAGCGGTTGCGTAAAATGTCGCAACAGCCTCCACACAGCTAGACATCTAAGTGTCCATACGGAGCATGCTGGGTGCCAAACGTTTAATTGGTTTAACACATTGATTTTTTATAATTTGTTATTGTATATTCATATTGTATTGGGTCTACCGGTGTGTTGTTGTGATCCTTGTATATGTTTGTCCACCCACACATGTGTAAGGCTTGGGTGTAGATCTTGTAGTATCAATTTCTTGGTTATAGGTTACACATAAAATGGAAACTTGGGCGTCTAAACTTGACGCTAGTGGCGATGTGTTGCGTAAACTTACTGGGCAGTTTAAGGCTGCTTTAGGAGAGGTTGGCACACAGCTGCGTCATCACGCAAGTCAAGCATCCCGGGAGATAGGAATTGATTTAGACACTCTGCAACCTCCTTTTTGTCGAGGTTTAAACCAAGTACATTGTTCTTTATTTGCGGCACCTGGTAGTTGCGCCAGTAAGCGCACAAGTGTTACTATTACAGGTGATTTTAATTTCGGCTTCAATGTGAAGTTCCATCCGCAAGAGATCGGTGTTGTTATAGCTACGGTATCAGGTGTGAGGGAATCAGACTGTGTATTCAGATGGACGAGAAAGCATGCGAGTTATGAGGTAGCAATAGACCATATTAATGGACCACGTTATGTGCTAACTGCTGATGATGTTGGTAACAGTCTGATTCTCCACTGTACACCTAGTGGAAGTTTAGGTACGGCTGTTGGTGAGATAGGTCCTTTTGACGTGGATGTAACATCTCGTAGGGCTATCCAGGATGCCCTTATAAATTCAAGTGCCCGTCATGACCTGTTCGTAGAACGAGACTTCTGTAGCGTATTTTGTCTGAGTGAATTGTTGCATATTCCAGAACATACAATGACAGCTGATGGAACGAATGTTAAGTATGTTATGTATATAATGTCGGAGGAGGTACAGATCCAGCCAACGGATGACTACAAGGGTGACGAGATTGTCAAATGCCGATATTCCAGTTCTTTCCCACGGATAAGGCTCTGCAACGATGATCCGCTCCGAATGTTTCTTCGTATCAACAATAAACACGAACTAACGCTCCGTACATTCAGTAAGCAACAACGTGATATGGTAGCACTAACGTTACGGGCATTTCACAGCAAGCTATTGATTTTGAATGCGTTGGAGGCGAATTCTCTTGAGGTTTTGCGTGATGGTAAACTACAGGATCCAACCAACGGTGGCCGGCATTTGAACGTGATCTTGGCTTTACAAAAGGCCAATGACGATCTGTCTGTATCATTGGATGAGACAACTCGTTTACGTCGTGAGCTTAACCGTTGTCGGCAAGAGAAGAGTTTCTTAGAGTCTGAAATGGAGAATACTATCAAAGTATTCCAACAGCAATTATCAGAATCTGATACCGAAGAACCGAATAAGGGTAGCCAGAAGGAGAATTACAACGAGACTTTATATACAGAACTTATTAACAGGAATGCACAATTAGCGGATCAGTTGGAAGAGATGACAAAAGAGCGTAACATTTTGGAAGAAGAGGTTGATATTTTGCGTGGTGAGCGTAACAGGCTGGACAAGCATTCTCAGAGTGTGATAAAGGACCTTGAAAAACTTAGGTTTGACAATGAATGTTTAGTGAAACAAATAGAAGAATTGAAGAACAAGATCCGAAAATTAGCTTCCTGCTAAAAATAACGGCACTCCAAATGTGTGTTGTCGCCATCCGTCTGACACACAATAGCTACAGTACACCGTCCAGTATGTAACTGTATATTAATATCGGTATATAATAAATGCGTGACTGGGAAGAATTGGAGCTTGAGCTCCCAAGGGTGGTTCGTAAGCACGCAGTAGAAGGTCGAGGAATCGTGGATTACCATCCACCATTATGGGCTGATTTTAACCCTAAAGATGTTCTGGGTAAGGATGTATATCGATATTCAGTTGATATAATCTCCAACGGAACGTTTCTTGAAAATGTGAAGCTGGGTTCCAAGTCCTACTGTATCCTGGGGTCTATGGATGACTGCGACTTTGTATATAAAAATCCATTGGTATCAAGGAAACATCTCGTGTTACAGTTGAATAGACATGGTAGTCTATTGCTATATGACCTGTGTTCCACTCATGGCACTACCCTAAATCACGTTCGTATAGAACCAGATAAGTACTACATGCTCAAGGTTGGAGACCAGATCCGTATCGGTTTACGTGGAAGTACTAGCCGGACGTATGTGGTATGCGGGCCTGAAGAGAGTGACCCTTTACAAGAAGATGTAACTTCAGATATGAAGCCTAAGAAGAAAGCTAAAACTTTGGCTGAAAAAGATGAACAAGAGATAATGGCCAAAGTAAAAAATGCTACGGCGGCAGATTATTACGACACCCATTTATATTTTGACGAATGGGATGACTACTTTGATCGTGACCAAGTGAAACAGGAATCTAGTGCAAAACGGAAACAGAAGACACATACTGCAGCATCACTCAAGGCTGACCTTGCTAAGCTTTGTCAGGAAGAGATCGATATTCTGAACCGTTGGTACGACATTATTAAACAAGCTAAGGAAGAAGGTTTGATTCGAGAAGGAGACGTTGAAATCAAGGCCGAGACGTTGGTAAAAAAAATTCAGAAAAAGGGACTAAACGAAGACCGTGCTAAGCTACAGGATGAAGTTAACCGAATACGAGAAGACATCGAATATCATAAAAGGTTGCTCAGACTAACCCGAACCGAATGCTAATAGTCATGGATACATATATAATTTCCATGTACAGTGGCGCTGGACGCGCGTCTCCCTAGGGACAACGAGAGAGGGCGATTACCGGCCGTACGACGACGCGGATCTGAAAATGGCGAGACCACGCGACGGCGTCCCATCTTATAAAGTACCACTACTGTAAACACTTGCTGAAAAAAATCCCTGCAAACACGTCAAGTGCTGGCTAATAAATTCACAATACGTTGCCTTGCGATAGTCACAGCTGCAACACATCGCGGCTTAAAGTAAACGGACGATATCTACGGATTTAACAATCGAGCTTTACGGAGCCTTCAGTAAAACTCAAGTGGGCGCAAAACAACAATATTACCAGGTAAGTATTCGCACATATTCGAGGGGTTGCCATGTATCTGAACCGAAAAAAACAACGTGCCAAAATATTATAACGGTATATATTAATTGGGCGGATTCCCAGGGGGCTGTTTGACCAGAGGCCAAGGAGTAACCCGTGCTGCTGAGGAACTGGTGTAAGTAGCTCACTACCCCAACCGTGTGTATCGGTTGAAAGTGCCAGTCTGATATCACAACTCCAATTAGACAATAAAAAAATTTGCCGAATCTTGGACGCTTTCCAGACACCGTTGGTACAGAAGTAAAGTAGGTGCAGCTACATGGCAGTGGTCGCCCCCTCTGAAAGACACACGACATAGCGGCCTTACGTGCAACGATACATGACATCCATATTATATCAACATATTTTAATTGACCTGCAGAATGAGAGAAATCGTACACATTCAAGCTGGCCAGTGTGGTAACCAGATTGGTGCCAAGTTCTGGGAGGTTATCTCTGACGAACATGGAATCGATCAAGTAAGTGGATATAGTTGACACGTAGGCTTATTTGGAAATTTGTATATGATCATGAATACGGAATATCGTGGTGCACATCGCTTTATTCATACCGCAAGGTTGTATAACCTTGAGTAGTTTGGAAATATGAACTCATAATCTTGCAGAGTGGTACCTACCACGGAGACAGTGACCTACAACTTGAAAGAGTTGATGTCTTCTACAATGAAGCATCCGGAGGACGTTATGTACCCCGTGCTATCTTGATGGACCTTGAACCCGGAACCATGGACTCTGTTCGTGCTGGACCTTTCGGACAGCTATTCCGACCAGACAACTTTGTTTTCGGACAAACTGGTGCCGGTAACAATTGGGCCAAAGGTCACTACACCGAGGGAGCGGAACTCATAGACTCCGTCCTTGATGTTGTACGCAAGGAGGCCGAGGGATGTGATTGCCTTCAAGGTTTCCAAATCACACACTCACTTGGTGGTGGTACTGGAAGTGGTATGGGAACTTTACTTATCAGCAAGATCCGTGAGGAATACCCAGACAGGATTATGGAGACTTTCTCTGTTTTCCCTTCACCCAAGGTATCAGACACCGTCGTAGAACCCTACAATGCTACGTTGTCTGTACACCAGCTAGTAGAAAATGCTGATGAGGTCCAGGTTATCGATAATGAAGCCCTTTATGACATCTGCTTCCGCACCCTGAAACTCACCACACCTACTTACGGTGACCTCAACCACCTAGTATCGGCTGCCATGTCAGGTGTTACATGCTCACTGCGTTTCCCAGGACAACTGAACTCGGACCTCAGGAAGCTGGCTGTCAACCTTATCCCCTTCCCAAGGCTACACTTTTTCATGATCGGTTTCGCACCACTCACCAGCAGAGGTAGCCAGCAGTACCGTGCTCTTTCCGTTGCCGAGCTCACTCAACAGATGTTCGATGCCAAGAACATGATGTGCGCTTCGGACCCAAGGAGGGGAAGGTACCTTACTGCCTGTGCCATGTTCAGAGGACGCATGAGCACCAAGGAGGTGGATGAGCAAATGTCTATGGTACAGAACAAAAACAGCTCTTACTTCGTTGAATGGATCCCACACAACACCAAATCTAGTGTTTGTGACATCCCACCAAAGGGACTTAAGATGGCTGTTACTTTCGTAGGTAACTCGACTGCTATCCAGGACATGTTCAAGAGGGTATCGGAACAATTCACCGCTATGTTCAGGAGGAAGGCCTTCCTTCACTGGTACACTGGAGAGGGTATGGACGAGATGGAATTCACTGAGGCAGAGTCTAACATGAACGACCTTGTCAGCGAATACCAGCAGTACCAGGAAGCCACCATCGACGACGATGTCGAAGACATGGGTGACGACTACTGAATGAACAGAACAACACGAACAGATTTATGCGCAAGAGAGCGCCTTGTGGTATAGACGGGTGTACTTGCGTTTTTAAGCTTTATAGTACTATTTTGACGGCGGTTGTGTGTCCATACCGATAGTATATATTTACATTCACGTTCCTTTTGGTGTAGCAGCTATTCGCTCACTGAGTGGTCGCAGAAAGTTCGGGCAGCGGCTCAGTGTCACATATAAGTTGTAGCAACCACTTCTTCAACATAGGTTCCTCCTTCAGACAGGGGTAAAACACGGGGTCACTGTAGAAGATGTTGGAGGTGAAAGAATGGCACTCACATTTTTCGAAGTGGTTTAGGGAGGCATTTTCTTAACATGTCTCGAGCGCGGGGATTTTCCGATAACCGCAAATAACAACGCACAACGTGCTTTAGAATACGACGGGATGGTGTCTCAAGAAGACTCATCACCATGCTATTCAACACAGCAGCAACAGCATAGAATCGCTCTGGAGTTGCGCATACATAAGCCAATCCTCTATCGTCCAACATTATCTTCTGCACGATAAAGATAGATACCTATTGAAATGGTACAGATACAAATACAACTTACAGTTTTTGAGATGTCCGAACCAGTTTCCATAATACGGAGACACAGAGCAATGATCTCCGTGTTCAATAAAAAACAAATCACTTCCTCATCATCACTCTGTAGAGCATAAACGAGGAGTAGACAAAAACATACCTTAACTAGAGCACCTATTACACCTAAACAGGTCAGTTTCAAGTACTCCAAACGACGGCTCTTGCATGACGAGTTTAGAAAGGGATATAGAAATAGTGGTATGTGGGCTGTTAACTATGAATCACGCTACCAAAGACGAACCTGCAAGGAATACCCGGCGTGTTTGTGGGTGAGATGCGATACATTGCAGCAGTGTCAGTGAGTTTGATGCCTTGGTAGAATCGGCCATAGAAAGGCTCATGGGATGCAAGTAGTGGCTGATAGTGCTGGATATTGACAATATCAACCTACTATACTGAGACTATCTCGTAGAGGAGCGTCGCAACTGTCCCAAACGAATACCATAACAATAGAGGCAAATCAGGATGGTGTTCCCGTTGCTTGGACAACTCGGCGAGCGCATATTCTCGTTTCTCATGGATTGCAAGGTCCAAAATTAACTGATGAAGTACGCTATCCGGCACTTTCTCTGTCACAAGGACGGGAGTGCCAGTGGACTTGCCGGATTTCTGAGACTGCGCGTTACCCTGCTGTTGCCCCTCGTTCAGCAGGCCCGCAGATAGCCCATCGCTATGGTCCATGCTAAACGAAAAATTTTGCATAGTTACCAAGCTTAAATGTGCTCTCATTGACATAGGAAAGGGGCACACCGAGCCCAACAAACACTGCTACACATTGACACAATTAATGCACATTAGAACATTTATATGTGTTTGGCGATCTCGCCTTTCGCAAGCTGACGGAGACCCTCCGCTACGCTGCGTACAGACGCACGCTCACGAGGGTCAACCCGCATAAGTCGGTCAAACACGTAACGCGCAGCTTTAGCACAAATAGGGAATTTCTGGTTCGGGGAGTCCAACTGAAGCACGTTGCGGATACTCTGTAGCCAAACACGTGGCGGTATAGTCCAATACTCGTCACGGTTCCACCACATTGGGTCTGCCTCGCCATCCTCAACTTCCTGAGGGGGGTCCACTAACTCGGGTGGACCTGTTCCAAAGGGAGGACGAATGTGGTCAACCATTCGGCGACCTATTAACACTTCAATAACGGACTGGCCGATGCCCCAGGCATCCGAAGCCCGTCCAATATCAATAGTTTGAGCACGTTTAGTGTTGTGATGTTTCTTTGTGTAAAATTCCAATAATTTTTGCTCGGGAGATTCATACCAAGATGTACCTCCTGTAAATTCCTTGGTACCTTCCATAGAAGCGGCGCCAAGGTCAATAACTTTGACGTCCACTCGTTTCACCCCGCAAGACTCGTACATGTCAAGAACAATGTTGTCAGGCTTTAAATCGTTATGTCGAATACCTAGCTCAGAAAATTGAGCCACGCGTTCCATTGCGATGATACACCAATCCAATTTGTTCAGCTCGTAGAGTGGTGTATTCCTTGAGGCAAAACGTGGAGAACACTCAGAACGTATTATATCGAAAAAATCAGGGCCGAATAACTTGCGTGTTGCCAACACTGACATACCAGGGTTCTTTTTGTCTAAGTAGTAACCTAGTATTTCAGATGTTGGCCAGTCGTCGATGCCAATCCTGGATGAACGAGATGAGTCATCAGACGTTCCCATCAATTTCTGAAATATGTACAGGTGGCATCCAATTTCACGTTTAATGCTGCGTCCGTCGCGAATATTACAATCCTTCACGCTCTTGACCGCCACCTTAAGCGCTATCTTCGGAAACTGCTTTGGTAGCCAGAACGCATTGTACACTACGCGCTGAGTAGAATTCTGAGATATCAAAAGTGATGATGTATCGGGAAGCAATCTGAGCTCCGCATTAGGCGAGTGAAGGCCCTCGTATAATGAATTACGGAACATCACGGGGCCTATGCGGTCGTACAATGGTCGATAGTCTGCGAAGTTGATCTCCACATAGTTCTCGAGATCGTGCAAAACATCGATGGTTGAAGGAGGCCATTGAACATCGATTGTTTGGTGAGACGTATTGCTCACTACCGTAGTTATTTTGTTTAATGTTGTTAGTTTGGGGTTCACGGCGCCAATGGAGCCGCCGTGAGAAACGCTGCCACAAGCCGGGTGGGAAGCAAGACAATGAGGCGCCTGCACATTCTTACGGTCAACGACCGCGGCACCTCTGTAGCAAGTCAACTGCTGAAGATCATCCTTTATATCCTCATGATTGTTATCCCGGGCATTGCGGAAACGACAAATGACAGATGAATTCATTTTGGCGCATTCCTCAAAACATATATTTTAAAGAACCTTTACCGGCCAAAAACCGTCACAAGAGGCCTGTAACAAGTAGAAAGAAAGAGGCGACGTACGACTGGGCTGATCGAAGTTCTTTATCATACCAACCGTCTTGACTCAACTTTGACACCTCTCAGTCAGATTATCGAATCCTCCATGTCAAAACTGCATTACAAGAATACTACATTAAATTAAGGTAGGCCGCAGCAAAGCGGTATAAAAGGACGGATAAAAACACTTTCCACTAGCCATAAATGAGAAGCTATATCAAAACCATTCTGCCTGCCGCCAGTATATGGACGGACGGCAGCTTTAGCTCCACTGACGCACAGTGACTATTTCACGGATAGTATCCTGTAGGGACATATCATGTCACACTGAAATGTGTAAAGCCGTAACCAATCCAAAGTTGTCCTAAATGTATACGAAGATGCACAGAACAGGTATGCACCGCCCAGAAACTGGACTACACGACATATGTGTGACGATATAACCCAGACGCCCTCAGGGGCAGCAATGTGTAACTCCGCAGGCCCAGCACGGAGGTAAATATGTGCACCTCGGAGAGGACGGACACCCTAAAGGACCGACCTAAAAAAGAGATGACACACTATCAAACAATGATTAGTCAACGTGCTATGGCCTGCGATATATTACATATGCGCCCCCGTTAAATATGATATGCAAAAATCAGACAGCAAAAGAAACGCGCCCCCCTATGAGAAGCCCGTGCAAACATACACACTTAGACATTCATGAATATTTCATAATGCAACATGAAATATATACTGACATAAGTCATAGTAACCGTATGGTGTGCTAACGTGGAGTACCACTAGCGCAGTGGTGAGTTATCCTGGCTAGCCACGTTTAGCTAGCCAAAACCCACATAGCCGTAAATCCCAGAAATGCTGCATTATACTTATATAAATAATTCCCGAAGCCCAACTGGTCAATATGGCTCTTAGAAACTATTCTAATACACATCGGCCTATTCCTTTAACACGCAACTTCTAGGAAACGGCCTCTAGTACACCGGGTGATGCGCTAGCTAGCTACAACGAAACGTGACAGCCGCCTTTGTGTGGCTCGAAAAAATTATAACCACAGCTATGGCACCTATATTTTTTAAATATCTGCCATAATAACCATGAAAACATGTATCCTTCTAAATCTCTACTCTAAGTTAACACATTTAATCTAACACGCTTCCTTCTTTATTTTCGCATTCAATGTTCATACTTTACCATCGATTATATATATAACCATGCCAATACATCGCCAGTATAACGTCCTGAGCATCGAGATGCCTCGACGACCATTATGATGGTCAACGATAAATATCAGTCAGTCGGTACGATAATAATGCATTTTTGCTGTTTCGTATAAATTTAGATGAATTTTGTTACGTTATGGCAATATTTTGTCTAGATGCAAGTGCCCCCATAACAGTCGGTCATTTTGTGAGTTAGTCCCACACCCCTATATTTGTGATACCAGGTCACTGGCCTCTTCGGAGTGCCATCAGAAAAAATTGGAACGATACAGAGAAGATTAGCATGGCCCCTGCGCAAGGATGACACGCTCAAATCGAGAAGTGTAAAAACGATTTTTTTTTCATTTCCTATATTCATATATGCTTTTTAATGGAAATAGAGTACCATTTGGCATAGCGAACTGCTACCACACCTGCAGGGTCCTTTGAGCGAAATCAGCGATATTGTTGCAAATCGCATGGTCAGTGTTGATATCTCCTGACGATGTAATAGCGATAGCATGACTTAGACAAAGCTTGTCGGGACCTTAAAAAATTTGTTCCAAACCCTAGAAACCATCATACCAGACGATCACCGCCAGGAGGCGGATAGAGCTACAATGCCATCGTAATTATATGTAAAACTGATAATGAAGATTAGCGGAGTTAAGATAACGTAGCAACAATGTTAACCAAAGTGAAAAGGCAAATATGGAAAAGTAGATGCGTAACAACTTATTACATTAGATGTATCATAATCCAACACATAACAGTTTGTACTAGAAATGGCATCATTTGGTCTAACAAAGTTTAAAAATTACAAGTTGTGGCACTATTGGAGGCATAGGGCAGCGTGCTATGCCGCAACAACCCGCGCCACGATCGCGTGAGCAGTGGCAATAATGTGACGGAAGTGAAATATGCAACATCATGGACGAAACAGTAGAACAGTCACTAAAAGAAATAGGACATAGCATATCATGTCTACATATCAATTCAGGAGCGCAACTGGATGACATATTCAGACTCAGACACCTTTTCCCATAGTACGAGTACACCGAATCAAAATTAACACATTTTTTCAGCTCAAAATTTGTAAATGATATGCGTGGTTTATCAATCAATTTGGGAAACTTCTTTTCAGCATACGCGCCACGCCTGGATTCCTTCCTAGTCGGGCCAATCAAACCGCCAGTCTCCGAGACAACTGTTTCATACGCCGATAAAATAATAGGTGTGTGAAAATATAACCAAATATACATATATATTATGCAGTCGCCGACCTACTAAACGTCGGAAAGTCAGACGAGACAATCAACCGTTGGAAACAACTCAAGAAAGATTTGAACAACTCCTCAGACGCATTAGTGCACAAGGACAATGTAACTGCAATTGTTGAGGCAAATAATGAACTTTTGCAACAACTCGTGAACCGCAGCCTGGAATTCGGTAGGATCAATAAAAAACAAAAGCAATCTTGGACGCAGAAAAACCACAAAAACACTCAGAAGCAAACACATTCCTCAAGTTGGGAGTAAAAAAGGCAAAAATTAACAAATGTAAGTGGAAATTATAAATACAATAACAGTTATCACAGACCTCGACGATTACTTGTCGAAACTCAAGTAAAAACGCATACTGTCGACTACACAATAAGAACAAGATGTCACTGCCCGATTGGAAGGGGCTGCTAAAATGGACTTTGCAGCAAGTCCCAGAGACCCCATCTTCGGAGAAGAAACCAATATCAAAAGAAGATGTAGAATTTCTTCAAAAGGCTATGGAAAGTGTTCATGATCATGACAAAAAAGTCAAATCAGCAGCACAACTCATACAAGAATTGGCAACACAAAGTAAATTTAATGACCTCGAAACTTTACTAGAGGCATTCGACACTATGGAACAGTTTTACGAGGAACATCCCGGAAATGCGTCGTCAGTACACAGGACAGGTATGCTGGATGCAATCACGGAGTACATCAAACAAGGCAACCTAGACGTCATGCCCGCAGTGCTATCGGTAGGAGTGAACCACTTCTGAATATAGTGATGCAGCTATTGATAACAACAATATCAAACAATGCGAAGGTACAGGAAGAGGCGGCAAAGGGACCGATGATGCAGTACCTTCTGCAACTGAGGCAAAAGGCTGATGGCACCGCACTAGAGCCAAAGCTAATCACCGCTATTGCAGCGGTGATACGACACTGCGACATCGCCGAAAAACAATTTGTCAAAGTAGGAGGGATGCAATACATCGCACAATGTACTGCGAAAAAAAATCTCAAAGTAAAAGAAAAGGCAGCGCTACTTATATACCACTTTGTCAACCAACAAAAACTAGACAAGAGGGAAGCACAGAAAATGCAACTCCTTACTGCAGTACGTAACCTCATGCCACTAGATGTTCAGACGCACGGTATGAAAATGTAACAAGCAGAATCACAACATGCAGGGATACAGTATGCAGAAGTATGCATCAACCTCTTCGCCGCGGCCGTTCTCAAGTACCCACACTCAATCAACAGGGACGAAGCACTCTCACTTTGGAGACAGCTTGCAAAAGCTGTTGAAAACACAAAGGAACTCGAGGGCGCAAATGAAATTTTGCGGGAAGTACACAATGCACTCGTAAAATGAACGGCACAGTCGACCACTTTAACGTAATAAAACAAAAATTAACACCCTGTTGGAGACACCTCCTGCGGGAAAGCGATGTAGTACAGGTCGATGGTGTTAGCTGTGGAAGCGTGTGATATGCGGCCGAGCCGAACTCTTGGCGAACTGTCAAACAGTAAATACTATTGACGTTCATACCTTTTGACGCCGCACGCTGCAATAAGCAGAACACACTGGGGCCACAGCACATCTGCGACAGTAAAACACGCGATGACGCTGGAAAGTGTCTCATGACAACGAAACGTACACATAAACGTATCCAGTGCTGCCAGACAGAGAGCCCGATGCCCCAAGGCTACAACTAGAAGGGCAAGCACCTATCCATAGGAACAACGAGTATGCGACGCTCGAGGTTTAGGGTTGTTCAGGCGATGGCTACTGGAACCAAAATCGCCTGGCGATTAAAATGTATGAAACTTCCAACCCGCCAATGGAAGATAATGAAAAGTCGGGTTCACGAGCTAATAAAGAATGGCCAAAAACCATTATAAACAGAACGTTTATCAACTCAAATGCTTACACATATGAGATATACACATGTTGAGGGTTAAGTGTGCTATAGAATCTAAGAAATGCCGTACCACCTCGTAAATTTACAAACCACTAAAACAGCAACACATTAAATCGATAGCCAACGAAAACGGGCTCACGCATACCTAGAAATAGATTTGTATCTTTATAGAAGTTTACTATGGTCCGTGAGGATCCACATAGAACTTGGACTGCTGTGGGCCAGTTGACCCATGCAGAACCAGCTATTCAGCCCTCACATGTAGCACTTCAAATAGCACATTTGTAATCGAGAGCGAAGGAATTGAAATAAATATTCAATGTGTATGTCATGGGACGTTGTGCAGTAAGGTCGCGGAAGCTGGCGCCTTACAAATAAAACGGGGAACAAATCAAGACATATATTACCCAAACAATGCCATACAACGTATATAGACTATGCAGATCTTTGGAGGGATTATGCAGGTTCCAGGGGACCTCAAAACCAGGCAATCCGAGATGCTGGGTAAACAGCAGACCGGATTCATTCCACGAACCACGGAAAAACACCAACAATGTTCGATATATATGGTATAACCATTCGAAGAAAACAACTCCAGGTGATGTGTCCGCAGAAAGATGCCAACATGGCGTGGACACACCTCGGTTCCAATTCGGTACCATGTCGCAAAACTCAATACAGGCCCAGGAAAACTGTAAGAACTATATCGAAAAACGAATGTTCGCAACAAATACCGATACAAAACCAAAAGAAGATCTCAAAAGTATAAAGGCTGGGAAAACCTTAACTCTAACCGATCTGCTCTGGCCAACGGACCGCATGCTCAAAAAAAGAATCGCAATAAGTACGGCGTTCCTTATACTCTCGAAAATATCAACCGTCGCCATACCAATGTGCATGTCAGCAATGATAGATGTAATGGCGGGAACATCAATGACCAATTTAGATCTTATAAGTAATGTCGGTCTAGGAGGATTGGCCACCACGCAATTTGGACTTGCACATGTCTACCTTGTAGCATATTGCGCTGCAAGGATATCCTCATCGTTCTTCACGGAAACAAGAAATGCTATCTTCAGCACTGTCATGGAAAGAACGGGAATGCTCAATGCATCGAAAATGTTCATGAAAATACACTGCCTAGATATAGACCTACTGCTCATGACAAAGTCAGGCGAAATATCAAATGTATTTACAAGAGGGATAAAAGCAATCTCACAAGTACTCAGAATACTAGTATTCCAAATAGCACCAACCATACTCGAGTTTACAATGGTCACTGCACTACTATGCTACAAGTTAGGACCTGCTATCGCATCACTCACAGCAGGAACAATGGGAGTATATGTCCTTTTCACTGCACTAGTCACACAGAAGAGAATGATCCTCAGAAAACTTATGGTCAGCGCAGAACAAAAGGCAGCAGGGGTGTTCACGGATTGTATAACAAACGCAGAAGCCGTAAGATACTACAATGCAGAAAATAGGGAACTTGGTAGATACGCAACACTACAGTGCGACTATGCCGCCAATGCTGTCAAAGTACAACAGTCGTTGGCAATGCTCAATTTCGGACAAAATGCCATTTTCAACACCGGACTGTTCCTATCAATGTGGCTCACACTCAACGAAATAGCAGAAGGAACAGCGCAATTCGGGGACCTTGTACTTGTCAACACTTTGCTTTTCCAACTGGCAATACCACTCAACCTAATAGGAACCATGTACAGAGAAACCAAAACGAGCATGGTAGATCTACAGAAGTTCCTAGACCTAATGAAACAGGAACCAAAGGTACACGATATGCCAGATGCAAAGGAACTTATAGTCAAAGCTGGAAAAATCGAATTCAAAAATGTTTGCCATGCATACGAAAATGCTGTTGGTGCAACAAATATACTAGAAAATTTCTCACTCACGCTAGAACAGGGGAAAACTGTGGCTATCGTAGGGGACTCAGGAACGGGGAAAACTACAATAGCAAAATTGCTATTCCGATTGTATGACCCATCACAGGGACAAATATTAATAGATGGACAAGATATCAAACACGTCACACTCAGCAGCCTCAGGTGAGATTAACACTCAAATTTTTTATATCCTCGCAGAAACGCTATAGGAATTGTACCGCAGGATGTAGTCCTATTTAATGAATCGATAGCGTACAATATCAAATATGGAAGACCAGATGCAACCATGGAAGAAGTTATCGCAGCTGCAAAACTTGCAGGAATGCACGAAACTATACAACATCTAAAGGATGGCTATGACACTGTAGTTGGAGAACGTGGCATGAAACTTAGCGGTGGAGAAAAACAAAGGATAGGAATCGCAAGATGTTTCCTCAAAAATACAAAAATACTTGTATTCGATGAAGCAACAAGCTCTCTAGACTCCATGACAGAACATAAGGTTCTAGCCGCATTCAGAAAACTGAGCGCAAACAGAACCACTATAGTAATCGCTCACAGGCTCTCTTCTATCTTAGAGGCTGACGAAATCGCTGTATTCTGTGACGGGAAAATCGTCCAAAAAGGACCAGCGGACCTCCTTATGAAAGATCCAAATGGATACCTTCAGCAAATAATCCGCTCCAACGTACTCATAAAACGATAGACTACCATATTAATCAACGTTTAACTACATGTGGAACCCGAGTGATAAACAAAGAGCGGAACTGTTTCGAAACGTACGACGTTACCGAGGATACAAGATCCGACGTAATGTCAGTACGCGGCTCTGTAGCCAAGTAGAGCCCGAACTCCGGGTTGTGCTCCACGTATATATTAACACACTGAAACATTGTTAGAGGACACATTTAAAGCTCCTACCTCGAAACGAGCCATCGCGGTACGGTGCGACTCTTCGCCGAACAGAAATTCAGACAACGATTTGTAGGCCGATATTATTGTAGCACTATTCGCTCCGAAAGCCGTATGTCGAAACGCAGATGAAAAATAATGACCAAGCTTCTTGGAGTAGTACAACACATGTAGAACGTCGCAACCCTTCCCATTATCAGAAGGGAACTCTATTGGGGTAGAAACCAGCGACATACGCAAACCGCTAAGGAATCCAGAATCTGTCATTTTCTGTAACATTATATATGGAACACAGTAAAAAATGCCACCTTTGTCAAAACCTCAAATTGTCCAGATATCTTGTGGAACTGCTCCTGATCACCGGTGCTAGAAATACAGACTACACCGATATCCGAATCAATGTAGTTCACGTAGGCGTATGTAAACGCTCTAGGGACACAGTTATCTAGCAACGGCCAAAAAACACTTACTGATCGTTGAAGTCCGGAAGACACAAAGGTGTCCAACTCTCCTGTTGACGTAGAGAATGGGATGCACTGACCATATTTACTACTATTGCGATATCTGAAGCAACTGTGATTGCAGAGTAATAGGACAAACCTGATGGACTAAACGTGATGCTCTTCGACATAGTGATCGCCGCAACTCGGTTACTAACGACCATAAAAGAACAGCTAAAAACCAAAGTGAAATGGCAACAGATATAAAACTTACAGTACATTTGGAGTGTCAAATTCGTTAAGAAACGAACTCAAGGTATTGCGGGTGTTAGGTGGAAGAGGCAACGCTTCGTAACAGCATGTATCGAACAGGCCTAGCGTGCCGTCTAAGCTGGCAACCAAATTGTGCAATATCGACTGAGTACCACCTAACAAGTTTTGCGCATCGTATGAAGGGCGTTTTAGTAAAACACGCTCAACTCCTCGGGTCAAAATTGACAAAACTTGCAGATGCAGGTTAGACAGAATCTTGTAAACCGCAAGAGGTGAAGCGCCGTTGGACGATATTCCAAAGTAACACAACGGACCTCGGTCCATGTAAACGAAATGCTGGTCTCCAGCACTTATGTACCGCAATTCATCCTTCTCGGTATACTCAGACAACAGCGTGGATACCTTTGATACCACGGCACACAGTACACCTACATCTTATACAGCATTGAGATAGAGCACCTACCATAAAACGCTAGCGATTGTTCGCCTTCTGGGCAACTGAAAGGTAATCAGTTTATGAATTTTGGGGGTAAAAAGGACAGACACTGTGTAGGTTGCACAGGTGGATAAAGGCAACCGGAAATAAACAAAATAGGCGTCACTTACTTGGTAAACAGCGGCTTACCCGCATATGTAAAGGCGTAGACCTTTGTGCCCATCCTAAAAGACACAAAGAATCCAAACAGAGAACACAACGCCAACCTTACACATCTTACGAATCAAAAGCTAGACACCTTGCAACCACTAGAGATACACGCATAGAGCCTATAAATGTGGTGGAAAACATCATTTAACCTCTGTAAAGCTAGAATCCGAACGATAGAGGGGCCTCCAAGTGGCGGCGACCAAACACATGGGGAAACGAATCGCGCACAATCGACCATTGACCCGCTTTATAACAGTAGTGGGACACGTAATTTGTAATGCGTCACGGTGGTATTACTTAGGAGGTCTCAAAAGTGTGACATTGTCATGGTAATGACAACACCGTAGACAGAAAAGTTAAACCGCCCAGACGTTGGTATGTCAAACATACATCATACACGGATATTAATGAAAATACAGCTATTCATGTTCGTCTTATGCTATACTCTATCTCATAATAACAAATGAAACCCAAGTATCAAACGTAATCCTCGAAGTATTGGTCGCTCAAACAACCGAGGGGGTTAAACATCGACAATTCACAACTACCAACAGTGGATTTGGTCTATCAATACCCTTTTAAGGTACTTCATTGCAAAAAGTACTCGCCGCTTAAGCGTGGGATTAAAATAGTCAAAGATGCAAGATGGGATTGTTAAATACGATCGGTGGGAAGAGCTATTGTGGGTGTACAACGGGATAGGTTCACAAATTAGGACTCCATTAACTGGAGCGCTAGTAGGTATAAATTTGGAAGATCATACAATCAAGTATAATCACTGGGGATTTCAGACGCAATCCACATATGAACCAAACGATCGCATCAACTATAATGAATATTGTGGATGCTACATGTCCGCTATTAATGCTATACATCCGTACGAAACGGGATTGATCGTTGCAACACCCAACGGGGTAGACATACTCAACAAAGATGGCGGACGACGCATGTCACTGATATCGGAAACCGCAAAAATGCAAATAGATAACTACGGAAATAATCACATCGTCTCTGCATTGCTTAGTTGTACGGCGAACAATCCAAATATTTGGCTGGCCACTAATGCCAACGACCTATATTCCGTAGACACCTTCGTAGGCCAAGTTAATGGAACATTCAAGCCAATGAACAAACACGTACCGACGGCAGGATTTAAAGACAAAGTCACCGTGCTATCTGATATCTATGGCAATGCCTCTAGAAGCTCGTGTGTCCTATCCTACTGCCAACAGTACAGTTCTGATGAAGATGCTTTTAACAACACGTATTCAACGGATACATGTCATGGAAGCGAATCATTTAATACCACTACGTCATCCATGGAAAGTATCGCTAAAAAATTTGGAAGCGTAGAGGCTATACCGGAATTCGTCCCATCAGCCGCTCGCAACTCGCAATCCATGGGCACCTTTATCAAACAGAAAATGACAGACGATATAACACCAGGGGCGTTGTCACTTAGGTACGCACTGCAAACTCAAAGTGATAATCATCCGGGGAACGAAAATTCCACTGACACCATCTGCGTAGGTATGCTATCAGGGCTATTGCATGTCTTGGATACCAGGATGCAGAAAATAGCTCACACAATTGAAGCACATAACAGTGCGGTAGGCAATGTAGCGGCCTGTGGTAATTATATCGTCACTACCGGTTGCTACCTCTATGGAAATGTACTTATGCATGAACCGATGATGGAGGTTCACGATATACGGATGAAGAGGACAACATCGCTATGGATAGGAGTTCCTATACGTTCTACCGCATTTGTAACCGACAGTTACAATGTGGTCGCTTTACATGACAATGGCGGTTTCACAGAATGTAACATCGCAACCATGGAACATACCAAGTACCCGAACATGAGCAATCGTGATTCGTGGATACACCATGATATCGATGTTGCCGTGTCAAGGGACAGAGAGCTCTACCGAGTCTGCACGGCAAATGAAGCATACGCGGTTAATAGTATCGAGCTAAAAAGAGACGCAATCGCTAATAAGGAAATGGATCCTAAGAACCTCAAAACGATTTTTCAAAAGGTACAACCCGGTAAAAAAACGTATACCAATAATACGCAATTCGCATCATTGATTGGAACTTACAATGGGGATGTCGTACAAGTTTTTGTTCAAGTATTCTTCTTCCTTGAAAAACTCACATCGGTAAGGTATCACAGCTGCGAGGTGGAACACTGTCTCACATGCCAGGTCGGATTTGCCATGCATATGTTACACGTGGAACATGGAAATAGAAAAGGTGGAATCAAGGAAGCGGAAAATAAGTTTATTACCACCAAACAACCAGAACTGCGGGCAACACAACTCCAGGAACTCATGCCAGTAGATAGGTCGGAGACAAATGCACTATCTATCCAAAGGCTATTGCTCTGGATCATCGAAAAAATGAGCTCAGAACTAGATAATTATCATGGCAGAAGTGAGAATGCGCAAACAGATGATACTACGCAACTCATTAAAAGTGCATTCGGCTTTTCGAAAACAGTCGATGCAATATGTCAAAATGACCATCGGACAACCAAGGTACTCGAAAACCAATTTTGCTTGTCATACACTCATCTTTCTGAGCAGAAGGGCTATGAGGAAGAAATGATATCGTATTGCACAGACTGCGCCAAACCGGTTATGACAAAGTACAACATAAAGTTTCAGGATGCTCCAAATTTCATGATAGTGAACTGTGACTTCGATGATGGAGGCCGAATAACTCGTGCAGACGAACACGTGACATTCATGACGGAGACTTATACGCTCGTAACCATTGTCTTCTCCGTACCATCGGAGGACACGAACTACAGACTTCTAGCCTATGTTAGAGTACCACAGAGGATGAAGAGTAAACAGGAATGGCTTCTCATCAACGATGGTTATATTTGCGAGCTTGATAACGAGGATTATAGACAGATTCTAGACTTCAGCTCGCCATGGAAACAACCGATCACACTCATATACCAGAAGGATAACATGGGAGTAATACATGAAATCACTCCGTCGGCTGCAGGAGACGTATCCGTCGTTAACGTCAACGGACGGATCGTGCCGTTGCCTGTGCCAAACGAAAAGGAACCTATACCTGCTTCTATTTTCATATCGGAGTCAAATATTGCGCACAATCCACTGGCACATGGTAAAAATCGCACGTTCGTGCCACTGTCTGTAAATGAACTCCTGGCGTTACACCACAAACAGTTCATTGTGGCCCTCGATGTGGAAGGAGTGAAAATTGGGAGTGAAACAGCCGTGAATACGAGATATCATCAATTGCCGGATGCGATCTCCTCTCCTAGATCAATTGAGATGCAAAAAAAAACCTTTATATATTCAGCCAAAGATACTGAAGAACAGAACGTGGCAACCCTAGCAAGGTATGATAGGTAAACCTTTATTTTACATTTCGCACAGGGTAAGCGCCGTAAGGGGAACGGGAGAAGGATTCGGTATCCCATTCCTAGATCATTATATTCACCGCAGGGAACCCCCAAAGGATTACCTCACGAGGTAAGGTATCACATGTGGACAATAGAATGCCATAGGTTCTCTGGGATACACCAAGGTGATCTGGACCTCAAGTCGTCCGTGCACTGGCTAACCACGAGAAAGGCTATATACATGAAAATTAGATATCTTATTGATGCTGGGTGCACAATATTGGGACATGGACTGGAGCAAGATTTCAAAATGCTTAATATAGTGGTCCCACAATCACAAGTTATCGACACAGTAGAACTGTTTAGGCTACCAGGACGCAGGTATATATCACTACAGTTTCTAGCTGCTCATATACTGAATCGCCGAATACAAAGGGGCGAACATGACTCTGTAGAAGACGCCAAAGCTGCTCTTTACCTATACAGGTGAGATATCAATACACATCAACATAACTAAAGCAGGAAATATTTAGAATACAAGGATAATGGGCTATTGCAAGGGGTACTAGCGTCATTGTATGACATAGGGTACAAAACAAACTGGGTTGTAAATTGATTACAGGCTGTTCAAAGGGGTCCACATCGCAACATGCGAAGGCAATATACCCTGCTCCATTGTTAAGCTGTTTAAACCTACGCCTGTGGCACTGTAACAGCAATATAAAAGTAAACGAACCAGTAAATATATGATAGCTCGCGTGTAGGACATAAAACAGTGCGATCGTAATGTATGCGACGTTGACGTCGATATAGCCAAATATCCGATTCATAAAAACCGCTATAGCGAACGTCAAGATGATATCCCAGATTACCAACATGACACCGATGAAGTCAAATATTTTGTATGACAAAGGGTGGCTCAGAACTGCCATGTGCATACAAGATGATATGACCGCCTTCGGATATGAAGAAAAGGCAGAGAAGCAAAATACCAATACGCACATACCGCCAGGGGACGACAAAACCCCGTATACAAATGAATCGGGTGCCAAAGAACATAACGGAAGAAGTGCCAGCGATATGGTAGCCAGTACGAGACACCTATGTAATGTGGCTTTATATAGTGTAGACATACCGATAGATGGTACACGACGTCCTGTACGTGGAAGTCGAGTCGTGGTCATTAAAAGGCGAACCATAGGCAACATACAACCCGCAAAATAAACCCCCTAACTTTTCCGCAGAAAGTAATAAGGCACATATCAATGTGGTATATAGGAGGTCAGACTCCCGAATACTGCTGTTACCAAAAGCTGAATCACACTATTAGCATAAGAGCTACAAACAAACCTGTAATGGGAATAATAAAACAGATCATTGAGTGTTGAAATGCTGTTTCCATAGTTAGGAAAGTGATCTGCTTAAATAGGTGGCCTGCAGACTTTGCCAGCATCATGCCATTAGTAATGTCTCCCAGCTTGGTAACTATTTCGTTGCACAGCGAACTTATGGAGATCTCCAAACCCTCATTATAAATCATTCCATTCAAAGTAATAGAATTTCTGAGTCCTACGGCGTAGGAACATAAGGAAATTGCCGAAAGCACGAAAATTGCACTTCCGATAACAGCCACCAATATCAGCAAATCTGAATCTGTTTTATCAATCATCGGACAAAACAAACCTGATTGGTCAGTAAGATACTTAATGACGCAGGCAGTTGCTGCGAGTGGAAGTACCAATAACACGGTAGACGTGCCAGTCGCCAGTTGACATATTTTGTTCATCTGGTTGTGCATCTCCGGAGTAATAATTAGGTGATAGCTATGGCTCAATCGGTCTAATCCTTTTCGTGCAATGTCAGAAGCTTTGGATAGTGCCTCTTGAAAACCGTCCAACACCATCACAACCAAAAATGAAAACGTGACGAGACTCAGCTGCCGAGCGTACGAACCTACAACACCATTAACTTGCAGGGAAGAGGTGAACCAACTTAAGAGTAGGTAACAAACGGGGAAGGCTATGATCCAAAGTATCATACGACTCACAACACTCAAACAGAGCAATGTCCGCATCGTCATGGCCTGTAAACTTGTAATAATAACAACACGTAACCAAACCTCTGCCAACAAGTCGGAGAAGAGCGACGAAAATAGGAAGGAAAGGTTTAACGTAATATGGCACTCCGGTATCATATAGTAGTCGTCAGCAAAGTATGGAATCAAGATACCCATCACGCTCCACCATAACGATCGATTCATCATCTCCGCAATTTGACCGCGCATATAACTCCGTCGTATGACGTCATGCTTATATGACAGATCACTCGTTGGAGTGTTATACCCACTGGCAGACACCGAATGATCCACGGAATAGTACCACGACCCAGGAGTGGAGCAGCCATCGTAATTGGACAATCGACGTCCTTCGCTTCCACGGGAGCTTGGACGACGACCTCCAAGGACATGGTTACCGATATTCATACGCCCTTGCTTCGCTCCGTATGGAACGGAGTATGACTCGTGGAGTTCCTGATCCTCAGAGGAATTAGTCCCATCCATCGCATAGAGATGAGTGACACTCACCGAAAATCACTGTAGCACATGGCTTTTAAGAAGGTACACATAGACCAATGAAGAACATTTACAACGAAATACCGCGCCAGGACATCCAAAAAACGATAGGATGATGTGCAATACGAAAATAATGGAGGTCACCGCGCGTTTTCGTTTCAATTGACAAAATGGAAGATTCAAAATCAAATTTAGATACGCAGGGCATATGTGTGTGTTCTATGGCTTCCAATTGCAATGTTAAATTGTGTTTATCTCCGGGTGAGTCTGCAAGAAGATACGACGCTACCATACGCCATAAATAACATGTGCGCCATCTGTACACGCCGAAATTTAGCGGCACGAACACAAACGTGTAAGGAGTTGTGTGTATTTTTGATGTAGTCTCTACGCTATAGAAAGACGCTAGTGTGTCAAGTATGATAAAGGTGCGACTCTCACCGCGGAACCGTGGCAACGGTATTGAGACACGAAATGTTACAATTATGCCTTATCGAGAGACACAATAAGTCTATCGATTAACTGCATAAATTAAGCATTATTCTTGATCCCTTGTGCCGCTTTCTTGCGCGCGCCATGGGTATGCCTACCACACGAGTACCGTTGTTGTACGTTAGAGAACACCTTTCTAAGCTCACCTAACCGAATGTACACACAATTAACTCAGTACTCAAACTATCAACAAATTCGAAACAGTCGTTGTGGACTATAGATAAAAGAGATTCAATTTGTGTATTAAACAATATATTCTCGCCAATACTCCGCCTTAAAAGTTGATATACAGTAATACAGCACCATGAAACTGCCAGAACAAAACTATACCTCTCTATTGGTCGCATTATACCATGGGAAGGTGTCCAGCTACCCCGAAGAACAGGGGAAAGTAACCTTCAGCACTTAGTGGAACATTTAGACGCACCACTCACCTATAATGTGTTAACTCTGTCTCTAACTTGAGGGATAGCCATCGTGTCATATAGGACAAATGCAAATCTAAGGGAACCACTAACAGTGAATAAAATCACGCTTCGAATGCACGAAATAATTTTAGCAAAATAATATAACGGGGACATTCATCACCGTTCCCTTTGAAATATTTACGTGTCGCTTCCCTCAAAAGTTTCTACGTTGCAATTTAAAAGGAAATCTCGCAATATCGGATGCCATGACTACTAGGGTATACACTGAAAAAACGGAGATGTGATCCGACCTTGTCTTAAAATCGAAGACATCAGAGGTGTATGTAATCGTGAAAAAACAACCCAAATCAAGTGAGCCATAAATTGTCGGTAAAGTTAATAATACGCGTAAGACGATGCAAAACTAGCTAAATCTGTAGTAATAGTGGATTGTTTATCAATGGGAATCTGGAGAACAAACGGAATAAGGCATCCATTATACTGTTTGAATCTTAGATGAAATGAAGCGACCACTGAGGTTTCGTTCCGTCGCTCGGGTACTGAAATTTGTACTAATTATCCAAGGATGCTGTGTTTCTCATATCCACGCACATCATCAAGGGGTGTATAAAACATTGCAAACAAAAGGAGATGTGGGAACACCAATTGCTCGGTTTATCACAAACATAAATCCTCCCAAACCGGTATTCCATGTCGTGGAGTTGGACCTGTATCGAGGAGAAAGCATAACCATCACGTGCCCCAGTGATGTTGATACCGTGGGCTCCTTATTCCCCGCTAACCTAACACGGTACTATACATCACCGCCTTGTGCACCCAGCTATCTAGATGTGACCTTTTTCACAAACAGTGACCTGGAAAATGAACTATTGACATGCGGAGATGAAAATTTCGGAACCCTTGATGATGTATCTGATTCCTTGATACTCGTAGAATATGGCCATTCTTCAAGACGTCTATCGTTCATATGGAACGGCGGTAAGGTCAAACGTAGGTCGACACTATATTATTTATGTCTGAAGAAGATCCAAGAAGCAGAAGATGAAGAATACATCCCATCCGCACTCATCGCTGTGAATGTCATACCAGATGCGCCCTCCATGCGGAATAATATCATTAACATTAATAATCTCACATACGTCCCGCCAACCCATGACGTCATTTACACAAAGGAATTTGCGTCTACAGAGAACCTCACTGTACAATGCTGGCCAAAAGTAGGCAATCGAACTATTGAAAGATGGAAACCAATGGATGTGGAGGTTCTAGAACATAATATTTTACACCATGAGGTCGATGGGAAAGTTGTTTTGAACCCTTCATGGGAAGAATCTGTCTCACTGGTAAATGTGAAGATCAATTTGCGGGAGATTAGTGACGGTACTCTGACGGTAAAAAGTCAAAGCATAGCATCGATGATCTATTTAGTGGATGGTATGTTTTACTTGGGTTGTTTAGCAGGTAATTACGATAGCACAAGGATCTTCAACCTCGTACCCAGTACGGTCTCAGCTATAGAGCACATTAAACCTAGCATCAGAGAAGTCGATGAAGGTGAGAGCTTCAATGAGCAAGATGATATATACTACTTTCAATACAAAGTTACCCACGCAAGGGCTGTTTCAATGTTCTGCCCCATGGAGACACATACCTTGGAACCTAGGTCCTTATTGACTAGCGCCAAAAGCAAATTTGACACGGAAGTGAGCCTTAGCTTTCCCAATACGCGAATATCGACAAGAGGTAACTCGTTAGTAGTCGTTGACTTCTCCAATACGTCAGCACTTGATGATGTCAGACTGCAGATCAGCTGCCAGAGCAGAAGTCCAAATTATACGTCATACGTTTTTTCGCTGACAAATCGGATGATGTGCCTCTTTGGAGATACTAAAGAGTTGTGGCAGCCGTGTAAAGTAGTTCTTTTCCCCTCGGACGAAGTAACGATACGGTGTCCCAGGAAAACTGAGCATAAATACTACCCCCTGAAACCTGAAGATATGAGGGAAGGTTACATAAAAGTTGATGATGATTTCATCCGTGATCGCCATCCTGCATTGTCAAGAACAGTAATTGCTAATCCAACTGGCGATTTACACAAAATTACCTTCAATGGTCATGACAAACGTACACTGATGAGAGACGAAATACACTATGAGTGTAGCGACGAGGAGTATGAAAAATATACGACAACAGAGAGCCGAGCAATCGTTATCATCAAGCTAGTTGGCAACTACGAGGAAATCGATACAACGGGAAAAATAACGATCCCCATATCCGATTTGCTGAAACCTACCGACGGACCACGATTATTCCACATTTTTTTGGGCGCAGGGATGACTCAGCGAATACAATGCTCAGACTTCTTCGTAGACAATCCAAGGCTCACTTTGTACCCAAAAGGGGAGTGGGAAGTTTTTGACGACATACCCCGTTTTTTTGCTGGGATGCTCATGGACAAAATACCCGGCAGAAAAGTATTCGCTACCAGGGCCATGTATGGACTTACCATTGCGAAATACGCCAGAGAAAACCCTTCATATGTTGATATGACCCTCAGCGCAGATTACAAGCTTTCGTCTAGAAGCGATAATGCCATGTATTTTTTATGTGCCAGGAACACGTTGTGGGATGATGTGAACAGTGATGTGGCCGTAGTACAAGTATATATTCAAAGCAACACCACCAAATCATTTGGAGTTGGTGTTGAAAAAGGTCTATTCCGTCTTGAGTACGTTGATGAACGAAATTCTTACAATGACGCCACATTCAACATCGCAAATCATGATTTCGTCGCGATGCATTGTCCCAAAGGACCTGGTGAAACAAATCTGCCAGCATGCCACACAAATATAATGGCGGCGTTCGGACGCAATAAAAAAATCGAGGAATTTGCCAACCATAGGATAATAGACGGTTACAACTATCAAGGCTTCAAGTCGCTTTGGTACATATCCACGGAAGGGCTGAAAGCCGCGTCGCATTATGGCCCCGTGGAAGTGGATTGTTACTGTCGCGATGAAAACAATGCAATTTTAGCCGTGGCGCATTTGACGTCTATTTCAGGGTTTTTGTGCAATGGTCTTATGATCAGCGTTCTATCTATTATCTTTGCCTCTATAGGCATAGCAACGAACACGTAACAGAGATAGTAAATCTCATGATATATTTGTATACAGTGAGAAATTGATAATCACGCAGGAAGGCGTATTAGACGTGACGCCCACAGCGTATATTAAGGGTAACCTTATTATTCGTAAGCCCAATCGACTTATAAGTCGGCCAGATATTCTCGTGCTTAAGTGCTATCACAGATTCAGCGTAGTTCTTACCCAAATTGAGAAGCCGGTTTTTATAGTGCACTTTATCAAGACACCCCATCAGGTTGTCGGGCACCGTGGGGTATTCGCGATGTCACCCGCTTTGCGTGGCACGGCCGCAGCGACTGCGGCCCGTCGAACCCCGTGCCATACCTTCTCGGCCTCTTGGCTAAGATCAATTTGTAGTACCTGTTCTTATCAGCGTGATAGCTGATACGAGTCCAATTGGACTCTATCTTATCACGGGTATTTTTCTCTGGGGAAGATGCATACCCTGGGCTTGCCCGGCAGCTCTTCAGGCGTCGCCTCCCCCTGACACTTTTGGGTTGTGCGGTGCACCCATTCGGCCCCCCGGGGCTAACGATGTAATTCCTGAGGCGTGTGCTCGGCTGTGCGCTCCTCTGCTCTACACACCTGCGCTGCGTTGATGCTGTTCGCGTCCCTGTTCCCCGGCCCGGGCGTCTATCTTCTTGGCTGGCGTTCCCAGCGCCGGTGGCTCTATGTCTGTAGTCGGTCCCTCGTAACCTGAGCTTTCTGTGCTAACCACAGGGTGACTCTTACCTCCATATTTGACGAGCTGTGGCATGGCGCGTTTCAACAACGATTGCGGCTTGCAGATCGACTCATGGTCAGCCCTAGTATGCAATATCTTCACACAGAAGGAAACAAACCACAGAAACATGGCGTCCAAGAAGTGACGGGTACCCAAATTGGATACGTGAGTGAACTGCCGCAAGACGTACTTCACGAGCAAACGCAGAGTAGCATCATCCACGTCCTCCTCATACATGTGGCTGAAAAGCATTAACAGTACACTACATAACATACTAATGCAGCGCACGTGAAAGTTTATACGGGTAAAACTCCTCGTCCAATGTGCACTGGTCCAGTTCAACCAAAAATTTCATCATGAACGCCTGGCAATTTTCACGTTCGCGCTTGAAACGGTGTTCGGGAACGCCACGTTTAACCAGCCATTCGCTCAACAAATTAAAAGCACAGGAGAACAAATAACGGTCCAACAATATGCCCAAAGGGCATTCCTTCATCGCACGGCGGTGAAGCATCCAGACGTGCAAAAACAAAAAGTAAGCGCGGCGATTGAAACCAGCGCCGATAGAGAATGTTGTAGTCAGCTCAACATTCTCCAGACGCTCGACACAGAGGTGCAACATCACAGACGCAGGCTCAAACATGTAGCTTTGCCTTAACAATATTAACGCGAAATGGCACATACTTACCTAAATGGGCGCGTTAAGACGTCAAACAGATACGTGCGGTCACGATTGGGATAAGGTAGCACGAAACGTACAGTCTCATCAACGCTAACATCACTCAGAGGGTCACATAGAATTTCGCGGCAGTATTCAGATGCAATACTTGGAACACCAACATCGCAATCCGTGGACGGCTGGAGAGAAAGATCTGAAGTAGACATGACGGTAGACGACACAGCTGCTTCCGGAGCTACACCCTCAGCATGGCTACGGGAGGCACCGCTGCACAGACGATAGGACCCGCAGATGTGACGGACAGAATATCGGCACGCCGCATAGCAACAGGTAACGCATCGAGAATATATTCCAACCGGCGCTGAAGCAGGGAGCAGCGACCGAGGAAGCAATCGGCCGTGGACGCCGCAACACACACGCAACTCCGAAACGACCATGGCCGTAAAAAGTGTGAGATAACTCAGCTAAAACGGATAGAATACTTATAATATCATATTTCTATAAGATAAAAGCTATTACGAATTGTAGAACTGTTAAATAGCAGACGATACGCCCAAGACGCAAACGATACGACACAACTAGAACCAATAGTAGGAAGAGGACGAAGAAGGCCTTGCAGATTGGGTGTGTTACAGATGAAGTGACGTAGGTAACAAGGAATCTTCAATGCATTAAACCACAACGCTCATGGCAGGCAATAATGAATGGAAGGACTTCAAAGAGGTTCGCCTACCCTGGATGCCAAGCTGCTCACGGCTAATTGGACAAAAATAGGCACTGACACCGTTAAATGACATGGCGAAGACACTGACTAAACCACTAGCTGAGGCTTGCGGAGAATTGTTGGCACCCAAACAAACGGAAACATTCCCTAGGTATCAAAAGCCATTCGTAGACTTCCTCAGGCTCAAGTGCAAAGCGGGACATGGAGGATCACCTCTACCAAACGTAAATAGGTCTAGAAGGCTTTGTGGACCAGGGTATGGAGGTCACGGCGGTGGCGTAGTCCTGAGGCCCACACACCTTGTAGAAAGTCTACTGCATATCGAGGACACGGTCAAGGCGAAAAATGGAGGTGATGCCAGCGGAACTAGCAGGGGGAAACATGCCAGTAACTGTGCGATACATGTCCCTCTTGGGCTCATAGTCAGAAAACGCATAAAGACGGACACGGGGTATAGAAGTGTATTCTGGTAAGTGGAATAGTGCTCAGCTAAGCCACATGTAAGGCATATAGGCACCAATTTATTGATCAAAAACGAGATTTGGTCGTAGCAAAGGGGGGTAGGGGTGGAGTGGGACCATCGAGCTTCAAGAAACATGATCACAGGTTGCCAGAAGTTGGGGAAACCACGTCACTAGAACTGGAACTGAGGTTACTCAACGATGTCGCATTCATTGGCGAACCTAACGTAGGGAAAACTAGTATTATAAGCGCTTTAACGTCGTATATGACAAGAATTGGCCCAGAGGAGGGGTCCACAACCAGGCCACACGTAGCGGTCATGAGGTTTGTAGACGGACTAGATTTAAGGCTTATGGACCTACCGCCAGTAGCCGCAGAAAACGGAATACCCATACCCCGGATATTGAGACATATATATCGCACAAAGGTAATCGCTTATGTCATAGACGCAGCGTCCGAGGAAGACCCTGTAGACACACTATACAGGCTCAGGGCCATTGTCAAAGCATCGAAAATGTATAATAGCGACAAGTCGGAACTCGTGATCGTCAACAAATGTGAAATGTTTCACAAAGAAGCGCTCTACAATCTCGACAGGGTACACTACAAGCTCATACATGAGGCTGACGATGTGAAGGTAGTGGGTACCTCAGCAACTCACAAACTAGGGTTACAAAGATTGGCCAATATTCTCAGACAATTGGTGCATCCTTCCCAGCCACACTACACTCCGAGGCAAACGGTTGATAGCTACGAAACGTCGCTCATTAACTGACAACCAAGCGGAGTACAAGCACCAGCACTTGCTGACAGACTTGTGGACCCTCCAATGTGTTGCCTACAGAAACGGCAACAAAATGGTACATTGTTTAGATCGTGGAGGAAGGTGCGTATAGGATCGGCACTACCGCAAAAATATAACGTTGCATACTCACCACCCCTAATATTTCATGGACATTGGTTAGCTATAGATACTTTTAAGTTACTGGCAATGCACCACCCAAAAAAAGGACTTACAGTTATACAGAAAGATGATACAATAAAGATGCGTTGATGCTGTTGGCTAATGGCCTTCCACATCAGATTATCCTACCTGCCACCCGGTAATGATAAGGGGCGGCAAAAGGGATTGGGGGATCACACGGTATATACCTCATTGTGCGTATGAAATAAGATACATGGCACCGATTGGGTTGTGCTGTTCAACTGATACTGGTCGTTGCACATTTAAGTAAAAATTGCGGTTGCATCATTAGCTTGCAATCTCATAGAATCAATGGACATCACAGATCACAGTCGTATATGCTCAGACGAAACAACATTGTGTAGATTATGTCGTAAAGCACTTAGTCAAGTCACTGAATATTAGTGCGGTAAAAGTTTTCTCAGGACCCGGATTTTGGTCACCTGCACATAATATCAAATCAAAGATACTAGCTGGATGAGTGTAAAAATGTTTACAGCCAGTAGGTCAAGTGTTGCGTATCCTGATTCGCTGGATGATGCCGAGTCTTCACGCATGTTCTTATGACTACCTCGCTCTGCTGCTGCCTTTTCATCGGTCAGCTCGGTCGGTGTAACCTCGGTTTCCGCCGCCTCTTCAGTGGATCCACTGGGCACCACGCCGGTATCATGGTCGGTAATACCTTCGTCATCCTCTACAAGTTCTAAGTCTGAGATGACTGTGTTAGTGTCTCCCGTTGCAATCGGCACATCTCGTTTTTCCTCAACAGTGCCTACCGGATGCTTATCCAGATCTTGGCATTCCATTAAAATTTCCCTACACAACAAATAATCTGGTTCCAACTGTTCTAGGCTCTGACTATAATTCCCCTTATTTAATGCTTGCATCAGGGTTTTTAAAGCTTCAGCGTGTTTCTTTTCGTCTTCCTTGTTCGCCTTTGAGAGGTTTCGTATAGAATCATTGTAATCTCTATAGAGCTTACACATCGCACTATACTCAGCCTGTCTCGGTTGGAGTTCATTAGCCTTTTTCGCGACCTTCTCAGCCCTTTGCTTAAATTCCAATGCTTGGGGATTTGACGTTCTGGCGTCATACTCAGATGCTTTGGACTCAATTTTTTTTACAAGTTGCATGGTCTCAGTCAAGCATTGTTGTACGTGATACAACTGCCTCATGAATTCCTTATAGTCCTCAAAACCATCCGCGACCGAGGTCCCAGATATATCACCTCCCTTCCCGTCCTTTTCGGCTGCGTCGCTACCGGAACCAGTCGGAACGCCAGTAGCATCCGATTTGCTAGGTGCTGTCCCCGGTGCTATGCCATTTCCCCCGCTGCCTCCCTGCGAAACACCTTGATTTTCCTCAGAAGAGTCGGCGACCCGGCGAATGAAACTGCCACAATTATTGAGGAAACCATTATACCGAGCAAGTAATTGATCAAGTTTTTGCTCAGTAAAAACGAACCCTCTGCGACTAAATTCGCGGGCTTCTGCGATTAAAACACGATTATAAGTATTCTTATCCGCATCGGAGATATTCTTACGCCCAAGCTTGATTTCTGCTTCTTCGAACGATTGCATTAAATCAGTCATTTCACGATACATCTGAGAATCTGCGTACAACACTTCTAGCTCTCTCCTATATTTCTCAAAAAGTTCAGCGTCTTCTTTTTTATCTATATCTGATCCATCATAGTCCATATACTTGCCGCATTTGGTCAGCAGATCTTGGCGCATACTCTCGGCGCGACCTATTCGAGCCCGTAAACCGAACAGCTTTGCAGTAAGAGCATCACGTTGCCCCTTTAGAATCTTAGCCGGGGTTTTCCCATCACCTACTTGAAATATAACGGCATTAGTGAGAGGGAACAACAGTCCATTCCAAACTGTGAAACAGAGGCAGAGCAAAGTCCCCCATGCCAATGAACCGTAAAAATTAGCCATTGTCGATCATCACCCAGAGCTTTAGTACCCTCCTATATGCCGCTTCTACTTAATCTCGGCGAAAAGAGTTTCTGACAAACAACGTCGCTAAGTCGATACACTTAACGCCAATGTCTTCCAGTTCAAATGATTATCCCTATGGCGTTTTATGAATACCTTCAATTGCCTTTCTTGTCACTTGAAGTACACATCCAATTAAATATCTAGCCGCAGGTCGGTTGTCAATTGTAAGAGATGTTACCCTTGACTTGTAGAAGCACGTCTAATTCCAATCTACATAAACGTAGGTGGGATAATATTTTTAAGTTTCAATGCCCAAGTAAAATGAGCATCTACTAGTTATTGCTAAAAAATTTCTAGTGACATACTAGTTGTTTTGCAACCTTGGTTGAGGCAGCAGGAGCTGCCCCCATGTTGCTCGTGGAATTTTCCATCGGCGCTACGCAGCAGATAACGAAGAAATTAAAATCGCATTTTTGCGTCGTGACAACCATATTGTTGGCTGATTTGATTCTTTAGAGAGCCTCTGGCTTTCTGTAAAAATTTTATGTATCTGATGTTTATATTGGTAATGGAACTGGAGTCTTAGTTGTCTATGACAGCGAGGAAACATCTAGTTGTAATTAGTTTTCCAGATAGCGTATGTACACCATTGGTAGTACCATCGTTGAACATTGCAACCAGAGTGTCCCATAAAAACGGCTTAAATCACTTGGCCGGCTAATAAAAAAAACGACACACCCGTAATCCAATGTCTTCTAGCAACACTATACAACATCAAGAGTCATCTAGAATACTACTATTGAAATTATTTCACCAGCGCTGCATTATAAACCTTAGCGGTGTATGGGTAGTTATATTCATAAGCTTTGCAGCGCCCATTTAAATAGGTGACTCTTTCTTTGTCGTATATCACATCGAACATTGGTATTAAAGGACATTCCGGCGGTTTCACTAGCTTGTATTCAACGTTATCGATGCCCGGACTCTCCCATATTTTTGTAGACATACGTGGCTTAATAAAACATAGTGAATTCCATAGCGCTGCGTTATTTTAGTACCACCGTCATAAGCTATTTAATATGTTAACATGTGTAATGATGTGTAAACAGGAATTATAGAATGCCTTAGCGACACCGGATGCCGTCTTTCGCCAATAGGCGCGATTCCGGCGTGAGACAATTCCTATTAACTAAAATCTATGTTGGTTAAATTGTTCACGTGACTTTAATTAATAAATCCACATAATAGCGATCATCAAACGTCTTTCAATCTAATGTGTTCACCTCCATTAGGTCGCTGGAAGGTATAAGCGACAGTTCCAGGAAAAACAATGAATAGCGACCCCAAATAAAAAGATGGATGCCAGACTCCCGAATCACGAAAAACATGCGTATGACATCGGCGGGCCTTACGTCCCGTCAACCCGCCAAGGAGCTCGAGGCGTGCAACATGCGTCTGAATGACACAAATTATTCGATTCCCATCGCTGCTCTATTGCAGATGTCACCTATAAATCGGTTTTGATCATGTAATGCGGATCGGATGATTCACGACCGTGCGAATAGTTGTTTGGACATCAACTCTACAATCATAGCACAATCGAACATCGTTCTAGGATGCCAGCTCGAGCTGGCAAGGCGGCCGTGAGGGATGTTGGCCACCAAACACCTTCTGCGATATATGGCGCCACGAGGACGGCCGTCAGAATGGCGAGAGCCTACTGCCAGGAGTAGAGCTGTAATGATGTAGGGGACCGCAGGCACAGCAATTCAAAATAGTTTCTATACGGCCCCTTCAGCCAAAACGTGTTGAAAGGGGAGGTATGGATTTGGAAATAGAAATGGTATGTCACTTTTTAGGATTTGTCGCACCGCCCAAACTTTCCTCGGTTGGGTCACGGAACCATAATCAACCAGTTACAGAGGACGACCTGGATCAACAATGAATGGACGATGTCTACAGCTACAATAACAGCTGTTCAGTGTCGCCTTTATGGGGAACAAGCTATAATTTAGGGACGACATCCTTTTTAGGGTGACTATGGATGGGAAGAACGCTGGAACCAATGTCAAATAATTCAGGTGATGGGCCACCAGTGTTCGATTCTAACCACTACAATGGCGATATTACGGGCCAAATGTGGCATTTGCGTCCTCAGTATAGGTATGCAAATCTGTTTCACCGTCGTGGTAGAAGAGTCGCAAGGTACAGTGTCTGAGTGATAATGGTATCCTCGCCTCTAACGCGTGGGTGGGGTCAGCAGAAGGCTACAGATAGCTTTGGAGATGAATAATATAATGTAGTATTTAGTTGATGGGCAATTCAAGGT